ATCACCCCTGCTGTTCATATTGACAATGGAAGTACTGCTAGAAAGGATAAGGGAAGATGGGGACTTGAGAGGGGCAAAAATCAGAAAGGACGAATTCAAGCTGAAGGCCTACGCAGATGATTTAGTCTGCATAATAGAAAACCCCCTGGAAACGATAACTAAATGGAAGGATAAAATAGACAAGTATGGCATAGTTGCAGGTCTGAGAGTTAACAAAATAAAGACAAAAATTCTCACAAAAAATATGGACATATTCAAGAGGGAAGAACTGCAAAAGATTTCACAATACTCGGTCACCAATAGAGTGAAATATTTAGGGGTCCATCTAACGGCAAGTAACTCGCAGTTGGTAAAAAATAATTATGAACCCGTATGGAAGGAGATTGGTAAGAAATTAGTGAGCTGGAAACAATGGAATTTAAGTTTGGCGGGCAGAATAGCGATAGTCAAGTCAAATATACTCCCTAAAATGATTTACTTATTCCAAATGATCCCCGTATTGAGAACAAAATATTGCTTCTCCCAATGGAGAAAGGATATCTTGAAGTTTATTTGGAACGGAAAAAGAGCGAGGATCAAATATAAGATTCTGATAGACGGGAGGGAGAGAGGGGGGCTTAGCTTACCCGACCTGCAGCTATATTATGATGCCTGCGCCTTGACCTGGGTGAAAGACTGGGCTACTCTAAAAAAAAAGAAATTGCTAAATTTGGAGGGCCACGACCTAAGGAGAGGCTGGCATGCCTATCTCTGGCACGGGAAATCTAAGATTGAGAAAAAAATTTCGAACCATTTTGTCAGATCCGCTTTATTAAAGGTCTGGGACAGGTATAAGGACAGAATGTACACCAAAACGCCATTGTGGCTTTCACCGTTAGAGGCGGCCCACAAGAGAGAGTTTCCTAAGGATAGATGGCATACGTATAAGGTATTACTAGAGAAGGAGGGAAGCCACTGGAAGTTAAAATCATTGGAAGCGCTGAGGAAGCTTGATGAGAACCTGTCTTGGTTCCAGTACATCCAAATTACTGATTGCTACAAGGAAGATAAGAAACATGATTTTACACAACAGGAGTCATTCTGGGATGGAATCCTGAGGAAGGATAGAAAACTGATAAAATCCCTATACCAAAAACTGTTGGAGTGGGAAACAGAGACGGAACTCATTAAGGAAAACATGGTCTCCTGGGCTGTAGACTTGGGACATTCTATTTTGCTAAAGGAATGGGAAATTATCTGGAGGGAAAAAATAAAGTTCGCAAAATCAATGAACATAACAGAAAGCTGGCAAAAAAAATTTTTTCGCTGGCATCTTACCCCCCAAAGATTGGCAAAATTCTATAAAGGAGTTAGCAATGAGTGTTGGAAGTGTGGCACACAAGTGGGCACGTATTATCATGTTTGGTGGCAATGTAAAAAAGTAAAGAGCTTCTGGAGAGAGGTACATTTACAGGTGCAGGGAATTCTGCAAGTAAAATTCGAACTCAAGGCAGAATATTATTTACTGCATTTAATAGATTTTGAGTTAGATAGAAACAAGGAGATGTTGCTATATCATTTGTCAGCCGCAGCTAGAACAGTGTTTGCAAGTAAGTGGAAATCCAAGGAACTCCCAACAATGGAGGCCTGGTGGATAAAAATTGGGGATTACATGGAAATGGACACTCTAGCAAACATTCTGTACGAAACCAGCAAGAAAAGGAAAATAAACTGGCATCCCTTAAAGGAATATCTGAAAAACAGGAAGAATGTTCTGCTTTAAGGTTCGGGAAGATGGTCAGAAAAATAAATAAGTAAATGAAATAGACTTACAAGTTACATGACCCCGTGGAATGTTGGGAAGTCAATATGTTTTGTTGATTGTTTTGTTGATAGTCGTAGTTTGTGTAAGGCCCCAATGTGATGTTTGTTGTTACTTCTTACCCAGTGTTAAGCCCTCCCCTCCCTCCCCCCCTTATCCCGTTCCCCATATTCCCTTCCCCACTTTCCCTGATCCAGCTGTACTGCACAGGAGAGATAGTTGTTTAGGTATATATGTATCAGGATGCAAGTGTAAGTGTGTAACTCGGTTCTTTTTATTCCTTTGTTTGTTTGTTTTTTCTTTTTTTGAATGATGTAATTGTTTATATATTAAAAAAAATCAATAAAGATGATTATTAAAAAAAAACAAAACACTTGGCCTTCTGCTACATTTCCTTTTACTGTAACTCATTGCCTCCTCCTGAGAAAAATTCATAATATCACAAAGGATTACCACCACACCTGCTTCATGGGAAATCTGCTACAAAACAGGAGATGTTTTAGGTTCTTGTGGGTTTTTTCGGGCTATAGAGCCATGTTCTAGAGGAATTTCTCCTGACGTTTCGCCTGCATCTATGGCAAGCATCCTCAGAGGTAGAGGTCTGTTGGAATTAGGACAATGGGTTTATATATCTGTGGAATGGCTGGGGTGGGGCAAGGAGCTCTTCCCTGCTGCAATTAGGTGTGAATGTTTAGCTGATCACCTTCATTAGCATTTGAAGGCCTGCCTGAACCTGGGAAAATCTGTTGCTGGGAGGTGTTAATCTGTGCCTGGTTTTTTCCTCTCTGTTGTTTAGCTGTTATAATTTTAGAGTTTTTTAATACTGTTTTTTAATAGGAGTTTTTTAATAGGAGATGTTTTGTTGAGTTCCAGGGTTAGAAAAGCAGATGGCAAAAAACAGAAGAACGGCCCGCCTCAGGGGAGCGTGATTCCTCCGTCAGTGTTTAACATTTACACAAATGACCAGCCACTGCCAGAAAGGACGATTGTGCCATCACCGCTGAAGCAGGGAGCTTTGAAATGGCACAACAGAAGCTCTCCGAAGGTTTAGGTGCTCTTATTGCCTACTACAGGAAAAATCAGGTGATTCCTAATCTATCCAAAATGCAGACGTGTGCTTTTTCTTGTGTTACCTCAGGTGGTTTCTCTGGCTGAAGCCTTTCACAAACTAGCCATGTTTGTGCAATTTCACTCTGGTATGATTTTTCTGATGCCTGATTGACCTTTCTAGCAACAAGCTTTTTCCCACAAGAAGAGCACTTGTATGGTCTCCCTTCCCAACGAACCCCAATTGGAGATTTACTTTTCCTTCTTTCCCACTTTCAGTCCTTGATTTTTATCAAAGCAGGATCCTTCCAAGAACTGTTTCAGAGGAAGGAAGGAAGGAAGGAAGGAAGGAAGGAAGGAAGGAAAGAAAAAAGGAAGGAAGGAAGGAGCCGCAGTGGGTTTGTGTGCCAATAGAGGGAAAAGAAAAAGGAAGGCAGGAAGAAAAGAGGTAGAGAAGGAAGGAGAGAAGGAAAAAAATGGAAGGAAAGAAAGGGAGGAAAGGAAAGAAGGAAGGATGGAAGCAAAAAGCGAAGGAAGGAAGGAAAGAGAAGGATGAAAGGAGAGAAAGTGGAAGGAAAAGAAAAAAGGCAGGCAGGGAGGAAAGAGATAGAGAAGGAAGGAGAGAAGGAAAGAAAAAAGGAAGGAAAGAGGGAGGGAAGGAAAGAAGGAGAGAAGGAAGCAAAAGAAAGGAAGGAAGGAAAGAGGTAGAGAAGGAAAAAGGAGAGAAAGTGGAAGGAAAAGAAAAAGGGAGGCAGGAAGGAAAGAGGTAGAGAAGGAAGGAGAGAAGGGAAGAAAAGGGAAGGAAGGAAAGAAGGAGGGAAGGAAAGACGGAAAGGTGGAAGCAAAAAGTGAAGGAAGGGAGGGAGGAGGTATAGAAGTAAGAAAGGAGAGAAAGTGGAAGGAAAAGAAAAAGGGAGGGAGGGAGGAAAGAGGTAGAGAAGGAAGAAGGGAAGGAAGGAAAGGGAGGGAAGGAAAGAAGGAAGGATGGAAGCAAAAAGTAAGGAAGGAAGGAAGGAAGGAAGGAAGGAAGGAAGGAAGGAAGGAGAGAAGGAAGAAAGAATGTGGAAGGAAAAGAAAAGGAGAGGCAGGAAGGGAGGAGGTATAGAAGGAAGGAGAGAAGGAAAGAAAAAAGGGAGGGAAGGAAAGATGGAAACAAAAAGTGAAGGAAGGGAGGGAGGATGGAAACAAAAAGTGAAGGAAGGGAGGGAGGAGGCATAGAAGGAAGAAAGGAGAGAAAGTGGAAGGAAAAGAAAAAGGCAGGGAGGGAGGAAAGAGGTAGAGAAGGAAGAAGGGAAGGAAGGAAAGGGAGGGAAGGAAGGAAGAAGCAAAAAGGAAGGAAGGAGAAAGAAGAAGGAAGGAAAGAAAAGGGAGGGAAGGGAAGAGGTAGGAAGGAAGGAAAGAAGGAAAGAAAAAGGAAGGAAAGGGAAAGAAGAAGGAAGAGAGAAGGAAGGAGGAAGAAAAAAGGAAGGAAGGAGGAAGGAAGGAAGGAAGAAGGAAGGAAGGAAGGAGAGGAGGAAGGAAACAAAAAGGAGCCAGGAAGGAAAGAGGTAGAGAAGGAAGGAGAGAGGAAGAAAAAAGGAAGAAGGAGGGAAGGAAAGGAGAAAGAAAGAGGAAGAAAAGGAAGAAAAGAGGTGAGAAGAAGGAAAGAAAGAAAAAAAAAGGAAAGAAAGGAAGAAGGAGGGAAGAAAGAAGGAAGAGGAAAAGAAGGAAGAAAAAAGGAAGGAAGAAAAGAGGTGAGAAGGAGGAGAAGGAAAGAAAAAATGGAAGAAAGGAAAGAAGGAGGGAAGGAAAGAAGAAAAGAGAGAAAGAAGGATGGAAGCAACAAGGGAAGGAAGGAAAGAGGTAGGGAAGGAGGGAGAGAAGGAAAGAAAAGAAGGAAAGAGGGAGCTCTTAGTATTATATATTATTCTACTGTACTATACCACTATACCGCAATATTATATTACATGTAATATATAATGAGTTGGGCTGAGCTGTGGGGGAGGCTGCATTTCCCGCCCAGCTGGTACCAGTGTGAGTAGAGAACAGGAAATGGCTTTTCCTATTGAGGCGCGTCGAGACTACATTTCCCGGCATGCTCGCGGAGCTGAGAGCGAGAGGGAGGGAAGCAGGCCGGCTCGGCGGACGGCGGTGCCTGGGCTCGCGCTGGGTGTTGGGGCGCATGCGCGGCTGCCTGCTCCTCCTGGGCCTGAGGCGGCGGGTGGTGGATGCCGGCGGCGGGCGCTGCCTTGGCGGCGCGGGGGGGCCATGCTGCCTCGGCGCAGCTCTCTGACGGGGCTGGCGGTGGGGCTCTTCGCCGTCTACGTGGCGCACACCTGCTGGGTCATGTACGGCATCGTCCACACGCGGCCCTGCCTCGCCGCCAACCGGGAAGGAGCGCCCGGCGGCCACGACGGCTGCATCCGGCCTTACCTGGCGCGCAGGCCCAAGCTCCAGGTGAGGCGCGCGCTCCCCAGCTCCCCCCTCCCTCCTCCCTCCTCCCTCCCTTCCTCCCAACACTGCAGGYGTCAGCACTCTGTAGCATTGAGCCATCGMAGTTGGTGTGCTAATGCAGTGTGGATACAGTCCTAAAAGGTCTTGGCTGGGACCTGGCTTGGGGATGAGGCAGCAGGCCCTTAGCCAGAAAGAATAATAATTCGGGAGGGGTTGAAACTTTTCCCCCCCCAGATGACTTTTCAGGCCTGAAATGACCATCATTGTGCAAAGATCCATCCCAGGTCATAGCTCCTGAATCATTGCTCCCTCTTAAAGCCCCTTCGTTTTGCCCACAAAGGACCATAGTTTCCACAACTGGCATAAGCTTCTTTCTGTTTTCTTCTATTATTATCAAGACATTTTCCACAGTGAATTAGTTTTCAGCCAAGCACAAGTTGTCCTGGTGGTGTTCTGTTTTTTTGATGTCTGACAAAAACTTCTATTGCATTTTCCCATTTCACAAATGGTTTAGCAACCAGTGTACCAAGCTGCTGATAACCATCTTTACCTCCAACGTCTCTTCCAAACACCACACCGTACTTCCAGAGGCACCTTGTACATAATAAAATAATATAAAATAAAACTCAGGGCAGTTTCCAAGTAACATCTCCAAAACGTTAACTGGCCAGGATGTTAACTGGCGCTCCTTACAGAGAGAGGTCAACCCTCCTGTTTAAGGAGCTCCATTGGCTGCCGTTTACCTACCGAGCCCAATTCAAGGTGCAGGTGCTTACCTACAAAGCCCTGAACGGTTTGGGACCTGCCTACCTGCGTGACCGCATCTCCGTTTATGAACCCACGCGCTCCCTTCATTCATCCGGAGAGGCCCTGCTCGCGATCCCACCTGCGTCGCAGGCGCGTTTGGTGGGGACGAGGGACAGGGCCTTCTCTGTGGTTGCCCCCCTGACTCTGGAACACCCTCCCCAAAGACATTAGACTAGCACCCACGTTGGCAGTCTTTAGGAAAACTTGAAGACCTGGCTATTCCGATGTGCCTTCCCAGAATAGGATAACCCCCAGCACCATGTCCCAGAAACACTTTATTAGAGTTAAGACTCTCTGCACATTGCACTTGCCCAGAATTCCAACATACCACCGTCACATCCAGCACTTTTTAACCTGTACCCATCATTGGCCCGGCCTGTTTTTAATGTATAATAGTGTAATGTTTTTGTTGTTGCTTATGCTTTTATTTTTGCTTTGTATTGTATTGTTATTGTTTGCTGTTGTTGTGTTGAGGCCTTGGCCTTTGTAAGCCGCATCGAGTCCTTCGGGAGATGCTAGCGGTGTACAAATAAAGTTTAATAATAATAATAATAATAATAATAACGTACAAAGTAAACAGCATAATAATAATAATAAAATAAAACTTTATTTGTACCCCACTACCATCTCCCCAAGGGACTCGGTGCAGCTTACATGAGGCTGAGCCCACAATACATCAGCAAAACAACAATAACAGCAATACGAAACAATAAAATGAAACTCATAAACAAAAAACAAGCAGTAAGCATTAACAATAGCACAACAGCACTTAAAAACCTATGGCTGGGACAGTGTAATAATTAAAATTTAAAAAAATAATGCTGAGCATGACCAGGTGAAATATAGAACTAGGATAGAATTTCGGAGAGGAAAGGGCGTGCAGACAATCCTAGATCATTGATAAAGTGCATTTAGGGACATATTGCTGGGAGTTTCCTTAACATAAAATTAACCAAACAACATAAGCATAATGTGATCAAAATAACACATGTATATTAAAAATAATCCTGCCTATTCACAGGAATTGAAAAGCCAATGCTAGTGCAAACTCAAAATATGAGGGGGCTGGGAATTAAGTACAGTGCTATAACAGGCTAATGGCTATAGCAGGTACGGGTCTGTGGCTGCTCATTTCCAGGGCCTATTAGAGGGATGGTGGGACCGAGAGGAGGGCCTCCCCGGAAGATCTTAGAGCTCGTGCCAGTTCATAGAAGGAGATGGGATCGCGGAGATAGGCGGGGCCCGAACCATTTAGGGCTTTATAGGTCATGACCTGCACCTTGAATTTGGCTCGGCAACTTATCGGCAGCCAATGAAGCTGTTTTAATAGGGGTGTTGTATGCTCCCTATAGTTTGCTCCAGTAAGGAGCCTGGCTGCTGCCCTTGTACCTGTTGAAACTTCTTGGCCGTCATCTCTACATGCAATGAGTAGGCTAACCAGGGAAATCAGTTGAACCATTTGAGTTGAAAACTAAGACCCCTTCCACACAGCTGAATAAAATCCCACATTATCTTCTTTGAATTGGATTATATGGCAGCGTGGACTCAGATAACCCAGTTCAAAGCAAATATAGTGGGATTTTCTGCCTTGATATTCTGGGTTATATGGCTGTGTGGAAATGCCCTTAGTTGCCTTTTCTTATCCACAGAAAATAGATATCCTGGCAATAGAGTCTGTGGATTTTGTGCTCATTAAGTGTTCACGTGGTCATCGGAAGCAATCTTGTTCATATAAAGTCCAAGATCTAACAATGACACAGCTTCTTCTTTTTGCTCCTGTTTGGCAGGGCTTGGATTCAATGATCCAATCAGTGGTAGACACCTCAGTTTCCAAAGTTTTCACTTGCAATCCAGGTCAAATCTCCCCCCCAAAAAAACCAGCTGCAGGTGGACTAACTTGGTCGCTTCCACTATGTTAGCTATTGCTCCTATTGCAATGTAAATAGGTAGAAAGGTAGGCAATGATAGTGTGACTAATCAAAATTTGGTTGAGATAGTGCTTGTAGTTCTGGAGGAACTACCTGGGCTGACATTTGGAGAGAAGGATCCAGGAGCACCTCCAAGCTGTGAACTGTTCCATTATCCAAGAAAACTCAATGAGTACAGCTTGACACCACTTCAGCAGCATTCTTTGGTAAAGAGTGCTAAAGATCTTGTCAAACTGCAACTTCCACAATCCCCTCACATTGAGCCATGGCCGTGTCAAACTGCATTCATTCTACAGTATAGATGCACCCCCAGTGAGTTGGAGGGAGACATGATACTTACTTTGTTTGGCATCAGAAGTTATTTGGGATTGTTTGAATCTGATCTTGGACTATCTGCATCTACCTTGGATTTGGAACCCATGTCTAAACTTTGCCTTGTCAAAGGCTTTAGCGGCCAAAATCACCGGGCTGTATGTCTGTGTTCTAGCTGCATTTTCTCCTGACATTTTGCCATCTGTGGCTGACATCTTCAGAGGAAACCACAAACACCCCGTTCACTTTATGCACTTTTTACAAGGAGCCAGTGTGGCCTAGTAGCTTGAGGTTTGTACTTTCATTCTATAAACTAGGGTTCATTTTCTCGCATAGCCCATCGAGTCATATCCTCTCAGCCCCCCCAAACCCCTCAGTTGTTCATCTTATGGTTACCATAGAGTCATATTGGTGAAAGGGCCATTCAATCCAACCCATTCTACCCTGCAGGACCACACCATCAAAGTACCCCCAAAGGATAACCATCCAACCTCTTCTTCAAAACCTCCAGATAAGGAGACCTCACCTCCAAGGCAGCAACTTTTTCATGCAGTTTGAATCCATTGCTCAATATCATAGTCTCTGGAGCACCAAAAGAGAAACTTGCTCCATCTTCAGTGTGACATCCTTTCAGATATTCAAACATGGCTATCATGTCCCTTCCAAACCTTTAGTTCTCCAAGTCAAACTTACCTGGTTCCCTAGGCCACTTCCCAGGCCTTTGATCATTTTGGCTGCTCTTCTCTGGACTCTGTCACATGCAGCTTAAAGGAACACAACATACACTTAATACACATATCTTGGAGGTAATTTTATATGCAATATTCTAAATAATTTTGTGCATGAAACATAGATGTCACTATCTCAGCAACTTATGTGGACAATTTTGGAGGGTTTTGGGTTTCCAGATAACGATTAATACATCTCTGTCTCACAGTGGAGTTCTGTCTCATCTAAGTATTTATTTCTGGACTTCAGTTCCCAGAGGCACCAGCCAGTAAGGGCTATGGCGAGAGAAACTGGTTGTAGTTGAATAACTTGGAGGAGTTTTCTTGTTAATATTAGTAGAAAGCAAGAGCCTCTAGAATTGTTTCACTGGGTTAGGCTGAATCCAGTGAACTTCACATGAATCTCAGTAGCCAGCAAACTACTGCCCGGTTCTCTAATCAAGTGCCTTTTAAATGTGTTGCACTACAGCTCCAACAATTTCAGGCAGCATGGCTATTTTGAAGCATCCAGGTTGTGGAAAGCTGGTGTGTAGTTTGTTTCCTGCCTATTTATGGCATATTGTCAGTCATAAAATGTGGTCCTCTTGCTTGCCAACCTCTCCAACTAGTTTCAGCACCAAATGCATTTTGAGAAAGTGTTTGTAAGGCAACCTCCAGAAGAATCTAAATGGAGGAACAATGTGGGGGGCGAAAGAGAAAAGGGGAGCTGGCAGAGATCTTCCAGCAGGAATCCTAATGTCCTTCATGAACATATGGGTGGACACTTTTTAGCCTTGCAGATACTGTACTGCAGCTCCTGTCAGCCCTATCCAGTTAAAGGAAGGACCCACATATATCATGGATTTTTTGACACTCAAAAATGGTCTGTACTGCTGAATAGTATTGATATTGCATAACTAAAAAATTGCACATGATTCTGTTGTCAATTATCATTGGAAATTGGCACCTTATTTTATGTATTTGGTTGTTAGAATTTAATCTTTGAAGCAGGGATTTAACATAGGTTTTTTCGCACACACATACATTTCACAAATATGCAGGCAGTGGTACTTCAAATGTTGTGTGGGTTACCAAGATACAGCAGTGTCTAAAATGGTGGGGGAACTGACAAGCATGGGTACTAGTGTGCCCTGTGTTTACTTAGTCTCAACACAAAAATGAATCAATATTTTAAATGTTTAGGCAGTCTGAAAGCAACAGGAAATATTTAAAAGAAAGTATCTTGCATTTTCCCACTGTTACCACATGCGTTTTCATACATAGGCCAGAACATATCTATTTGTTCAGTAGCTGATTATTTTTGCAACACCAGCATATCGGAGAAAAGCACTTACTAATTTCTTTCATCATAGGGGCTGCCTAAGAAAGAGGGAAAACAGAATAATGGCAGGGTTAGTTTTTGAGTGTCCCTCTCTTTCTTCTCCTGGGCTGTTTAAAGAGTTCTTCTCTGTACTCAGACCACTTGTATCAGCATGCTGTGCTGTCAGAAATTGCAAGTAATAAATATTAGTCTGTTAATTGGTAATCATATATAGAAAAATGAGTAGGAAGAGATCTGTATGTTTTACATTGAATTGTACAATGATAAACAAGAAAGAGAACACAATGACATATGTCCCCATCACCCACAGACTTATCTATCACAATGTGGGCTGAAGAAGCTTCATTTTTAGACAAGCAAGTACACAACAAAGAGAGCGACATTTAAAATCTCTGATGCAAATAATCCAAGTGCATACGTTTGCAAAAGCAAGCAAATTCTGTTTCCCCAAAACACCAGAAAACCCTGATGGTGATGGGGAAATCACTGGTCAAAAAACAGTGATGAGTCAGAGACTGGATTCAGATGACCTGACAAGTCATGGAACAGCAATAATCCTGGGTTGTCGCCTATTATTAGGTTGCTGGTTCATGCCTCTTCTTTTGCAGAAGCGACAAACAAATCTTTGTTTCTGATTTGTTGTGTCGACTAAATGTGGGTGCTGTTTTTCCCTCCTGGATGTATTTCTCTTTTGGAGGTTTCCTCCTTTGGTTTGTTAGTAGAACAGGAAGACTAAAAGAAGAGGAAAGCAACTAGTTAAAAACCAACAACAAACCGTAAAGTAGAGTTCCTTGGCTTATTTAGTATGCATCAGTACACTGCTGACCGTGCACCTTCAAGTCACCTGTTGACTTATTGCAACCTTAGGCAAGGAATCCTCAGAGGTACTTACCAGTTCCTTCCTCTGAATTGTAGCCTACAGCATTTGTACATGGCCAGAGTCTGTTCACTTCTGTGATTTGCCATGCCTGACCAAGTGCAATGAAGCATATGTTTCCCTTCTGTTCAGTTTTGTCCCACAGTGTTAAGGGGAACATTGAAAGATGGAAGCCACTGCAAAGACATATACAGGCTGTCCCCATGTTAAAAACAAGATGGTTCTTGTAGGTTTGTTCTACATTTTTAAATGTCATTCCAGCCAGTATATAAACTTTGGATAGCATAGGGAAGGGTGAACACACCTGTGGTGTTGTTTTGCTGTCTGTGTCCTTGTTCAGATGATTTCACCTCACTTTCTGTCCCTGTGAACATTAGATTTTGAAAAAATTGGATTCTTGTGGAAACAAGCATTGGTGATAAAGCTTTAGTTGAAACACCTTTCCCCATGATAACTCTTTCAGGACTGAATTCCCTTTCTAGGTGTAGATTTCTTTCACTTCCTGTTGTCTCATCCCCGTTCTTTACCAGGAGTCGGATGTTTGTAATTCGGGGGCTTCCTGTAGTGTGATTTCCCCCCCCCCCATCCTAAATGTGGGATGAATAGCCATGCCTTATTTCCTTAATGAAGAGATATATACCATATGCTTTATGTCCTAGAACAGCCACACAGGATGATTTGCATTTAAGCAAGGAATGAAGCAATAGAAAAACACTAAAAATGGATTACAGTGGAGAAAAATACTCTGTGTTATAGCATAAAACACAGGCAGACCATAAGATTAAATGCTTGCTGGAACAGAAAGATTTTCAAAAAACAATTATAAAACAAAATCAAGGAGAAGGCTGTAAACACATTCTCCGAACTGCCTGTGATTACTGTCCTGGCCAGACATTTAGTGCAGAGTGTCTCCAACTGATCTTAATATGCAGGCAAACACACATGGGATGAAATAATCTTATAAGTACACATCTGAGACAGTTACTCTTTTTCAGATTTTGCTAGAACAGTTGCAGCTATGTTGCTCAAGTACCACAAGGACATCCCCTAAATTAGTTAAATAAGCTAAAATATTAATTTTAAAGCTAAAGGATCTTAGTTACCTAATAGCTTATTTGATTAGGATCCTTCCTAATAAAGACAAACAAATGAAAATGCTTCTAATGTGTTACCCTGAAGCACTAACCACTACCTTAGATGACACTTATGAGTCTTCCTATGTTATGTGCCCACTTCAGACCTCATGCCCGTCAAAGCAGGAATCCAGAACAGAGGGTCAGTTCCTTAGACCAAGTTAAACAAGCCTATACAAGTTGAAAGTTGTACACCAGCCACATATTGTGGCCCACCAACTGCTTGATAACTCCTATTTCTAGTTCGGCAAACAGGAAGCACAGTAAGGGGGTTATGAGCATCATTTGCAGAGACACAATTTCTGTAAGCTGCTTAGAATGAAGTGGAAAAGAAGAGGCACCATTAATAGTTCTTCTTGCTCTTCTGAAGTTTGGTGGACATATGTGGATTAGAAGAGACAGAGAGGTCTAGCAACATATGGGTTTCAATCCAAAATAATGAGAATAAATTCTCTAGGATGGTAAGAATACAAATTGTTGCTTTTTTTGTACCAAACAAGCAAGATAGTATGGTTGAAACATGGCTTTGTTGTTCTTACTAATTGTTTCTCTTCTGTTTCAGCTAAGTGTTTACACAACTACCCGATCAAGTATAGGTGCTGAGAATAATATCGATCTGGTTTTAAATGTGGAGAATTTTGATGTCGAGTCAAAATTTGAAAGGTATGAGGAATGCATAAATTGTTTGTAAAGTGATTCCCACTTAGCGCCATGTATTCTGACAAGCCTGTCTTAAGTACTTCTAAGACTCATTTATTTTAGTGACAGAGATAAGCAAGTGCTTAATCCCTTTCATTGAACTGACTGGGTCTTGAAGGTGTTTAACTTTGGCTAGATTATCAAATGCCCTGAAAGTTATCTAGTCGTAACATTTTGTTTTATGTTTGGTTTAAAACATTTATGTGCTTTTCCCCCATTGATCTCAAATGAGTTTGCAAAAATGATAAATAATCTGACCCCAATTTTAAGTATGTACACTGAGAGGTAAATTAGCCAATCAAATTGATGTTAATAGGATTTACTTCCAGATTATATACATAGATCCAAGCTTGTCTGTTTTAATTGTCTGGTTTGCACACAATGTAGGTTCAAAAGCCTTTACAGAATTTAGCTTAGTTCTTCAGAAAAGCCCAATATTTGTGATCACCATCGACCCCCTCCTGTTTACTAACTTTTGTGACATGGCAGAGATTTGTGAGAGGTTTTTTGTTTTTGTACAGAAGATTTCGCAGAAGACTTAGATTAGTGCCCATGTTTCTTCACAATGGGAAGACCACTCTGGTTTCCTTTGTGGCAGTTTGGTGCGGAGAAAGAGATGCAGTTTGGGATTGTGCAGAAGTTCTAGCTTGATGCTATTCTTTGAAAAATCCAATAGGAAGGGAAAATAAACTGCTGCTCCTTTTTTCCTTACCCTGTTTGCTCAGTTCTACTTAGAGAAAAGTAGTTTCTTTCCCTAGTCTTCTTTTAAACCCAAGAAGTAAGAGGAAATTCCCTTTCCCCAATAAAGAATAAGGCAGTTTCTGTCTTTAATCACCTATAAACATAGAAGTAGAGAATCCTGCTTTGATTCTGTCTTTTCTAAACGGTCTCAGAGGTTTTTCACTTTTGCCAGATTTAAAAGTTTAAAAACCTGTACAGTCAGGTGAGAAAGAGACTCATTTTCCTTATCATCCCAATAGCACAAGCTCCTTCTCCTCACCAAATCGGGACCATCTTGGGTGCATTGCATACACGCATGCCTACCTTGGCATCACCCAGCTGGATGGGAGCGTAACCAGGGCGGGGGATGGCGGCTCTGGGATTTAGTCTGCTCCAGGTTTTAGTCTGAAGTTTAATGGAGTGCTCTCTGAGACAGAGAGAAAGAGAGATACACCCAATGCTGCTAACACCTTTCAAGCAATGCAAGTAAGAATCAACACAAAAATCTCCCCAAAAGTATAAACATCAGCTTTAAAAAAAAGTTTAACAAATTGAAAGATTAAAAATTACAACGTTATTGAAATGTGTTTTTTATCATCCAAACACACATCCAATGCCAGCCTTTTAACAGGAGGCATTCCAAAATAGTTCTGAGTTAAATGCAGAGTGGTTTTTTTTTTCCTTTTCCCAAGAAACGTTTTCTAGGACAGGTACAGTAGGATAGTTTCTTGCAACTGCTTTTCTCCCTCAAGAAAGTGTTCAGGGAACAAGGCAAACTGCAAACACAGCTTGAGAAGTACAGAGAAACACATGCACACAGTTCCACACATGCAGCATTCCTCCTCACCTCCTATAGTGGTTCCCTTGACTGTTCACCCACAAGTTGCCAAGAAAAAACCTGTGAAAGCATTCATTGTGAGGGGAGTCCCTCACATGAACATCCAAGACATCCCATATATTTGTATGTGTGTTTATATATGTGTCTGTTTGTGTTCATATTTCTGTCAGTTTGTATCTATGCATACATATCTGAATATCGTATATATTTGAATATGTCTGCATATTTATGTATGTCTATCTGTATGTATCCACAGATATGCATTCAGGGTGCCCTTCTAAAGTTCTGAATTAGTTGAATGGGCACGAAGGGGTTTTACTTTCCTTATTTAAAACACTAGTATTTTTTCATTATTTGAATGTTACTCATTGTGTCTGCAGTAATACTGCTATCACTGAACCTGAGGCAAACTGTAAAATGTGTTTTTATGTTTTGTGTTTTTAGGACAGTTAATGTATCTGTACCAAAGAAAACACGAAATAATGGAACATTATATGCTTACATATTTCTTCATCATGCTGGAATTCAGCCTTGGCAGGATGGCAAACAAGTGCACATAGTAAGCCCTCTGACTACATACATGGTACCAAAACCTGAAGAAATTAATCTTATCACAGGAGAATCTGTCACGCAGGTGAGATTTTTTCCCTTTGTTTTTCTACAGTATGCACATCGTTATGATGTTATTTGAGAACATTCTGTGTATAAACTGAAAATATTCATTTTGGGCAGTATCTTGCTTTGTTCTCACCTGCTAATGGCCATGCTTTTAAAAATGTAGCCATGGACAATAAATTGAAGGCAAGGCTATGACAGTTACTTACTATCTTCTCCATTTTCTTGGAAACGGTGAATCAAATTTGTGCAAACCCAATAAATATTGTCACATTGGCTTTGTCATGGACATTTGGAACAGCTCAAATTTCAATACCATTGCTTCTGTTTCCCTCAAAGCCTGCTTTAGTATTAGCTCCTCAGTTATTGTGCTAAACATTGTAATGTTAGTGTGGCTTGCTGTGAACCCAGATTTCCAAACCTTTCATTTTTGCTTTTGCCTCTTTTGCCTTAAATTGAAAAGCAAATTGAAACAGGAAAAAAGCAGACTTATGCCCTAGATGAGCCCGTCTCGCATTGGAGGTCCAGGTTGACCTTAAATGTTATGGTGGAAGATTTTGTCTTTGATGGGTCCTCTCTCCCAGCTGATGTGCACAGATATATGAAAATGTAAGTTCCTATTGATGATTTTTTGTTGCTAGTTCTAAAGGCAGTAAAATATTTGAATACTTCAGAACAATGGCCTAGGGGCAACACATGCAGATTTATTTTAGAAAAGAGAAAGCTTGTTGAATGCTATAAAATTAACCGGTCTTTGAGTATTTCTAGCAGGTGACCTGCTTTTTGGGAAATCTGTTTTAATGCGTTGGTAGATTACCCTCAGTTGTACTACTGCTACTGAATCTTTCCCACCAAAGCATGGGAGTGTTAGATAAAATACTGCATTTAGATCAGGGCTGTCTTGAGGAAACTAGCATCTCACAATCTACCTTTTTTCAAAAGTTGGAAATTAAAATGACATCACACTGTGTTTATTGCCCTGAAGATTTTAGGAAGGTATAAGACAAATGTAATAGATAAAATGTAATACCTAATACACTTCAGAAGTTAACCGTGTTGAACCTTACGTTTCTGCAAGAGAGCTGCATTCACAGGAAAGGTAAAAGAAACTCCCAGTGCCCCATCCCAAAATAGACATGTCCAGCTCCATTGCTTAAGGTGGTGCTCACTTATAATAATGTTTTTGTCTTTGGAATTGGCAGTCTAAGGGGGTTTTTACACTGTCAAATTAATGCAGTTTCACACGACGTAAACTACCATGGCTCAATTCTGTGGCATCATAGAAGCTGTAGTTTTACTAGGTATTTAGCCCTTTCTTCAAAAGAGTGCTGATGCTTCACCAAACTACAGTGGCAATTAAAGTGATTAGTTTGACAGTGGAAGAACATGCCGTGCACTCCATGAAAGATTAGTGAAATTTGATTTGCAGATCTGAGAGATACTGACTTGAGTAGAGAACCCCTCAATTTCTTTACATTTTCAGAGGGGGAAATTAATGTATTGTCCCTCTTACTCTCTCTGTTAGTTACGTTTGTAGTTTTGCTGTTAAGCTTATAGATCAGGGGTCCTCAAACTTTTTAAACAGAGGGCCAAGTCACAGTCCCTCAGGTTGTTGGAGGGCCGGATTATAATTTGAAAAAAAAAATGAATAAATTCCTATCACATTGCACATATCTTATTTGTAGTGCAAAAAAAAACCCACTTAAAAACAATACAATAATTAAAATGAAGAACAATTTTAACGAATATAAACTTATTAGTATTTATTAGTGTGGGCCTGCTTTTGGCTGATGAGATATGATTGTATTTGGGGCCCGGGCCTTAGTTTGAGGACCCCTGATACAGATTGTTTGTTTTGTACTGAAAAATATATATGGTGAAATTGTTGTTGAATCATTATATTCTTGTTACAAGACTAATATTTTAACAATAAAATTCTTGTTAAAATATAGGGTTCAGTTGGGCAAGACAGTGCATTATCTTCCAATATTATTTATTGATCAGTTGAGCAACAGAGTGAAGGATTTAATGGTAAGTTTTATTTATTTATTCAAATATTTATGCCTTTATGATCTCAGCATGAGCTACATTTCTAGCACAACATAGAATAATTGTTAATATTGTAAAACAATTCAACAAAATAAAAACCAATAATGTGGATTTTATATATATATATATCCTGATTTTCTCCCCATAGTATCTCCCAAGGTGACTTATAACATAATCAAAAACAGACATAACCAAAAGCCTAGTAAACTATAATATTAAATAATATTACACATGAAATATGTTCTATTAAAACTATTAAATTTAAAACATTACAGCAAATGTATCTTTATATTTGAATCACCACCCTCTTCTTGATGAAGATTAAATATAATTTCTACCAAATTTGGAATCATTTGAACTATTATTGGATTAAATGTTATTTCCAAAATATAATTCAGGAAACAATTATTTTAGGAGTTATATATTTTATGAAGAATATTGTTTTCCTCTGTGAATCTATTTTTGTATCCTTAATATTTTTCATTAATGCTAGTAAGACAACGTATTTCTAATATGTTAAAATGTTAAATCTCTTAAAATCATATCCCATTATTCGTTTTTTTAAAATGTATTAATTCTTTTCCAGTATTCTGTGCCATTTTGCTTTTGGCTCCTGTATTAATGTTATTTATTAGCCCTATTTCATGAATCGGCTTTCCATTTTTTTCTTTGTACTTGACTACAGTGATTTTTAAGGTCATAATTTAATGATTTAAAATACTCAATTGTATGATGTGAGCCTTTTACATATAGTTTGGAATACAGATAGAATACATTCTGAAAGAAATGTCAGCCTGAATCTTGTTATTCTCAAAACCTAATTCAGATTATAAACCGTTCAACAACAGAGCTGCCACTTACAGTGTCATATGATCAAATATCGTTAGGAAAACTCAGATTTTGGATCCACATGCAAGATGCTGTATACTCCTTGCAGCAGTTTGGTAAGGTTCTTTTTTATTGGATTGGGTGGGTGATGAGGTGTATTAAAGAGATTAATTAAACATAGCCCCCAGGTGCATCATTTATTCTATTCGTTGGCCATTGCATGCAATGACATTGTATGTGGTGGAAGGCTTATTAAACATGACCTGCTTAAAAATTCCTGTAATAAAAATATTGAAGATTGCAAAGCCTTTCTATTTTAGGTATTTTTAGGTTTTGTGCTGTTCAAGTTATGATGCCATTTTGCATTCTAGAGACTATAAAGAGTGTCCTGGTTCTCCTTTGTTTGCGCACAATACATATCCACAGAACAGGTAGAAAAGTGAAATGCTTCCTGGTTTGTATCATTTCAGATTGCAAGGCAGGATGTAATTGCTAAATGTTTCTCCATTAAAGCAATTGATGGAGATAATGGAAATAAGAACTAAAAAACTTGTCTTCTTCCTCATATTCTGGTTATCTTTGGGTGGCTTCCTGTCAAATGGGCCCACTTCATCTGCATGGAGCTCATCTGGGAAAACAGGGAACAAGGTTGTGTTCATGCAGCCTTGCCTTGTGTTAATCAATGCTGGGATAGTCCACATTCTGGCCCAGTGTAAAATGTTGGGCAGGTTTTAAGACATAACTGGCCACAACTGTTTTCACTGCCATCCCACATTTCCTGGGCTTGTGGTGGTCCAGGAGCATAGAATGGCACTTGCTGTCCTCTCCTATCCTCCATTTCGCATAGGTCTCTGTGTGCAACATTGGTTCTATTGGTTGACCATTGCCTGCAGTGGGGTGACAAGGTGATCCAGAAAGTGGGAGAAGAGGAAAGAGCAATTCGTCCTCTTCATTCCCTTGTGACCCTAGCCAACATCATTGCAGGTGATGGCAAACCGATAGAACCCATGTCACGACTTCAGCACTGACACTTGATGCTCAGGTGTCGGCAGTGGCTGGGAGGGCCTTTCCACAATTAAAACTTGCAACCATACCTTGAGAAGCTTGACTTGGCCACGATGGTCCACGCCTTAGTTACATCTAGACTTGATTACTGCAAAGCACTCCACGTGGGACTGCCTTTGAAAATGGCCCACAAACTGCAACTGGTGCAAAGGTCGGCAGCCAGGTTGCTAACTGAAGCTAATTATAGGGAGTGGATGATGCCCCTACTAAAGCAGCTCCACTTGCTGCTGATAAGTTTCCGGTCCCAATTTAAAGTGCAAGTTATCACCTACAAAGCCCTAAATTGTTCAGGTCCTGCCTATCTTCGTGACTGCATCTTCCCCTATTGACTGGCACAGGTCCTAAGATCTGTCAGAAAGGCCTTCCTCTCACTACCGCCACTGTCACAAGCATGGCTGATGGGGATGAGAGAGAGGGCCTTCTTGGTGTTGGCCCCCAGCTCTGGAGCTCCCTCACCAAAGAGATTACACTAGCCCCCATTCTGTCCGCCTTCCACAGGGATGTTCCAGTGTGCATTTGAATCACAGTTAGTCCCTGTTCATGAATGCCCAGCCCTAACTTACTGATAAGGTTGTATTTGGCATTTTACCCCCAGCCCTGGCCCTATAATTTGATTTTGCACAAGCTCATGCCCTGCCCTCTCTAATCTGATCATGCCCACCATGTTACTGGTTACTGGTTGTTGAGGTTGGTTTGATACACTTCTATGATGTTTTTATACTCTGCTGTTCTTAATTGTTTTACCGTATATTCCGGCATATAAGACGACTGGGCGTATAAGACGACCCCCAACTTTTCCAGTTAAAATATAGAGTTAAGATGACTCCCATGCATAAGACTACACCCGCGTATAAGACGACCCCTGACTTTTGAGAAGATTTTCTTGGGTTAAAAAGTAGTCTTATACGCCAGAATATACTGTAATTAGATTATTTATGTTATATGTTATTATGTTACTAACTGTATTTAGCTGATAAATTTTTTGGTTCCCTTGTAAGTCATTCCAAGTCCCTTCAGGGAGATGGTGGCGGGGTATAAAACATAACAACAGTAGTAGTAGTAGTAGTAGTAGTAGTTATTGTTGTTATTATTATTATTATTATTATTATTATTATTATTATGGTAGATTTGCTGTCCAGCAGCTAGGGAATAGATCACGTCAGATCGATCCCAGGACAGCAGGTTAGTGTAGATCTGCCCAAAGTTGCTGGGAATATTTTTATTGAGAAGGAGTTCAGTTCTACAGCCCACTTTTGGACTGTTGTGGCTGTGTGTTTGCAAGTTTATACTGGCAAAAAGACTGGTTTGGATCATGTCACGAGTACCACAGTTGGCATACTTTAAAGGCATGAAAGATTTTTTTCAACCATTGAAAGACTGTTTATGCTTAACAGCCCGTATCCAACCACATCTTTGCAGTCATGTGGTTTAGCAGATTTTGTCAAAAGGAGTAGTAAACCATTGTGTTTTCCAATTAGGTTGCAATTCTCATCATCCTTGTCTCATGGTGAATGGGGCTCATGTCATTTGGAGTCAAATGGTTGGTTCCTTACTCCAAGTGTAAAGGGAGAAATGGTATGTGTTTTGATAGCTGCAGGTCTGAGCTACATGGAATTGCAGAAATATCTTGTGCTCATGTATTTCCTGTTTGTTTTTCTAGGCTTTTCAGAAAAGGATGCTGATGAAGTTAAGGGAATTTTTGTGGATACAAACCTCTATTTTCTTGCTTTGACATTCTTTGTTGCAGCTTTTCATGTAAGTGGATTGTGAATCCTTTTGAGAGAAAAATACAGCAGCAAAAATCTGTACATATAGTTCCTAAGTACAGTATTTTCATAAAATAAACACTTGAATACTTTAAAAACACAATACCTGTGATAGAACATTCTTCTTAAATGTATTAATCTTATACCAAATCTTTAATTTGGTATATGCCCATCTAACTAAATCAAGAGATATTTCAGCAAGCAATGCAAACAGATTTGATTTGAACCTTTGAGTAATACCCTGAGCACCCAATATGCCTGTATATATCTAATAGCTTATGGAAACAAACAAAATGACTAGTTGACAAACAACTTGTAAGGAATATTATGCCCAGAAAACAAATAACTTTGATAAAGACAACTCTGGCATGGGAAGATCATTGGCATATAACACTGCCTTATATTCATGTGCTCCATTTATGAGCCTAGAGATTACTTGATTTTGCCTAATTGGACATGCCTAAATTTCCATATGTAAGTCACACATTAAGAGAGAAAGACGGCATCATTGTTGTGAGCATTTTTTAGGTGAAAGAAGTTGTAATGTACCCTGTTTGTAATTGCTTAACTTAGAAGAGAGGCAGAAAATCTCAATTCATTCAAAAATTCTGATGGAAAATCAAATGTCTTTTCATTCTTAAAACACTAACTTTCAGTTGTTTATCAAAGCTCTTTACAACTTCAAGGCAGATAATGGCAGCAGGTTCATGTCTTCTAATATTTCAAATAATCAAATTTGCAACTTGCTTTAAGCTATCAGTTACTGAATATTGGTTTAATGACAAATTAAACCAATCTGGATTTACATATTTGCCAATATTGCAGCTAATTTACAATTGAAAATGGATCTATGCTTTGCATATCTAAAGTCTTTGTCTAGTTTAGGAATAACTGATAAAAGCTTTATACATGGATATTGGAGAGGAACCCGAATACAAATTATTTTGATATAAACATAAGTAGTAATATATTTGAGTAATTTTTATTCCATTCAGTAGGGAAACTGTCTCACCATAATTTTTTTCCATTTTATGATAGACTCAATATGCTTATAAATCTCTTGCACTCATAAGTCAGCTGCAAGGGATACTTAATGCTGTAGATTAAAATATACCAGAATTAAGCTTTAAAAAGAGCAAGCAGTAATATGAGCTTCAACCATTTTTTGTGAATACAACAGCCTTTACTTTTTTAGCATTTCAAAGAATTTTTATTATGTCTCATGCAGAATTATGTAAATCAAGGCTTGCCTGGAATCAAACAATAGTGTTTTTAAAGTGGAAGATAAATAATAATTTAACCATGGCTCTTTAAAAAATATTCATATAGGCTTGCATACAGCTTTATGCATATGAATATGTCATTTTGGATAATAACAATGATAGTTGTTAGGGAATTCTGATATGTAAGTATATTTTGCTGCATCTGAAATACAGGTAGTCCTGAGTTACAAATGTCTGACTTAGTTAAGATACAGTTAAGATCGGGGATGAGACAACAGGAAGTGAGAGAAATCTACACCTGAAAAAGTTGTGAAAAGGTGTCTCCACTGAAGCTTTCTCATCAATCCTTGTTTCAACAAGTCAGGGACGGAAAGTGAGATGAAATCTTCTAAACAGGGACACAGACAGCAAAACAAATGCTATAGGGATGTCAACCTTTTGACAGCTAATATGCATATACATATTTGACTGGAGTTCCACTTTTAAAATGTACCTATTCTGACTTCTGTACAAATTAAACTTAGAACAAACCTACAGAACCTATCTTGTATGTAACTTGGGGACTGCCTGTACATGCTAAAGTTCTCAATATAGTTTGCTCTTAAAATTCCTGGTGGGAAAGTTTTGCAACGTGCATACTTTTCTTAGTCAAACATCCACAGTAAGCAAAATGTGCTGCGGTTAATTTGCAGCTCTTGCTGACTTTATAGAAGATAGGAGAACAGCATTCATGAAGATAAAGAGCAAGGTTTTCTCTTTTAGACAAATGAAAGGCTACAAACACAGTTTAGCAATATTGTGGCTCTAATCGCTGTGGTGAGATGTGGTAACTGCATAACTTTAATTATATTGCTCTCTTTTGCTGGAAGTTCTGGGCTAATGATGTGTTGACATTTTATATTTGCAGCTTCTCTTTGATTTCCTTGCATTTAAAAATGATATCAGCTTCTGGAAAAAAAAGAAGAGCATGATTGGCATGTCCACAAAAGCAGGTATGAATGCATTTTTGATCTTAGAGGGATTCTGTAGTCTTCGTGCTGCTACAATGCCAGATTGTTCCCTCCAGCAATGTGTCAGCCATCAAAATCGTAAATAAACCCAGCTAATAAAATTACAACATGAATAACAAGGGGGGGATCAGCAGATAAAAATAAAATTTTAAGGGAAAGTCGAACAGAGCAAAACTGTCTTGAAATGTCCTCGTCATATACTTATGGATTTGCTTGTCAGGCTTCAACATCTCGTTACTCCTTTTAGTGGTAAGGAGGGAATGTTTTGAGAAAGGCTTACTCACATCCAAAGTGATGCATTTTGCTTGGTTGTACGGTCCCCAGAATTCACTAATATCACTAATATCAGCCTGGGTAGGTAGCTACCTTCAAGATCTCCTTCAGTCAAAAAGAACAAATTTAAGCAACGTAAATTCTTTCAATCGGAAGTGTGAACCTGCTTTTGGCAGATGAGAGAGTCAAATAAATTACTTACTTACTTAGGCGATGCCTCGTTCTCAGAGTAGGATAGTCTTCCAGGATCAGTGTACTGGCAGTGGGTCCATAAGTGACCATGGAGCCCTATTCATGATCCGCATATTCTCCCGCAGTGAGGGTATTGGTTTCCAGGTGGAAGGCGGTCGGGGTTGGCTTGATGCACCTTCCTCTTGGCACATTTCTCTCTTTCATCCTCCATTCGTGCCTCTTCAAATTCTACAGCACTGCTGGTCACAGCTGACCTCCAGCTGGAGCACTCAAGGGCCAGGGCTTCCCAGTTCTCAAATAAATTATTGTTGTTGTTGTTGTTGTGTGCCTTCAAGTCATTTCAGACAGTGGCATATGCTGCCCTGGAGACTAGTGAAGTCTCCTTCTTTAGAGGTTTTTCAGCAGAGATGCTATGGCCATCTGTTGGGAGGACTTTAATTGTGGCAGAGAGGCTTATAATTGCCACCTGGTTCTCCCCTTTTCTCCCCAGGAGAAGTGCCATGGTGAAGGCAGCTTTTTTGGAAAACACAGAACAAAGGCAGGACGGAGAAGGAAGGGAAGGAGGACAGCTAGACAGGCTCTTGGCCTCCAGAGGCTGCCCTTCCTAGTAGCAAGTGCCTGGGCAAGCAAGGCAATTAGGGGAACACTTTGGTATGAAGTTCTCCAAACCATAAAACTGATGGTTTGGAGAACTTCACTACCTCACTACCTCTGAGGATGCTTTCCATAGATGCAGGCAAAACGTCAGGAGAGAATGCCTCTAGAACATGGCCATATAGCCCGAAAAAACCTACAACAACCCATAAAACTGATTTCTTGTCAAATTTCCTTTTGCACAGTGCTTTGGCGGTGCTTTAGTACCGTGATCATATTTCTTTTCCTCTTGGATGAGCAAACAAGCTTGTTGGTGCTGATTCCAGCTGGTGTTGGAGCAGTGATTGAGGTGAGTTGCCACACATCTGTGTTTGCTATGTATATACAGCCAGGCAGCCCAGTTCGGAAAGCAGCTTAGCAAGAATGTGTGGATTTAAACTGACTTAATCCAATTTACTTTAACAGGTCAAAACCGGCTTAATTCCAATTGATATGTCTTTTTAACCAGTTTGAAGATTGATGGTGATATAAGCTAACTGAAAAGCAGTTGCTAATTTAAACATATTCTTGTTTGATTTACATTAAAAAAGTAAATTCTGGGCCAAGGAGACAGCTTAGCTTCGCAAAAATGACTATTCTTTTAATTTGCATAATTTATTTTGCTATTTCCTGAATAGTGCCAATGTGCAGTCCACAAGTCATGTTAGTTATTCCCGTCACTGAAGTTTCAGAGGCAAGAGTTCTCAGTTCTTCGTTGTTGAAAGCATTGACTGCCTTGTTCTCATCTCAGTTTTATTTTCTCTGCCTTGCTAATGCTTGAATCTTTCTTTCTCTCCCCATATTTCTCTTTTAACTAATGTATTCTTTTATGCTTAATTTTTTAAAAGGCCTTTTCTTGCAATAAAGAGCCTTTTCTAATGTAGAGTAAGAAAGGTGCATTTTTCTGTGCTCTAGCAGAACTGCAGCATAAGCACAATTGAGTATTGCATTAGTTATCATAAAGGCTGATTCACATGCTATTTTTTGCCCTTCCCTAATGACATTGACATACTTATGTGAAACTAAAAACTCACTGATTTTCATTATGTGGTTTCTTGTTCAAATTTGGTACACTTTGGGCTTTCAAAGGTTGCTTCAGTTCTGTGTCCTATTCACATGTTAAGCTGGTCACTGAAATACACCTCTTTTGTGAAAGGAAAAGGAGGCAGTAGGAAAATAAACATGAGTTTGTGGGATTCTCCAGAGATGTAGAAGAATAATTGCTTGAAAAATGTAAATAAAAATACAGCTTTCTCAGAAAATCTTGCATTGAATTTGTAGCTGCTGACGACAACTTTTTGCTGAGTCATTACTTAGATTATTAAGCATTTTCAGAGCATGGTTTCATCCCCATTTCATTCGTCAAAAACCATGCCTTAGTTCAGGCATGGGCATACTTGAGCCCTCCGGGTGTTTTAAACTTCAGTTCCCACAATTCCTAACAGCCTACCAGCTGTCCAAAACACCTAGAGGGCCCAAGTTTGCCCATGCCAGCCTTAGTTACTCCAGGTGAGAGTGATAACTGAAATCTATATAAATAAAAATGTTATGTTCATTTGTGGGATTAACAGAACTCAAAAATTACTGGACTAATTGACACCAAATTTGGACACAAGACACATAACAACCCAATGTATGTCCTTCACTAAAAATTGATTTTGTCATTTGGGAGTTGTAGTTGCTAGGATTTATAGTTCACCTACAATCAAAGAACATTCTGAACACCACCAACGATGGGATTGAAACAAACTTGGCACACAGTTCTCCCATGACCAATAGAAAATACTGGAAGGGTTTGGTGGGCAGTGTCCTTTGGTTTTGGAGTTGTAGTTCACCTACATCCAGAGGTCACTGTGGACTCAAACAATGATGGATCTGGACCAAACTCTACATGAATACTTAATATGCCCAAATGTGAACACTGGTGGAGTTTGGGGAAAATAGAATCTTGACATTTGGGAGTTGTAGTTGCTGGGATTTATAGTTGACCTACAATCACAGAGCATTCTGAACCCCACCAACGATAGAATTGGGCCAAACCTCCCACACAGAACCCCCATGTGGGCCACAGCAACGCGTGGCAGGAGATGGCTTTCCATAAGAATCCAGGTCTGAAAATGTGATATTTTGTTGTCAAATTACTCTGAAGTCAAATTATAAAACAGTGTGGAAAGATGTGGTTTTGTGATTTTATCTTCCAGCTTTGGAAAGTGAAGAAAGCATTGAAAATGACAATTGAATGGAATAGCCTGATTCCAGTGATTAAGGTAACATATTCTCTCTGTCCTTCTCTCTCTCTGAGTCATCTGTCACCCCACTCAACCACTTTTTATCTTCTGAAGCAGTCTTAATTATAGTGTTTACTAAGAAGGACCAGAAGATATATGGGATCTGTGATTAAATCTCTTGTCAACTTTGAAAAATAATAATAGAAGTTGATAATTGTGTTGGCGGCAGCACAAAGTAAGGTTAACTGCTCTCACCCTCTCTCTACCCCATCCCAGGCCTGAGCTAGATTGAAATGGTTCTAATAGTCCATCTGATCTAGGGAACCTGGAGCTGGAAGGCCACCTTACACTCCTGTATCTTTTACAAAACTGGTATATTAGAGATTGCATTTATCTCAGGAAGGATCTTTAGTAAGCAGTAATGTGGGAAGTACCAGCTACCCTGCATGTACAAACATTCTAACCCAGCAGGGTGCAAAATTGGGTGACTAGTCAGGTAGAGGCAATGTTAATACACTTTAACTCCACCTCTCTTCCCCATCCTATAAAGAGCCCCCTAGGCAAAGCCTAAACTTTGAAATCATGCTCATTCCAGAACTTGTAAATAGCAATATATTTTTCATTCACTAACCTAGTATTCAACAGGATCATTTTTAACGAGAGACTGTCACAATAGTTACCCAGATTAATTGAACTGGAAGGCAACTTGAGGGCCACTGACACTCTATTTCCTTGGTTTTCAACCTTCCTAATGCCATGACCCCTTAATATAGTTTCTCATGTTGTGGTGACCCCCAACCATAAAATTATTTTGAATGGAATAGCCTTTAATTTTGCTAGTGTTATGAATAGTAATGTAAATATCTGATATGCAGGATGTATTTTCATTGTTACAAATTGAACATAATTAAAGCATAGTGATTAATCTCAAAAACAATATGTTTGGGGGCGTATGGACAGCAGATGATGGGATTTGCAGTACCTTCAACCGCTTCAGCTCTGACTTACACAGACCACTGAGACCCCCATGAATGACAGACTTGAGCCAAACTTGGCACACAGAACTCCAAGTTTGGGAGGAATTGACAGTGATTTAGGAGAGAAACAATGATCGGGACCAAACTTCGCATGAATACTCAATATGCCCAAATATGAACACTAGTGGAGTTTGGGGGAAATAGATCTTGATATTTGGGAGTTTGATTCACCTACAATCAAAGAGCATTCTGAACTCCACCAGCAATGGAAGTGAACCAAACTTGGCACACAGAACTCCCATGTCCAACAGAAAATACTGGAAGGGTTTGGTGGAAATTGACCTTGAGTTTTGGAATTGTAGTTCATCTACATCCAGAGAGCACTGTGTACCCAAACAACAACGAATCTGGACCAAACTTTGAATACTGGCAGAGTTTGAGGAGGATTGACCTACGATTTTGGGACTTGTCATTCACCCACATCCTTATACATTTTCTAATGGGAGCATTAATAAAAACAAAAGGAAAGGCTGAGTTCTTTCTAATAAATAGCATTACAAATTACATAAACTGCTTCTGCTCCTCCTTCTGATGCTCCTGGGCCACTCACAGCTCTGTATCTTTCTCCCTTGCCTTGAAGGGACTTGCGAGCCTTCCTTCGGCCTCTCGCACTCTCCCTTGCCCACGCACTACTCTGCCATGCACCGAGCACGCCTGCTCTTCTCTCATCACTTGGAGTTTCAGAAATAGCCTTCTACTTGGCTGAGACGCCAGCAGAGAGGTCGGCCAGTCACATCAAAGGAGGGCTTTTGGTGGGAGGATTCACTGCCGTCTCTTTCCAAAAAGGAAGAGAAGGACAGGTAGAGAGATCTTCAGCTTTCTCTGCCAAGGGGGTTCCTAAAACCATCAGACATATGTGTTGCGGATGGTCTCTGGCGATCCCTCTGAAACCCACTTGCGACCCCGCCCCCAGGAGTCCCGACCCCAGATTGAGAAAAGCTGCTCTATTGTGAGGCATTCCCACATGATAACTCAACTGCCTCTTACTTCAGGTATTTTCCTCTGTCCTGTGACAGCTGCTTTTCAAGTTCCATCATCTATCCCCTACCCTTTGGAAAACACATTCTTGCAGAATACGCCAATTTTAACAGATTAACTGATGAATCCGATAGGCAGATATCAAGAAGTTGCCAATAGGATTCTTTAAATCTCTGTCTAAATCTAAACTGGAAAGTTTTTTTTTTTATCTCTGGGTGAATTATGTAAGGTGGCTGGTACATCTCTTTCTTTGCTATCTATTGAAACCCTTTTTCCTTTTAATCAAAAAGATCAAAACAGTAGAACATGTGCTGTAGTATCTTCACATTTTAGATTGTATGTTTTCTACATTTAAGACAATGTTGATTAGAGTTCAAGCTTCTTTTAATGTATTTTAGACTTCTGTTTGAAACCATTTCAGTGTTTCATGCTGGAAGAAGATTGTCCTCGATCATGATGTTATTGTAGTCCATTACAACTAAGACTGATCATTGGCTTCAGCTTTAACAACTGTTGTTAAACAGTCATGCACTTTCATCTGGTTTTATATAGCAAATACCTTTTCTGATACTGTCTTGTCATTAGTCACTTAGTCAGAAAAGCATGTGGTCACACTTTGAAGTCTCATGCTCTAAAATGCTCTTTCATCCTTTGAACATTACTGTATGAACAATCTCATTTTGTTTAACTATTAGGCACTATATGTTCTCATCATTTTATTGCTCTTAGGCCTCTGGGTGGCAGTTAATTTTCTAGAAGACCTACTTTGAGAAATGATCAAGTAGTACAGTTCTTCATCCAAAAACTGGATGGCCCTCAGGTTCTGTTGCCTATAATGCCTGCTTATCCATGATTTTTTTATTTTATTGAATGTCATGCCTTAGGAGGCAAGGTTTAGCTAAAAGTCCTTTAGTCAAAGTCCTATAGGTAGTATTTTGATCTCAGAGTGATATATTTGTTTCTGAAACCAAGGCTATGTAACAATCAAAACTTGTACAGTTTTCGTATATGTATTTGTCTGCCTGACAGCTTCTTTTCTTGTGTTTCCTACAGTTTGGTGCTTTTACAGAGTCAGAAAGGAAAACTGAAGAGTATGATACCCAGGTAAGAGAAAGTAATCTGTAATACAGATATTTACTGCTGAACCAGGTTGAACGTTTAATTGTGTAGTTTCGTACTAAAATACAAGCATGAGGACATTTTAAGTAGAATTTACAATAGGGATTTCAGGGTTGGGGAAACTGCAAGATATGAAATGTTTATGTAATTTGCTTTTAAATGTTTTAGATTGAATATCACTTGCCCAATAGAAAAATGCCACTTCTGGAATCTGCTAGGAGTGGAAAAAGGCAAATAACCTTTTCCCCAAAGCCTCAAGTACTGGCAGCAGACAGCTGAAAATAAAGGCCAGAAATCACTGCCATTTTTCTGCTCAGCAACCAATTTTCAGCCATGTGTATCCAAATGCTGGTGTGGAAAGTGGGATGGCCCAGAATTGGTCCCTGCATCCAGTTGCCATCACTGGCCAGACAGGACCAATGACGTACAATTGATCTCTAACACAGATCCAAAACTTGGTTTGTTTGTTTGTTTTTGGAATTGTAACCTGTTAATACATAGTTGTCTGCCCAGTCCACCATCTTGCCCAGATGGGAAAATGGAAACTGAATGGTTAGCAGTAGTTAAGTGTTGGATTCTTGTGGTAATTCAAATGATTGAAAAATTGAGCTCAGCAAGGTCTTGTAAAGGAGCCCCCATTGGCGCAGTGGGTTAAAGTGCTGAGCTGCTGAGCTTGTTGACTGAAAGGTTGCAGATTCGAATCCGGGGAGCGGCGTGAGATTCCGCTGTCAGCCCCAGCTTCTGCCAACCTAGCAGTTCGAAAACATGCAAATGTGAGTAGATCAATAGGTACTGCTCTGGGAAAGGTAAGGGAGCTCCATGCAGTCATGCTGGCCACATGACCTTGGAGGTATCTACGGACAACACCGGCTCTTCGGCTTAGAAATGGAGATGAGCACCACACGCCAGAGTCAGACATGACTGGACTTAATGTCAGGGGAAAATCTTTACCTTTACCTTTTCTAAGGCCTTGTAAAAGGTTAATGCTGGCCAGAAAGGTCTTGGTTTTCCTTGAGTAGCCTTTTCTATCCAAAACAAAAGGGATGTAAATTTTGTCTGAACAATGTCAGTTGAATGGGATCTATAGGTTCACATTTGTGTTCCTGGTTCAGCCACAAATTTCTCAGTAATATGACTGTTGTGAGTATAAGAGATAAAAACCATGTACATCAGCTTGACCTCACTGAAGGAAAAGTGAGATCCAGAAATATATAGAGTTGGTGAAGGCTTTAAGTTTTGTTTCTCTCTCTTAGGCTATGAAATACTTGTCATATTTGCTGTACCCATTGTGTATTGGAGGTGCAGTTTATTCATTGCTCAATATTAAATACAAAAGGTAAGGGTGCTATAAATGTATTTTTTAAAATCTGAAACATACATTGGGATTTATCATTGAAGTTGCCTAGCTTGCTGACAACTCCAAATTATGTGTTTCAAGGAGATTAGAAAGAGCTCCAAAAGGATCTTTTCAAAACTAGAGATAATATATTTTAAAAGCATCGTAAACAAGTATAAATTGATATACAATATGCTTGAATATCAAAGCTTCATGTTATCACTGATGGCATTTAAGCCAGCAGTGACTAACCAAGCAATACGTCCTGGAGTTATAGTGTTTGATGAAAAAATGGTTCCATTATACAGCTGCTGTGGAAAAAAAACAAACCATATGTTGTAGGCAGAAAATGAATAAATTGAATGTTCAAATTCATATTACTCATGTTACAAGTGGAATAGTAATAACACTTCAAAACAACTAGTATGTAGATGTAAAAGGTGCAGAGAAACCTCCAGTTGTATAAAGATTAGACTTGTTAGAGCAGAAGAAAAGTATGAATAGAATGGAGAAAGTATTAAAATTTAGAGCCAAAACTCCGTCATGGGCACTTGGTTGAAATGTGCTATATCCTGTGGCATGTGAGCAATTAGTCTTTAAAAGGGAGGAGAACCTTGACAATTTTAAAAGCAGCTAAAGCAAATGTGAGGAAAATGCAACCTACAAAATACATGCAGATTATTTTTGGGATTATATTCCACTCTTCCAATTTTTCCTTCAACCCAAAATGCTTCCAAAGTTTTTTTTTGGGGGGGGGGGGGCAATTTTTCTATGTCCCCTTTCCAAATCATTTGAGGCTGTTTTAGGGAAGGCATTATCTCCAACTCAAGAATCACTTCCTGCTGAGAAAAATAGGCAAACAAAGGTCTGTAAGGGTCCAAAATATGACAAATTTCCTTCTTTGTCCCCTAATGGTATACGTGGGTTGTTGTTTTTTCAGGAGTGTTGCCTTCCAAGATTTCCAGGGGTGGACTGGGTGGTCGGCTCTTGTTCTCTTGACTACATATCATAACTGTCATTTTGGATTCAGGATTCTTCCCTCTCTTGTTGTGTACCTTCAAATTGTTTCCAATTTACGGTGACTCTACAGTGCATATCATCAGGTTTTCTGAGCAAAATATGTTGAGAGGGAGTTTGCATTTACGTTTCTCTGAGGCTAAGATAACGTGACTTGCCCAAAGCAACACAATGAATCTGTATGGATGAACAAAGATTTGAACCCTTGTCACCACGAACGTAGTCCAAGAGCTAAAATCGCAACACCATGCAAAGTACAGTATGGTGTTGCCATTTTAAATGTTGGGCTACTGCCATGTTACTAGATGTAAATTTGCATTAATTGTTTTACTTTTCTCTTCTTTCCCTTTCCTTAGCTTGATTTTTTTCCATTTTATAATTTTTGTAAATACTTAATGGAGGGTAGATTATAACAGTGGTTCTTACTGCATATCCTAAATATTGCACCTTGTCTACCACTACTGCTCCCAGTATTCCCTTAAGACTATCGAATATTAAATGCCTTAAGCCCATAATGGGAAAGTGACCTACTGTTATTGGTTAAAAGAAGAGGAAAGACCTTTTCCTTGTTAAGTATGGAATAATCTGTTTTTAAATTGCCCTTGGATGAAAATACTCTTCTCTTTTTTCCTCTCTTGTTAGCTGGTATTCATGGTTAATTAACAGCTTTGTCAATGGTAAGTGTGTGCTCTTTGTTTTTATACATGTTTTCTTGATCTATAACAAACACACCCCTTTTTTCTAGTTATAGCTCTTTAGATAAGAATACACTAGCTGATTATGAAAAGAAATTCCTTGAAATGTAGTATAGATTAAGTATCCCTGTATTTCATAATGAAATATCTTAACATGAAATGCATTTGTGTTTCATATGCACTTTATACACACTTTGTGCATGAAACAAGGTCTGTGTACACTGAACCATCAGAAAACAAAGATGTCCATGTGGACAATATTGGAGTACTTTGGAATTCTAGACGAGAGATGCTCAACCTGTACTTCTTCAAACCATAATGAAACTCTGGCTAGATTGTGCTATTGTGAATGGAAGTACTACTTCCTCACATATTACACGAACAAAAACTAACATAGAAAATGTGAATGTTTGGAAGGAATGGAACTAGAACCTAAAGCTGATGTGCAGGGAGTTTTTGATGTTAGGAGGCACTGAGATATTCCCTGAAGTTTTCAAATGCACCTCAAAAGCAATTTAGTAGACTCAAATACTGTGGGATCCCCTGGAAGCTTAATATTTACATTTCTGATTAAAATTCTGGTGACAGTGTCATCAAGTAATCAAATATCTTGGTTCTCATAGAGAAATGTAAAGTTAATAAAAATAATTTGGTTTTTAAACACCCATTGATTGCTTTCTGTAGTATGTAGTTTTTCTGGTTCATTCTGCAAAAGTGAACCATCCCCAGATCCTATAAGTAACTCTTCAGTTTATTCTGTAGCCTTTAATTTATATATGTAATAATAAAATGTTTCTGAGGCCTGCCTCTTGACCGGCTGCTAACAATTGAAGTAGAGGGCAGCTGTGGCAAAGTAGTTTTGGTTTACTAGCATAAGAAAACTTAACTTTATATTTAAAGCTAAAGACCTGTGGTAGCTATATAAAGATTAAAAGAATAGTGTAGCTTTCCTGCAGGCTTAAAATCTGATAAGACACTATATAAAGATAGGAGGGAAACGATGCAAAAGAGGGATCAGTACAGCTTGATACGACTTTAAGTGCCATGGCTCAATGCAGTGGCATCATGAGAGTTGTAGTAAGGCCCAACATTCTTTGGCAGAGAAGGTTAAATATGTTGTACAATTGTAGCTCCCATGGTTCCATTGCATTGAGCCATGGCAGTTAATGTGGTGTCAAACTGCATTAATACTACAGGGTAAATGCACCCAGATTAAAGTACCAAAGTACATGCATGTTTGTATGGTCAGCCTCAGAGTTTTGAGAGAGGAGGAGCTAAATGGAGGTTAGTCCTAATTTGACTAATGAAGGCAACCTCTCCTCCTGCTGCCTCTGATAGCTTGTATTATACACCTACTTGGAAGCAAATCTTTTTAAGTGCAGTGAGACTTTTATTTATTTACTAGCCGTCCCCTGCCACGCTGTTGTTGTGGCCCAGTCTGTGTATATGTGTTTTGTGGGTTTTGTGTGTATATATGTGTATATATGTGATTTAGCACATGCAATGTAATGTATTTTTATTTTTTGGCTTTTTAAGCCTTTTCCGCTGTGTTTTTAGTGTCTTTGTGAGTGATGGTCACTTGTTGGCCTAACAGGTGTCTTGTGTCCAAATTTGATGTCAATTTGCCCAGTGGTTTTTGAGTTATGTGAATCCCACAACCAAACATTACATTTTTATTTATATAGATTTATTTATTTAAAACTTTTATAWCCCGATCTTCTCAACKTCCGTAGAGGGACTCAGACCGMCTTACAGCAAYGATTCAATGCTAATAGTACAATCTAAAAACATCATATAATYACAAGTTYAAATACGTATCGATTAAAATMARAAATAAGCCAAATCGCCAAGATAAAARCATGTCCAACRCAGTCCATATGTGTGGTCAAAAATCCTGTAATGCAAGCTAGTATTGTTGTGCTTGTATATACTAAAATGAAYTGGTGCCATACATAGGTTTGCTTAGTATTCTTGATACACAGAGAAGCAGAGACCGAGACCTTGCWTTGAGACACATGCATGTGTCCCATAGTTAGGACTCTGGATGCTAACCCARCCCAYACCCATTTTGTAAGCAGTGCATGCCCTATRCCACCCCCAAATATAACTATTTTACATTGTTAAAATGYCTGGCAATAAGTGAYGATCCAACCAGCTATTTTCCTGTAGCTGGGCATACTGTAACAGGCATCGATAGGGAGCCACGAGGGTTCTTGATACATCCTTGCAGATGATGTCTGACCACAGGAAAACTGGTAGACAAGCCCTCATTGATCCTCCTGGTCTCTTGAGATCCTAGAGGTGGCAGCGTTGGTGGGTTGCACTTGTTTGCAAGGTAGATGTGAAAGGAGTTTTTGGTCCTTTCATAGTAAAAATAGAATTACAGCCTCCACCACGACAAAAAAAGTGAGTTGTGATGCCTTCCTAAGTGTTGAATTAATTCCTCTGTAATCTGAAAAATTAAAATCAACTCTTTCTTTCTCATCCAACAGGAGTATATGCTTTTGGATTTCTATTTATGTTGCCACAACTGTTTGTAAATTATAAGGTAAATGGATACTTAATTCACTATTTTAATGTGTGTATGTGTGCATATGTTGTTATTTTTAGCTTAGCAAGCATCATTACTGTTAGTATATATGACCACCTTCTTTAATTTCTTCTAGATGAAATCTGTTGCACATTTGCCATGGAAGGCATTCACATATAAAGTAAGTTAATTTCACATTTCAAGATTTGTAGTTTAGAACAATGGTTTCCATGTACTTAAATATCAAAAAGCAATAGATGCTTTGAGTGAGGAGGTTGTCACCCTGGAAAGGCTAATATAAAAGTTACTCTTCAGTAATTCTGATAGCATTGGCAAATATAACGTGCCATTATAATATATGAAAATTATTTTACATGAGCCACACTTTTAATCTGTTTGAGATGAGTGTTGGTAGCAATTTTCATTACTCCTCAAGCATAAGTGTTTCAAATGCTAATAGGTGTGTGGGAGCAGCTTTGAATGTACTGTGAAAAGCTTCATTTGGAGATGGGAATTCGAAAGTGTTTTAACAGGTAGAAAGGAATCCCTAGAGCATGTCTGTAGAACCTGTGCAAAGATAGTCCCATCAACAACATGTGGGAGCTTAAAAGGGGGGATCAATTAAACTATATCTTTCCTGACTGTCTAGAATTGTGCTATTAAATTAGGAAGAGGGATGGCAAGCACCAAGCAGATTGCAAAATATGGCTGATGCAGTGCCTTTGGCTTGATGGATCACTGTCTGATTAGACTATCAGGCCTATCTCAAATCTTTGTCCGCAATGCTTTAGGTGTCTACTGCTACGGTTGATGTGTGTATTTATATGTTATCAGTTTGCAGTGGTTCTCAACCTGGGGTCCCCAGATGTTTTTGGCCTCCAACTCCCAGAAATCCTAATAGCTGGTAAACTGGCTAGGATTTCTGGGAGTTGTAGGCCAAAAACATCAGGGGATCCCAGGTTGAGAACCACTGAGTTAGAGTTTTTACAACAATAAGGATTCTGTTTTGAAACTCAGACATACAGTCTTGTGCAGTATGAAATGGAGTATCCTTCCACACATGGGTTCTGGAACTGGCTAGCATGCAAATACACACAGTCATTTTTAGTTTTTGGTGCACAATTGGAAATCATGTTACAGCGGTAGGGTGGCCATTTGATCAAAGAATATTCTTACTTTAAGGGTTGGTTTTTATGTTTGTTTTTACACTTTCATCATGAATGCTTCCAAAGCAGTCATTGGGGATTAACACGTAATTGATATATTATTCAATCTGATGCATTTCTCTCCTTATCCCTTCTAGGCATTTAACACTTTCATTGATGATATTTTTGCATTTATCATCACAATGCCAACATCGCATCGACTGGCGTGTTTTAGAGATGATGTAGTGTTCCTGGTTTACCTTTACCAAAGATGGTATGGATTCCTCACCCAACTTCCTTCTTAGTCTGCTGAAAAAGGCAAATCTTAGTAGTTCTGAATATAATGAGTATGTGAGAAAAATAAGTTTCGAAACATGTGAAACAGGAATTATTGAGTCATGTTAATAGGTGCTTTGATTGTGCTTTTCCTGCATGGCAGGGGGTTGGGCTAAATGATCCATGTGGACTCTTCCAAATCTATTATTCTGTTTTCACCTAATGTGGAAAGGCAGGAAGATCTTCTTGAAAGACATATGAGGGGGTGAGAAGAAAGCCTATAATCCTGAATCATAATCTCTCTCCTTTTTTAAGAGCTTAGATATGTTAGATATGAAACTAATCCTTGGTTAGATGTATTGATAAGCACTTGTAAAATCGTGATGCTACCATTTAGGAGGATCCAGTTCTCCATACCTTCCTGTGTCTGTCTCAGATTGCAGGAAGGATTTTTAGGCTTTTTAAAGAATTCAGATCTTGATATTCTGCCTCAGTCTAGTACACTGGTTCTAAACCTGTGGATCCCAAGGTATTTTGGCCTACAACTCCCAGAAATCCCAGCCAGTTTACCAGCTGTTAGGATTTCTGGGAGTTGAAGGCGCAAACCATCTGGGGACCCACAGGTTGAGAACCACTGTTCTAGTATATCCTGCCTCAAACGTCTGCCCTCCAGTGGCCATGCTGCCTCAGGTTGATGAGATTTTCACCTGATTATTCCAAGAGGCTCCATCCAAGGACTGGAAAATCTGTTTTAAGAGAAATAGAGGGTAGTTTTTCAGACAGAGGCAAAGGGTTGATTTTAATGTCTATGGTGAGCAGGGAGAATGATTAGCCCTTTTGTTTTGATTACATAGATCAAGCTTGCACAACCTATGGCCCTCTAGGTATTTGGAACTCCAACTCTCAGAAGCCCTAGCCAGCTTCTCAGAAATTATGGGTGCTGAAGTTTAGAACACTTGTAGGGCCACAGGTTGTGTAGGCCCTACAAGTGTTCACTGCTAGATTAGAAAAGAAAAAGCATATGGCCTTAGAGATAGAGCAGTCAATAAAAAATCTGACAACCTTTGCCAGCAGGGACATTGTGGTGGGAGCTAGCAATAGTATTTTCCCTCTTTAAAGGTTTTAAAGTATGAGTAGAAAGAACTGCTGTTTCTTCTTCGTGGTCTCTGTGAATACACACAAATGGGTCTAACTGTGCCTGCACATATTCCAACAGAAAGCTTTCCCAAGCTCTATCTTTTTAGTTTTGGAAGTAACCCCATCCACTCCTCCCTAGGGCATAAAAGAAGCCCTTGACAGCAGCTCCCCAGTTCCTTTTTTTACACTGCCGCAGCTACTTCGGAAGCTTTGCTCTTCACGAAGATGCCTGCCACACGGTTTAAATGTTGTATGAGCTGCATCATGAAGATTCCCGACTCTGACTGGCATTTGCTGTGTCTCCTCTGCCTTGGAAAAGGCCACATTGTCAGAGCATGCCAGCATTCCCAGGCCTTTACTTCTCAGGCCAGGAAAAACAGGTAAGCGAAGCTTCTCTCCCTGTTATACCAGAAGGCTCTCCCACCATCTGTGTCTGAGACACCTCCATTGTACCCTCACAGGCTTGTCCTCGTCAAAAACACCGACCTCAGTACCCAAGAGGACGTCAACCTCAAAGTCTTGGGCCTCGAAGCAATCAGCCACATCAATAATCGCATGGATGTTGGGCTCTATCACATTCATATGATTGACACACTCCATTACTTTACCCCCCCCCCCCTTATTCTCGATAAAGATTGCTTTTAAAAGACTTAAGAGGGCAGAGACTGCTGGACTAGGGTCTGCAAGATCCTTAATCCCTCCTACACCTGGAAAATCCCTGGAGGTCAAGTTACAGAATAAGAAGTAGTCTTTCAAGAAAAGGAGAATTCAACATTTTTCTCCATCTGCCTCGTTCAGGACAGAGCTGGTGACCTTATTGGAAAAATCCTCATGCTGTTCTTCTCCATTGCTTCCCCCAGTAAAGCTCCCTTGTTCGCCTCCCAACCCTTTCAGAAGGTGAGTTTCAAGAATCCCCTCAGAGATCCACAAATACAGTCATCCAGAGACAGCTCCCAACTGCTCCTCCATCACCAGTCCACCAAGAGCTCTTCCCGGCCCAGCCTTCAACTCTTCAGCATGACCACTGTTGTCAAACAACTTGCCTTGCCAGGGCAGCTCAAGAGGTGGCCTCAAAACACCCCCCCCCCCACTTCTGCCTAAGAAAACTACCAAGGCTTCAGCCACTTGTCTGGAACATCCTCCATCACCTCTTTGCCAACTTGAGAAGGGCGGGATATAAATGCCACAAATAAATAAATAAATAGAAGAACCCCAATCCTCTGGCAATCATAATCACGAAGCTGATTCCATCAACTTTGTCTCAGTGATTTGGCTTGGAATTAAACTCTTCCCACGGAATGACGCTTATGCCTCTGACCCACCTTTACCTACCGACAATGTCCGAGCCTTTGGTGAACAGATGATAAGAATGGCTGAAGCTCTCAACATCGAAGTCAAGTAATCAACAACTCTGTTTTTAAAAAGGTTCAGGGAAAAGTCCCCCGCAGCGACCCTGCTCCCGTTTCTCCTGTACCTCCTAGAAGTCATCCAAGCTTCGTGGAAAAACCCTTCGCCTATCCCACCCACATCAAAGAAAATGGAATCCTGGTACAGGATTGACGATCAGGGCTATGACTGGTTGGCACACCACCGACCCTCAACTCGGTGGTGGTCAAGGTGTCACAATTGTCAGACAAGCAGAACTCCTCTTCAATCAATTGATGTATGTCCCACCTTCCTACATCTAAGCTTGCTAGTCTCCCATTTGTGTGTATTCACAGAGACCACAAAGAAGGACAGGTTGCTTACCTTTAACTGTTTCTTCTAGTGGTCCTCTGAATTCACACAAACCCACCCATTCCTCCCCTCATTCATGCAATCCTACCCCTTTCTAGATGCTTGTGGCTTAGGAACTGGGGCGGGGGCACTGGAAAGGGCTCTTTTTGTGCCCTGGGGAGGCATGGGCAGAGTTACCACCAAAACGCAGTCAGAGCTTGGGAAAGCTTTCCATTGGAACCTGCGCAGGTGCAGTTAGACCCATTCACAGAGGACCACTTGAATAAACACAGTTACAGGTAAGCAACCTGTCCTTCTGGAATATAGGTAGAGGAACTAGTCTTATTTTGTTAATCAGGCTACAGACATACTTTTTGATTTAGGAAACAAACTTGGTTTCAAAATGGCACTGCTCCACATTGATTATTTGATAACACTGTCCACATTTTCAGAAGGTTATGCTAGCAATCCAAGCTGTTTCATGAATTTGTTTTATGCACATTTATTGATTGAGCAATAGAAAGAGTTGCAAAAATACAAATGCAGTGAGTCTTTTTTAACACAAGTTTTTGTTATTTTGCCAAGGCTTTATCCTGTGGATAAGAGCAGAGTGAATGAATATGGTGAATCCTATGAAGAGAAGCCGAAAAGAAAGCCCCACAAAGAATAATTTTGGGATAACTCTACAAGCCTCTTGGGACTGCTGCAAACTGTCTGACTTTTTAAAAAGTGATGAAGCGAAAGAGTATTCTTCAAGGCTTGCAACAGAACTTAACAGACAATATATCATCTGCATTGCCAAAATATGTTTTCATTGCCGAGGGATCAATCTTCTTTTATCTTTATCATTTGTGTGTGGTTTGGGGGGGGGGGGTGTGTCAAGAAGTCTGACAATATTTCTGTTAGGTTTCACACCACCAGTCAACCTTTTCTGTGAAAGTTTTTGCATTGGTATTTGTGTCTGTTTTACTTAATATCTTGAACCTTCCAACAACAGGCAATGAGGCATTTGCAATTTGTGGCCACTACTTAAGTAAAGAGAAGGGGATACTGTGCATAATTGTAAAAAAGGTGATCGTGGTGTGTGGGGAGGGATAAGCCTTTGACTTTCCAGCCTTCTATAAAATGTTTTTGTACTTTGTTGGACCAATCCTAAGGCACAGTATATCCAAAGCTGTAAGCTGTTAAGTCCAATTGATTTCGGTAAAGAAGAGTGAAGCATATGCTTATGCTCTCCTTTAGAAATCAAGTGGGTTAGAGAAATGTTTGTTTAGCTGGATTGTCCCCCATGTTTTATATCACTTTTCCCTACTGTGCGCATTTCAATTTCGTTTTTAGACCAAGCTGTCAGCTGCAGTTCTCAATAGGAAATTAGTTACGGCAGCAAAACTGAGCATCCTTGCTGCAATATTATCAATATATAAAGGCATGTGCTGTATGTTATGTGTACCAGACAGTTCTGAAATGCCACTGGACATAGCTTCTAACTTTTTAAAAATACATTTTTAACTTGTAGAGGCGAATTAGAATAAATCCAACAAACCACATGCAGCAAAGAGTATTCAGTTGTTATATTTTTGTACACAGGGCGAAACACTTTCTTTTGCCCTATAGATGGAACATCTGGGTTCCTCCGAAACTAGATCTTTTTTCTAAGGCGAGAACCATTATGTTGTAGTCAGAGACATCTTTTTAAAAAGGATGTAAATACATACTTGCATGACACACTATTGTGCCAATTATACTTCGGCAGGGAACCTTTTCCTTTCTATATTGACATTAAACAATGAAGGAAAGTCATTTGAAGTCATCAGTAGCTAGACTAAAACTGGAGGTAGTGAGATACATTTCTAGAGGAGATTGTGTTTAAAGTCTGGTGAAAAGAGAAATCAACTTTCCAATTGCCTTTTTTTTTGGTACAGGGATGTAAACTTTTATAACTATCCTTTTTATAAATTTGGATGCTGCATTTATTAATTAAATAATCTCCCTATTTTTTCTGAAATGTAATTTATTTTAAGTATGTTTAGAATGCAAGTGAAAAAAGATCTTCACTTACACCATTGCATGGAATCGAGCAGAGCTGCAATGCTATATCTGTCCTATATTGAGGTAAATGCCCTCTGAATTCTGTGGGATTTTTATTACTGGACAGAAATGTATGTATCTGCAGTTTTAGTCCCTTGGTATGAGCTCCTTGAGCACTGCATTACAAACATAGGTCTTTTGTGCATGTCAGTAAGGGATCTCTCTGTGCATGTAGGACCACTTGCCCACCCCACTGGATGGGGGCTTAGGGGTGCCATCTTGTGCCCAATTATGCATGCTTAAGCCCATTGACGTGAATGAGACTTGAGCATGCTTTATGGTGATCCTTGTTGCCAAAAGAATTTTGCATTTAATACCACTGAATGCACATGCATGTTGTCCCCATTAATAACACCCCGAAATCCACTTATGGTTAGCATCAGGTGGCTTGTTGTGGGTTTTTAGGGTAGGTTACTAATGGGTTGGAACTCAACTAAGTAGTTAAGCCCTAGTCCCATTCAAGGGAATGGAAGAAACTAATTAATTTGTCAGTGGAACCAAAGTGTGACAAATCTAATATGCAGTGTCATGTATCTAGTATTTTTTTAAATGACAATGTTGGCACCCAAATACTTGATTTTTTCCCCTACTACCTTTATTCTATAAAGCAAGGCTTAAATTAATGTACTGAGTGGGTTTGGCCATGATCTATCCAGTGGAATACTTCTAGGTCCAAAAAAAAAATCCTGGCAGAAATACTAATATCCCAGGTTTCTTTGTCTGGTTGGTATATCAAAGTACAGAGGATCCGTGCTTAGCGGAATAATTTGCAGCACAGTTATTATTTCCTTTAAATTAACTTGTTTTGTTTTAAATCTTGAATGAAGAATGTAACATCTTATTGTCCTATCAAAGAAAAGACCTGATTAGCTTCTTGTTGAGTCAGTGACCTTTGTTCCCTTCAGTCTGTGTACAAAATAAACGTTCATGCAGAGAGCCCAGGCTCTGATTATACTTCTGAAGATGTCTGTGGATTCAATGTAAGGTTCCCATTTAATTTAGCAGTTGATTCAAGCTGAAGTTGAGAAATGATGCATTCTGATACATACATTTGATCTACAGTTATGAAGCTGCTGAGTTCAGGAAAATGGTCAAGAGAGATTCGCAAAAAAGATAGATGTCTTGACCCCACACTATGTGACCTTTTCCCAATTTCATTTCATCTATGAAGCAGATCTAGGCAAGTTGCTATTACTCTCCTACCCCAATAATTTTGGTTTTTGTGTAGGGAATATTGATAATAATAATAATAATAATAATAATAATAATAATACTTTATTTATATTCCGCTCTATCTCCCTAAAGGGACTCAGGGCAGATTCCAAACATAAAAGGCAAACGTTCAATGCTCAAATACAACAATACATCCATACTAATAAAATTTAAATAACCCAACATATAAACACGAATTATAGCTTAACAACCAAAATTAAATAAAAGAAAAAAACTCTGCCTGTTATAACAGACGTAAGACAAAACATATAGCACATGAAAGGATTACAAACCAGTGTGTTTACGATCCGAACCCCTTTCAAAGCCATGACTTATGCCGACTCTTTGAATTTCATAGGGTTTCTTCAGGTGGTTTTGCTACTTCCTTCCTCTGAAATAGTGTATTTTTAACAGCCTCACATCCAAATACAAACCAGGGCTGACCTTGCTTGGCTTCTAAGATCAGATGGGATCTGGAGGAGTACTTCCCAAACTTTGGTCCTCCAAATATTTTGGATTCTGGGGCCCATAATTCCCGACAGCTGGCCAAGGTAGCTGGGGCTTCTGGAAGTGGAAGTCCGAAATATCCAAAGGAATAAGATTGGGAACCACTGCTTTCGGGTATTTAAGTCCTTAGGGTCTCTATAATAAGTGTATCCAATATGCGTATGTGTTTTTAACCATATAAAATCCAGATTATCAAATTTGAACTGGATTATTTGATTTGATAATCTGGATTATATGGCAGTGTAGACCCTGCCTAGATTCTCCAACAAACCCTTTTACACTCCTCACTTTACTCCCTTTGCTTTCATCTTGTAATTCAATCTATTTTACCAAATGTATTTTAATTCAATCTAGTTTTCTTATGTTTTAATTTATTTTAGTTAACTATTACAGGAGTTTTAGGATAGTGGTTAGTGTCAATTTTTGTTTGTCTTTTATTGTTGGTTTGGTCAGTGGACTAATCAATAAACAGGTTTATCTGTCTATCATAGGGGCTCCTTGAGTGACCCTATGACCTTTTGCCCATTCATTCCTCTGAGGCCCCTTCTACGCTGCCATATATTCCATGATCTGATCCCAGATGATCTGATTTAACTGGATTATATGAGTCTCTACTGTCAGATAATTTGGGATAAAATAATCTGGGATCACATCCTGGGATATAGGGGCAGTGTGGAAGGGACCCGAGGCTGGATCTACACTGCCATATAAATCCAGATTATCTGTTTTGTATGAGGCCCCTTCTATATTGCCATATAAAATCCAGATCTTTTTGAACTGGATTATATGGCAGTATAGACGGGGCCTCATACAATTCAGTTCAAAGCATTTAATCTGGATTATCTGTTTTTGATAACATGGATTATATGGCAGTGTAGAAGAGGCCTAAGTATTTTTGTATTTTTAAAGACTGCTATTTGAGGGGAATTCCCAAATGTAGGCCACTTCTACACTGCCATGGCCTAAATTTGGGAATTCCCCCCTAATAGCAGAGTCCTTAAAAATACAAAAATACTTAGGCCCCTTTTACACTGCCATATAATCCATGTTATCAAAAACAGATAAAATAGTAAAGAGTAGAGACATCAGACTGGCAACAAAGATCCGCCTAGTCAAAGCCATGGTATTCCCTGTAGTCACCTACGGATGTGAGAGCTGGACCTTAGGGAAGGCTGAGCGAAGGAAGATTGATGCTTTTGAACTGTGGTGTTGGAGGAAAGTGCTGAGAGTGCCTTGGACTGCGAGAAGATCCAACCAGTCCATCCTCCAGGAAATAAAGCCCGACTGCTCAATGGAGGGAAGGAGACTAGAGACAAAGTTGAAGTACTTTGGCCACATCATGAGGAGACAGCAAAGCCTAGAGAAGACAATTATGCTGGGGAAAGTGGAAGGCAAAAGGAAGAGGGGCCGACCAAGGGCAAGATGGATGGATGGCATCTTGAAGTGACTGGACTGACCTTGAAGGAGCTGGGGGTGGTGACGGCCGACAGGGAGCTCTGGCGTGGGCTGGTCCATGAGGTCACGAAGAGTCGGAGACGACTGAACGAATGAACAACAACTACACTGCCATATAATCCAGATTATATAAAAAAATTATCCAGACTACATTCTTTAAACTGGATTATATGAGGCCTACTGAAAGGGCATGCACTTTGCACATTCTCAGAAGTCCCCTTCAGGCTTGGAAGGGCGGTGTAAAAGGACACACCCATGAGTTGAATCTCTCTGAAAATAGCTTTATTAGGTGCTAGCAAAAGCAAATGACAGCAATTGTGCTCAAAACAAAATCTGGCTACCAGTATTAAAAACTCTAAAATCATAACAGTAAATGGAAAACAACTTTCAAAAACAGAAGAACTCCAGACAAGAAACCATCAGGGACAGCTAATCACCACTCACCAAAGACACTCGCTGGAACACCTCAGCAAGCGAGAGTCCAAAAGTGGCAGGCTCAAACCCAGAACCTCAATGCAACCTGAGCCCTGCCACATGCACAATGGAGGACCTTCTTGGGGCAACACCAGAGGCACTCCAAGTGGCCAGATACTGGTCAAAGGACATTTAATCAACTACTGAGCTTGCAAACTTTGTTTTGTGTCTGTTTGTTTTTGTTCTGTTAGAAATGTAATACAATCGTCTGGTTTGCCCCTGACACGATAAAATAAATAAACCCTTGCCTATGCGGGCGCCGTAGTTCAGCGACTCCTCCTTGAAGATAGAGGGCGCCGCGTTTCCCGCGCTTTTTCCAAGCCCGAGAAGGGGCGGGGCCGAGAGGGGGCGGGGCTTGGCCAGGCCATGGGGCGCCCGCGGGTGTGCAGGCTGCTGCGGGGCTGCTTCGAGGAGGTGCTGCCCTTGGAGGCCTTCGTGAGGCGCCTCCAGGAGAAGGAGGCCGAGGCCTCGAGGGCCCCGCCGGCGGCGCCGCTGGTCCAGGAGGGGGACCCCAAGTGCTTCCGAGTCCTCGTGGAGCGCTGCCTGGTGGGCAGGCCCCGCGGGGAGAAGGCGCCCCCGCCTCGTTTGAGCTTCCAGCAGGTAAACAGCCCTCTCCAGGCCCGCCCCTTGCCGTGGGCGCTTCTCCTCAGCACTGCCTGGGGAGACACACAGGGACCTCTCCCGCAGAGCAAAAATACACCATAGTATGCACACTGAGGCGCATATAACTTGCCCTGGAAGGCTGCTGGCTCCTTCAGGGGAGCACAAGCTGCCCTCAAGCATTTTAATACCAGGGCGTTTTCTGGGTTGTATAGCCATGTTCCAGAAGCATTCTCTCCTGACGTTTCGCCCAGGTATTATTATTATTATAACTTTATTTGTACCCCGCTAGCATCTCCCAAGGGATTCGATGCGGCTTACAACAGGCCGAAGCCCACACAATACAACAATACAGTACCTAGCAAATAAAACAGTTAAGCAAAAACAATAACAATAGCAGTACAACAAGACATTATTAAAACTGAGCCGGCCAGAGTAGGGGTACAGGATTAAAAGTGCTGATGTGTCGGAGGGATATGGGATTATAGTATAAGTGCGGTGTGCGGTGATCTTGGTTCTAACTAAAGTGCTTCTGGGATTTGGTACTGGGGTTCCTAGTCTGAAAAGGCACATTGGAACAGCCAGGTTTTCAGATTCTTCCTGAAGACTGCCAGTGTAGGGGCTTGTCTGAGGTCTTTCGGGAGGGCATTCCAGAGGCGGGGGGCCACCACAGAGAAGGCCCTGTCTCGTGTCCCCACCAAGCGCGCTTGTGACGCGGCGGGATCACGAGCAGGGCCTCTCCAGATGACCGGAGTGAACGTGTGGGTTCGTAGACAACGATGCGGTCACGCAGGTAGGGTGGTCCCAAACCGTTCAGGGCTTTGTAGGTAAGCACCTGCACCTTAAATTGGGCTCGGAAAATAAACGGCAGCCAGTGGAGCTCCTTGAACAGGTATCCTCAGAGGTTGTGAGGTCTGTTGGAAACTAGGCAAGTGGGGTTTATTACAGACTAGCTTGGGGACCCAGCGCTGCCCAGGTTATTAGAGAAAGTGGGTAAAATGGGTTCTGTATGCCAAGGTTGTTCTTTATTGGTCATTGGATGAGGGATGCATTGTTTTCAGGAAGTGAGTGAAGGTACTGCAAGTCCCATCATCCATGGTCCATCCTTCAAACTGCAGCAGGATGTAGAGTGTGTCATGGGGGCTCTGTGTGCCAAGTTTGGTCTTTATTGGTGATTGGATGAGGTCCGCAGTGGTTTCAGTAAGTGAGTGAAGGTACTGCAAGTTCCATTATCCATGGTCCATCCCCCTTAGAACTGCATCAGGATGTAGAGTGGGTCTGTGTGCCAAGTTTGGGCCTGCTCTGTGATTTGTAGAAGAGACTTAAAAAGCCAAAAAACAAAAATTACAATGCAGGCGCAAAACATATGCAAACACACATATACACAAATGTATACACACACAAAAATCCTGCAAGGAAGACTCCAGCAATACATGGAGCGAGAGTTGCCAGATGTTCAAGCTGGGTTTAGAAAAGGCAGAGGAACGAGAGACCAGATTGCCAATATCCGCTGGAGAATGGAGAAAGGCAGGGAGTTTCAGAAAAACATCTATTTCTGCTTCATTGACTATTCTAAAGCCTTTGACTGTGTGGATCATAATAAATTGTGGCAAGTTCTGGTGGGATGGGCATCCCAAGCCACCTTCTCTCTCTCCTGAGGAATCTGTACAAGGACCAAGTAGCAACATTCAGAACTGACCATGGAACAACAGACTGGTTCAAGATTGGGAAAGGCGTAGGGCAAGGCTGCATACTCTCACCCAACCTTTTTAACTTGTATGCAGAACACATCATGCGATGTGCGGGGCTGGATGAATGCAAAGCTGGGGTGAAAATTGTTGGAAGAAACATTAACAACCTCAGATATGCAGATGACACCACTCTGATGGCCGAAAGCGAGGAGGAGCTGAGGAGCCTTCTAATCAAGGTGAAAGAAGAAAGCGCAAAAGCTGGGTTGCAGCTAAACATCAAAAAAACCAAGATTATGGCAACAAGAATGATTGACAACTGGGAAATAGAGGGAGAAAATGTGGAGGCCGTGACAGACTTTGTATTTCTAGGTGCAAAGATTACTGCAGATGCAGACTGTGGCCAGGAAATCAGAAGACGCTTACTTCTTGGGAGGAGAGCAATGTCCAGTCTCGATAAAATAGTAAAGAGTAGAGACAGCAGACTGGCAACAAAGATCCGCCTAGTCAAAGCCATGGTATTCCCTGTAGTAACCTACGGATGTGAGAGCTGGACCTTAGGGAAGGCTGAGCGAAGGAAGATAGATTGCTTTTGAACTGTGGTGTTGGAGGAAAGTTCTGAGAGTGCCTTGGACCACCAGAAGATCCAACCAGTCCATTCTCCAGGAAATAAAGCCCGGCAGCTCACTGGAGGGAAGGATATTAGAGGCAAAGATGAAGTACTTTGACCACATAATGAGAAGACAGGAAAGCTTAGAGAAAGACAATGATGCTGGGGAAAGTGGAAGGCAAAAAGAAGAGGGGCCGACCAAGGGCAAGATGGATGGATGGCATCCTTGAAGTGACTGGACTGACCTTGAAGGAGCTGGGGTGGTGACGGCCGACAGGGAGCTCTGGTGTGGGCTGGTCCATGAGGTCACGAAGAGTCGGAGACAACTGAATGAATGAACAGAACAGATACACACACAAAATACATATACACAGACTGGACCACAGTAACGCGTGGTAGGGGACGGCTAGTAACATAATAAAATCCAACAGAAAAGGGCAGGCCAAATGCATGAGATAAAATGTTAAAACGTTAAAACCCTGGGTGAGATATGAATAAAAGTATATTTATGAGGGAGGAGTCGGGGGGGGGGGCAGTGGGGTTTGGCTTTATTAAGGACAGGTGGAAAGTGCATCATGAGGACAATTGTAGATGGAAACAAACAAAATGGGTTGAATGGTCACTCTCCAAAGGCACATCGGAATAGCCAAGTTTTTAGATCTTTCTTAAAGAAGCTACTCTGTTGGAGGCTTTTATACAGGCTGGATGGCCACCTGTCAGGAGTACTTTGATTGTACATTTCCTGCATAGTAGGAGGTTGGACTAGATATCCCTTCGGAGAGATGGAGGTGGGGTACAAAAATAAAGTTGTTATTGTGATGTACTAGACTGCAGATCCCATCAATCCCAACCAGACTAGGCAAGGGAGGATGGAAGCTGCAACCCGACATAATATTGTGGGCCACACTTGGAATACATAATTTAGGACCTGTGTCCCAACAATTTAATGCTAATGCCGCAACATCCTAAATAACAATGGAAGAAATATAGTCATAACTTTTTTGTTCACTTCCAGATTTCTAGTCAGCAAGATGTCGTTGCAAGAGTCGTTCAGCGAATCTGTGAAAAGAACAAAAGGAATGTCTTGGCCTTTGGCTATTCTCTATTGGATGAAAATCATTTGCCATTGCCCGGCATGCCAAATGTCTACAGCTACTTTACCAATTATACCACAGAAACCATTTTTCAGAGTATTCTCTGGGAGTTGATTCTGAACAGAGTTGGGGATGATGTCTTCATGTATATATTGGAGCACTGCTCTCTCTTTATGTTAGTGCCACCTAGTTGTTGTTACCAAATCTGTGGGCAGCCCATTTATGAAATTGCATTCAAGGATGCATCTCCCTCTCCTGAATTCCTCAGGCAGAGGTATCCTGGGCCAAAACACAGCGCCTTGACTGGTTACCTGCAAAGAAGAAGATTTCTATCTTATCAGCAACGCCCAGCAAGAGGAAACAGGAAGGAATGGCATCCTAGAAGAAAATTAGGAAGGATAGCAAAAGATGTTTTGGAGGGCAGTTATCCACAATCTTTAGTGGTTCAAACAGTCAAGCAGAATTTTACAGCGAATGCCAGCGAATGCCCAGAAAGCAGGCAAAAGGCCAGTGAGCGTACATCTTCAACACGATCTCTGAAAAGAAAATGGAAAGGCCGTTGTGAAATGAGCACAAAAAGAATGAAAATCATGCAAATAGAGAACAGGCTTCAGAAAGAAATGGGAAACCCAGTTTCCACCCAAAGCAAACATCCATTGAGCCTAGATGGTGATGGTGTCACATCTCAAAGCTCCACAAGCTCCTGCTTGGCGGATGGGCTAACTCCTGTGCCGCACAGTAATGAATATGGAGAACAGACTTCTGCTGTGCCAGATGCACATCTTCTTGATCATCAAAAGTCTTTTGTGAGTGGTAAGACAATGACGCTAGTTAGTGGGAGTAAAACTCACGGTGAGCCTAGCACCAAAATAGAATCTGTCGATAGGTCAACAAAACAAGGAGGTGGCGTTAGATCTACTCGGATGGTATCAGCAGATGGTGCCACTGCCAGAAGAGTCCATGGCTCTAAATCAAGTGGGAAGACTTCTGATAATCCTTCTTTTAAGAGATCCTCTCTTTTGTATTGTCGTCGACGATTCAGTGAATGTTTGCCTAATTTTTTTGTGCTAAATCAGTTGAAGGGTTCTCCGTCAGGGGGGCAAAAGCTAATAGAGAATGTGTTTTTCATCAGTCAGATCCCAAAGCAACTTGGCAGCTCAAACCTGAGCCATTCCAAGCGAAAGAAGAGGCTTCCTAAACGCTATTGGCAGATGAGAAGCCTGTTCCAGGAACTACTACAGAAGCATGCAAAGTGCCCCTATCTAAGGATTTTAAAAAAGAATTGTCCAATCAGGATTTCTGATTCATGCAAGTTTGGCACAGAAGAGCAAACTTGTGAAGAAAAAGGGAACCAAGAGAGAAGGCATTCATCCCAGGGGAGCCAGGAGGCTAGTACTATGGAGGATTGCCTCAGTTCTGTACCAGTCGGTTTAGGCCACTTCCCAGGAGCTTCAAGCAGAAGCTGTCAGGAGGTTGGGTTGGGCCAAAAAGGACCCGAGGAGAAACCTGCTCTGGACTCTTCCAACTTCAGGGAGTTGTTTAAACAACATAGTAGCCACTGGCAAGTGTACACCTTTGTGAGGGAATGTTTACAGAGAGTGGTTCCTGCTGCGCTCTGGGGTTCTAGCCATAACAAATGCCGCTTCTACAAAAATGTGAAGAAATTCATCTCCCTGGGAAAGTTTGCCACATTTTCTATGCAGGAGCTGATGTGGAAAATGAGGGTGAACGATTGCACTTGGCTGCGTCTGACCAAAGGTATTTTTTAAAAAGATAATAACTACATGAACATCACAAATACCAAAGTGACTTGGGTATTAGAGTTCAGTATTCTTGTGCATGAATGTTTCCCAGCCTTGCAAAGGAGTCCACAGAAGTTATCAGTCTGTTGTCCGTGGGTGTTGTGGTTGAGGCAGGAGTTAGTTACTATCATCCTGCTTCATGCCCATCACTCAAGCTGAAAGTATTAGCAGGGGTCCTCAAACTTTTTAAACAGAGGGCCAGGTCACTGCTGGAGGGCCGGATTATAATTTGAAAAAAGGATGAATGAATTCTTATGCACACTGCACATATCTTATTTGTAGTGCAAAAACTTAAAAACAATACAATAATTAAAATGAAGAACAATTTTAACAAATATAAACTTATTAGTATTTCAATGGGAAATGTGGGCCTGCTTTTGGCTGATGAGATAGGATTGTTGTTGTTGCTGTGTGCTTTCAAGTCATTTCAGACTTAGGTTGACCCTAGCAAGGGCCCGGTAAATGACCTTGGAGGGCCGTATGTGGCCCTCAGGCCTTAGTTTGAGGACCCCTGGTATTAGCATCTGTGCTCTAAGGCTGAGTTTGGGTAGGAGAGGGACATCTGTGGTCTGCTTCTCTGCTTGATAATGGTATGCTTGTCAGTGTTGTGTTCTGTTTATTTATTTATTTACGATATTTCTATCCCGTCTTTCTCAAGCCCAAAGGTGACTCAAGGCGGCTTACAAATTGGCAGCAATTTGATGCCATAACAACCCACAAGATGGGAGCCCCCAGTGGTGCAGTGGGTTAAACCCCTGTGCCGGCAGGACTGAAGACTGACAGGTCGCAGGTTCAAATCCGGGGAGAGGCGGATGAGCTCCCTCTATCAGCTCCAGCTCCTTATGCGGGGACATGAGAGAAGCCTCCCACAAGGATGATAAAAACATCAAATCATCCGGGCGTCCCCTGGGCAACGTCCTTGCAGACGGCCAATTCTCTCACACCAGAAGCGACTTGCAGTTTCTCAAGTCGTTCCTGACACCACAAAAAAAACCACAAGATAACAATTAAAACATTTAAAACAGCATTATAAAATCAGTATGAAATCAATACAGTACAAAAAACATTAAAAACATAATAACCAATGTCTTCCTGTTAATCTCACTTGGGGAAGCTGCCTCGGTAGAAAGTTTAAAGAGAGTCCCCTGCTTTATCGCTTCTGGCATATGTTTCTTTGTAGAACTGCAGCCTTTGGTTTTAGTAAAAACATGAATAAATATTCCTCAAAGGACAGGAATCTTTTGGAAACAGTATTGTCCTATATTCATTGTCATTAAACTTGATTTCTGGATTTAGGATCTGGTCATTTTGTTCCTGCCTCTGAACATCATTTTCGTCAAGACCTAATGTCCAAATTCCTCTACTGGCTGATGGATTCCTATGTTACAGAGCTCCTCCGCTCTTTCTTTTATATCACCGAGACCATGTTTCAAAAGAACTTACTTTTCTTCTTCAGAAAAACTGTTTGGAGCAAGTTAGAGGCTATTGGAGTCAGGTAATTATAATTAGAAAGCTGCTCATGGCCTGTCCAAGGAGAGATGTATGATCTCTTGATGCTGTCTCCTGTGTCTTCCTGTGTATAGATAGATAACACTTGCAGATAGACTAGACATGAACCCTATTGCTAATTCTATTTTTGAATTCAGCTTCCCAAATTTGGAAAGTTGCAAGGTGGGTTGAGATGATACACACGTTACACCCATTGAAAGAAAATAGGAGGAAGAATATGGTGACTAGAGCACGTCGGATTGGCCCTTATGTGCAATTATGTTCTAATTTCTAGCTGAGAGGTAGGAACAGAAAAGGAATTGATTTCAAACACTACTTTGAAGAATATTGTGATGGTAGACATTCTGAACTGAGTCTTGCAAGGAAGCAGATCTTAAGAGGAAATGACAAAATTTGCTTTGTAATCTATACCATGGGACTAACATTACCTTCTGTTCTAGGAACCACTTGTCCAAAGTGCATCTCCATGCCTTGTCAGAGGAAAAGATAAAAATTTTGCAGAAGAAAAAGTGTATTCCCCTGGCCTCAAAACTCCGCTTCATTCCCAAAACAAATGGACTGCGGCCTGTGGTCCGGCTGGATAGCGTAGTTGGAGCCAAAACTTTCTGCAAAAAGACTAGAGCAAGAAAGGTGCTTGACTTCCTGTGTTTTAGTCTGGTATTATATTAGACCAGGGGTCCTCAAACTTTTAAAACAAAGGGCCAGGTCACAGTCCCTCAAACTATTGGAGGGCCGGATTATAATTTGAAAAAACAGGAATAAATTCCTATGCATACTGCACATATCTTAATTGTAGTGCAAGAAACACTTAAAAACAATACAATAATTAAAATAAAGGACAATTTTAACAAATATAAACTTATTAGGATTTCAATGGGAAGTATGGACCTGCTTTTGTTGTGTGCTTTCAAGTCGTTTCAGACTTAGGTTGACCCTGATGATCTTGGAGGGTCGTATCCAGCCCCCAGGCCTTAGTTTGAGGACCCCTGTATTAGACCATCTTAATCCAATTTTAGAGGCTTGTTTGTGACCCTGATATACACTTGAGCCCATTCCAGTTAGTCTTCAACCTCCCAGTACAATTCCCAGAACAGCAGATGAAGTCTGGATTGTGTGAAGTAATGTGGAACTTTTACTTCTTGTGACTTGAAGTGGTTGCTCTATAAATGCATACTAACATCCAATGAACCCCTTTTGTTTTGCTACTGTGCCACACTGCTGACTCATGTTCAGCTTGCGATTGATTATAATTCAAAGAGCCTTCTCTCATCTATCCCTAAAAAGTCCGGTATGCCCATCCTGTAACACTATGTAACATCATTTTTGTTCCTGGGTTATAAATGTCATTTCCTAATTGATTCTATCATTAAAACATGGAAAAATTTATTAAAAATGTTGTTTTTACAGGACACCCTACAGCACATTTTGTTCTAGTTTTTCAATAAATATGTCAACGAGTCCCAACCAATTCAATATAGTTTGTGGCAGCCCCAAAAACAAAGTTTCTGGAGTATAACAACTCCTGAAAAGTAAGACCCACACAATTAAACAGGAAATAACACTTTCAAACCAAGAACAGAACATTTTTGAAAATTTATTACATAGTGTTATAATTCTAAGATCTTATATCATATATTCCTAAAGAGTTGGGTATGCCCTTCCTATAATTCAGCAATATATATAGTTTGCATGAATAAGAGCTTTGCATTTTTCTCTGCTGAAATAGACCGGAGTATAATGCATATAAGTAAAGATTTTTTGCAAGATCATGCAGTGCCCTCCCAAGTCTAGTTGAAGAGGGAGACAGCGGTGGAGGAAAAACACATTTGAAGGTGTGGGCATGAAGGAATGACAGGAACACGGCTGTTCTTGGTGCCTGTCAGAAAATCCCCTTCGTGCTCCAAGTTGCATTTCACCCAACTCTGAAGTTTTGGAGCTCATTTGAGGTACCTCTGTACTTCCTGATCAGCTCCTTGTCAGTTCTTGAACAGTGAGCCTGATCCTTCATAATTCATAATGCTCTGTTACAAATGAACTCATTTCCTGCTTGGAAAGAAGACAAGCAAGCAGTGCCTAAGCAGTTCTACCTTTCCTTCATCCATTGGTAATTGATTGCTCCAGTGTCAGTGGAATGGCAATTTTTTTCCTAGGGTTCAACCTGAACTTTTAGAACTGCTCAAGGTTCCCTTACTTTTTTTTAATTTTTTAAATGGAGATATACAAACTACGTGTATTTTTTTTAAAAAGGTAGAAATGATGACAGTGAAACATATTAAACTTTTGCTTTATACAATATTAATTTACTAACAGATTAAATTAATTTTTTAGATTTTTCATATAACTAAAATTAGATGAAGGATTTAAAATGAATAATTTGGCAATAATAAAGATGAACTTGTAATAGGGAAGAGCTGGGAGAGAAGGCTGGAAAATCATGGGATAATACTCAAAGAAGATGTGACTATTGGACTTAATGTTTGGTGACAATATTACTCTTCTCCTTGATATAGGGGATACATATAATCTTTGGTATTTTATGTAATAACCAGTAATTATAATTTATAGGAAGAAATAGATGCATTCATAATAACTTTGTACACTAACAATTGTCCCTTTTCCTCTTCAACTTCCTCCCTCCCTTTTTGCGACATACTTGATATTTGTAACAATTTAACTCACTAACAATAACTCCACCCTTCTCCCCTTTTTTCTTGTTATTTCGTTAACTGTTTTCTCTTTTCTGCTTTCCCTTTCAGCATTCTTCTGTTGTAAAAATTGGAAGTGATCAATACAAAAATTTTGTAATTCTTTTAAATAACGAAACGCAAAAAACCCCAAAAAACGAATCGATTTTAGAAACAAATTTTTTCGTTGTTACCCAGGCCTAATGGATACATAAGGGCCAACTACATGTGTTCTTTTAAAATTTGAAATTTCTGGTAAGCTTTTATGCAGCCATGTTTTCTATTTTAACTTCCACACTGGAGCGTTCTTCTATGTCTGTCCTCGTCCTTTCAAAAAAAAAACCCCTCATCTTCGGTTAAAAAAAAATCAAACTGTTCAGACTTTCTCTTTCAACCCTTTTGTTTAACCATCCACCAGAGCAACCAACCAGCTTACACATATGTGAATATTAAAATATTTTATATCAGCACCAACAACCCAACCTTTGTATTTTCTTTTGTTTTCCTTTAGGTTCAGTTCTTCAATACACAACTGAAGAACTTGTTTAGTATTCTCAATTATGAACGAATAAAGAATCCTGCCTTGCTTGGGTCATCTGTTTTTGGGAAAGATGATATTTATGCAAAGTGGAAGAAATTTGTTTTGAAGATCTTGGAGAAGAATGAAGAAATGCCTAAATTCTACTTTGTGAAGGTATGGTTTGAAAATCTTGGAAAATCAATCCAAGTGAGCACTGAGGCACAGACTGAATAAACATGCATAGGATTGCACTGTAAAATATTGCAGCTGTAATCCTAGCTGCCCAATGCCTATGGCCTGTTTTCGAGAGGTAAATTGCTTGATGTTCACTTTAGCTTCTTATCAGTTAATTAAACATTTCAGGATTTTTTGCTGAAGGTAAATTGTGCCACAAAATTCCACAAAATGGAAGGTTTTCATCTGTAATTTCTGCTGCATAATGGAGACCCCGGTAGCGCAGTGGGTTAAACCGCTGAGCTGCTAAACTTGTTGACCAAAAGGTTGGAGGTTTGAATCTGGGGAACGGTGTAAGCTTCCGCTGTGAGCCTCAGCTTCTGCCAACCTAGCAGTTCAAAAACATGCAAATGTGAGTAGATCAATAGATGTACTCCGGCGGGAAGGTAACAGCGCTCCATGCAGTCATGCTGGCCATATGACCTTGGAGGTGTCTACGGACAATGCTGGCTCTTCAGCTTAGAAATGGAGATGAGCACCTCACCCCAGAGTAAGACACGACTGGACTTAATGTCAGGGGAAAATCTTTACCTTTACCTAATAGCTTGAAATAAAACCCAAGTCAGGTTTTGACATTCACAGTGAAGCCAACAACAGCAGTATATCAGGGCAGGTAGTTTCTGCTAACTTGGTCAACTTTTCTCCCTTTCTAGTTGTCCGAGTTAGCAGAAACTAACTGCCCTCATATACCGGAAATTGCAAAGGGTTGTTTTTTGCATAGTGACATTGCTAGAGATCCCCAGTCCCAAGAGGATCCTGAAGCGGCTGCCATGAAATGACATGATGTGTGCCCATAACAAATTTAACAGCAAGGACTCTCATCTGTATCACAACTGTGCCCCCCTTAGAGGTCCCTCAGTAACCATGGCTTCTTCATACCCAAATAAGTGTCTCTGATGTGCACAGATTCCAGGCAAATGTTTGGTAATCTTGCAAAAACTTACCTCAATTCAGGAACATATAGTGTTCCTCTCCCTTGCTCTCTAAAAATCCTTAGTCTTTGTCTGTTGAAGGTTTCTACCAAACCCTCCTAAAAACATGCCTTCTCCAGAAGGCTTCTGGCTTGTGCTTATTCTTCATCTTCCTTGGGAATTAAGCATATGGACATGCTGGAAGATGAGCATAGGTTTGTCCCCTGTTGTTATTCTCTGCTTCTTCCTCTCCTATTATAATTTCTGTATGGATTTTTGATTGCAAGCTTATCAAGGCAAGAGTCTATTTTTAAAAATCATGTTATAATAATAATAATAATAATAATAATAATCCTTTATTTATACCCCGCTACCATCTCCCGAAGGACTCGGTGCGGCTTACAAGAGGCCAAGCCCAAGTACATCAGTAAAAACAACAACAGCAATACAGAAAATAAATAAACTCATAAACAAAGCAATAAACAGTAACAATAACACCACAACGCATTAAAAACCTATGCAGGGCCAAATGTAATAATTAAAATTTTAAAAAAATGTTGGGCATGACCAGGTGACATATAACTAGGATAGGTATTTGGAGAGAGATGAGGCGAGCAGACAATCCTAGATCATTAGTAAAGTGTGATTAGGGACATGTTGCTTAGGGTTTCCTTATTTTGGGAAGGCACACTGGAACAACCACGTTTTCAGGCTCCTCTTAAAGACTGCCAGAGTTGGGGCATGCCTAATGTCCTTAGGGAGCGAGTTCCAGAGTCGAGGGGCCACCACCGAGAAGGCCCTGTCCCTCGTCCCCCACCAGTTGCGCTTGCGATGTTATGTCATTTCTGTTAATACTTTTGCAGGATATTTTCTTTGTATTTGGTTGTGAATGTCCTCCCATTACAGTATTCTTACTGTGGTTGCTGTTGTTATGTACCTTCAAGTCATTTCCAACCTAAGGTGACACTGTCATGGGATTTTCTTTGAAAGGAGTTGCCTTTGCCTTCTTCCTCTAGGGCTGTAAGGCTGTGATGTGCCCACGGTCACCCAGTGGGGTTTCATGGCCAAATGGGGAGTTGAACTCTGGTCTCCAGAATTGTCACCCAACACTCAGCACTGCTTCACACAAGTTCTTATGTTTACTTTGTGTAACATCAGTCCACAGTTGTAAGAACTGTTGACTGAACTGTACTGTTTTCTCTTCCAGGCCGATGTCACAGGGGCTTATGATACCATCCCTCATGACAAACTGGTAGAGGTAGTTTCACAGGCCCTTCCTCCAAACAAAAAGACCACGTACAGCATACGGCGCTACGCAGTTATCATAAGGACAAGAAATGGACTTCTAAGAAAATATTACAAGAGACACGTAATGCAACTCTTGGTTTTCTCTGGATTGTTGTTGTATATTCTGTTGCCTAAAGCAGCTGTTCCTGGTGGTTCCCATGTCACTGGAGGCCCTTCCAGGTTCGGCTTATATCCCAGAATCTGATCCCATGTTTTCTATTTATGCCAGATTATCTGGCAGTGTGGACTCATATAATCCAATTCAAAGCAGAAAACCTGGGTTCATATCCTTGGATATAGGGTGTGTCTGGAAGGGCCCTGGGAAGGTGAATCCACTCAGAGTTTTATTCTGTATTTAAAAAGAGATATCCAAAGTGCTGAAGCCTGTCCTTTTCCTCTCTCCTGCCCCAAAATACGTTCAGCAATTTGGACGGCTCTTTTAAGCTTTGTACTGTAGAACAAATGCACTGTCCCACTAACATGGGTTTCACCAGCCCCCACTAACTGATAGGAAGCCAAAATACTAAAGTTAGATATTTTATAATATGCACTGGCTAGACAGCTCATCCTTAAGGGAAGTCTACTGGGGGAAGAAGATGTTGCTCCACTTTTATTTTTGTGTTTTTTAATGGTGGGGATAGCATTAAAAACAGGACTTTCCATGTAAAGACAGAAATGTACATGAATAAACATTGCATTTTAGGATGCAAAGCGTTTGCATTTCTGCACCTGAAGCTGAGATAGATGGTGAGCTTATTGTGAAAACTCTCCAACTTTCCAAGGCCCTTTCTACAATCCCAGATAAAATCCATATTATCTGATTTGAACTTGATTATATGGCAGTGTAGGCTCATATAACGCAGTTCAAAGCAGATAATGTGGATTATCTGCTTTGATCATCTGGATTATATGGCAGTGTAGATTGCTTTACTCGTGGACAATGGCAGGCATTCGTGCTTGTGGAGTAACAAGCTATGAGTTACACTCGCAGAGCTCTAAAAGAACATATAAAGAACTATTTTCATGGTACCTAGTTAAAAAAAAATCTTCCAAGACTAAATACATGTTATTGCTGTAACCAGCATCCATTTTTTATTATTTCAGATTTTATTTTGGAGGCATTCTAAGAGGCATTTTGACAGGCGTTATGCCATTCTTTTAGCAGTCTTCCTGAAATGTACCAGTGTGTTGTTTTTTGAGATGTTTGTTGAGCAACTTTCTGTTAACTGTCATTTATTGTCGAAGGCTTTCATGGCTGGAATCACTAGGTTCTTTTTGCACGGTCTGCCAAGGCTTTAATGGTGCTTCTTTTTTGACTTGGGTGATGGTTGGAGTTTTTATGTAGATATCTATCTGTGTGCGTGGGTTTTCTGTAGACGGTGTGACCCAATTGTTGATCTGGTTTGCGGATGACTAGGACATCTAGAAAAAGAATCTGCGAACCCCACCTCCTCCAAGATGAACTGAACCACCTCAACTGGGCTCTACAGGCCAATGGATACTCCACCTCAGACATCAGAAGAGCTGCAAGACCAAGAACAAGCCACGAGAGTAAAGATGAAGATTCACCCAGAGGAAAAGTGTTCCTGCCATACATCAAGGGAACCACTGACCATAGGGAAACTGATGAGGAAACACAACATACAAACAATCTACAAACCCACCAAGAAAATCCAACAAATGCTACGTTCAGCAAAGGACAAGAGGGATCCTCTCACCTCTGCAGGAGTCTACAGTATACCATGCAGCTGTGGACAAGTCTACATAGGGACCACCAAACGCAGCGCCCAGACACGAATCAAGGAACATGAAAGGCACTGCAGACTACTTCAACCAGAGAAGTCAGCCATAGCAGAGCACCTGATGAACCAGCCTGGACACAGCATATTATTTGAGAACACAGAAATGCTGGACCACACCAACAACCACCATGCCAGACTACACAGAGAAGCCATTGAAATCCACAAGCATGTGGACAATTTCAACAGAAAGGAAGAGACCATGAAAATGAACAAAATCTGGCTACCAGTATTAAAAAACTCTAAAATTATAACAGCAAAACAACAGAGAGAAAACAACCAGGCACAGATTAACACCTCCCAGCAAGAGATTTTCCCAGGCTCAGGCAGGCCTTCAAATGCTAATGAAGGTGATCAGCTAAACATTCACACCTAGCTCCAGCAGGGAAGAGCTCCTTGCCCCACCCCAGCCATTCCACAGATATATAAACCCATTGTCCTAATTCCAACAGACCTCACTACCTCTGAGGATGCTTGCCATAGATGCAGGCGAAACGTCAGGAGAAATGCCTCTAGAACATGGCTCTATAGCCCGAAAAAACCCACAAGAACCTTGTCATTTATTGCTTGAGTGCATCAAATGGCCTTTAAAAACAGATATTTTCCCAGTTACATATTTATTGTCAGGGGAAATGCCTTTATTTCTTCTTTTACGAGTGTAAATATGCATGTCTTCTTTGAAAAGAGTACTTTAAAAAGTGAAGCATACTCTGTGTTAGGAATAAGACAGATGGTCATATGTATTTTGGACTAGTTCCAGCTGCTGTTTTCAGCTAAAGTAGTTGAATCATTGGAAGTTACATAAATTTTGATGCAGACAAAATTTGGGTCTGCTCTCGTTTGAATTAACAAGTGGATGTAATCCTTTATGTTTTCTGACATGGTGACAGCTTGCTCTCAGCACAGTTATTGTACTGAGCATCAATTCAGAAGTTTAAAATATTCTAATCTGAATTTATTTATAGGTATCTACTTTTAAGGAGTTTAAGCCTGAGATGAACCATTTTGTGAGTCATCTTCAAGAGAGCACTTCACTGAGAAATGCAGTGGTAGTTGAACAAGTATGTTTCTAGGAGCCACTCTCTTTTCAATAGGTCGTTTAATGTTGTTGTTATTGTTGTTGTTATTTAATCCTTACTGACTTGAGAGTGCTTATGCAGTACTACGTATAATTGTTTTCTTCTTTATCACCGCCTTGAAGAGCACTCTGCTGTTATTTTCAAAGGGATTTTCTTAATACCTTCATTGAACTCATGGCAGAGGCTATTTGGAATACAAGACCCCCTGCCATAGCTCCATCTTATAGGCCCCAATCCACACTGACCGTATTTAGCAGCAATCCACACTTGCCACCTTGAGAAAGCCAAGGCATACATTAAATTTAAAAAAATTAAATAAAAATTGGTAAGCAGAGTTTAGTGCAGTTAACCTCAGAGGAAGTATTATTATTATTATTATTATTATTATTATTATTATTTTATTTCCAGTATTTCTACCCCGTCCTTCTCAACCCTGGAAGGGGGACTCAGGACGGCTTACACTCGGCAACAATTCAATGCCATACATACAAGCAAACAACAATATAACAACAGTTTAAAACAATAGATAAATCATTAAGTTAAAAGCTGGCTCCTTGCCTCTCCTCCCAGCCAATCAAGGGAGAAGTTTTGGGGAAGGGAGGGGTTTCTGCACTGGTGGCCATTGCTGTATGTAAAGGGGAGCACATAGCTCAGAGGCTCATTCGGAGTCGGGAAAGGAAGGGAGAAGGGGAAAGGGAAAGACTAAGGGAAGGGAGGTTGTGTTGAAGAAATGTTGGAATAAGAGCACATGTGTGCTGTGTGTTGTTGCTGTTGGGGTTTGGGTCGGGTGGGCACCGCGAGGGTAGTGTGTACCTGGGTGAGTGACATGGGTGGGAGCAACACGGAGGAACCAAAGCACAAGGGGTTTTGGCACTGGCAGCCATTGCTGTATATAAAGGGGAACCCATGGCTCAGATGCTCATTCGGAGCCGGGAAGGGAAGAGAGAAGGAGAAAGACTAAGGGAAGGGAGGTTGTGTTGAAGGGAAGTTGGAAGAAGAGCTTGTGTGTTGTTGCTGTTGGGGTTTGGGTCGGGTGGGCACTGCAAGGGTAGTGTGTATGTGGGTGAGTGGCGTGGGTGGGGGCAACACAGAGGAACCAAAGCATTCACCCCAACATTTTAAAAAGTCAACGTTGTAGCTGGTCTCTCTGGCCTCGGTGTTTTTAGCTTGTGTTGCACATTGCCTCAAAAGAACTAGATCTCCCATCAATTCAAGCCACTCTTTGAACACAAACTCCCCTTCCCAAAGTAGTGAAGTCATCTTCCAAGGCAAAAATGGCAGGGCTTTTTCTTTTTCTTTTCTTCGTTTGCTGTAGGTTGCCTAAGAAGACACTAGAAATCCCATACATTACACAATCGCGTCTGCCATTAATGAAGCGATTCGGAAATTTCAGAAAGTTCCAAAATATTTTTGGGTCAATTCCGAATTGAACCACCAGTGCCCCCTACATCCAAATGTGGTCCAGTGGTTCTTAGGATTGCTCTTTAATAATCAGTGCACTGCCTCTGCCAAATGACAAGCAAATGTTATTTAGCTTCCAGATTATTTATTAATGTGGTAGTGCTCTTATTTATTTATTTATTTGTGTATATATGTACAATCTTTACTTTTTCAATTTTATCTGCCTCGATAGGATAGTGCTGGTTGTGTTGCACCAAACTTTCCAAATCTTTTGAAGGTGGGCTACTTTAGCAGCTGAAGAGACTTTTAAAAACATGATAAACTTCAAATTATGCCAGAGGGAAATGTGTGTGAAAGCTCAGTTTGTTGATCTGTGGAAAATTCTATGGAATTATATAATAATGAAGTGTTGCTTTCAAGTGCTGTATCAAAAGAGCATTGAATTTATATATTGCTGAATTTAGCCTTAACGTTTCCCCATGTATTTGATTGCAAAGAAGTCCCTCTCTTTATCTCTTATGTTTTAAAAATGAGTATCGAGAGGGAGAAAAAAACAGGATGTGGTATGGGGTTTTGTGGCTATAAACCCATATTGCTATACTGAATCTGAAGAAGCGGGGATTTGATCCCAAAAGCTCATGCTATAATAAAAACAGTTAGTCTGAAGGGGTTTATTTGATACAGAAAATTCCATTTTTATTCCACCTTCTTTCCTTTCTGCTTCCCATGTATTTGAGGGGATGCCTTTGCTGTTTCTTGTCAGTAGATGGTGGTGTTTAACACATTTGTCTTTTGAAGGAAACCTTTTGTTCTCAGTTCAGCTCAGTTTGCTGCCTTTTTGGTAATGATCTTCTGTTCTTGTAGTCCCAGCTAGACTTTGCTCTTACCACAAGTTCCCAGGAGTTTGCCTTTCTGTGTTTCAGATAAATATTTCACATTGAAACTATATACCGTATATACTCAAGTATAAGCCGACCCAAATATAAGCCAAAGCACCTTATTTTACCACAAAAAACTGGAAAAACATATTGACTCAAGTATAAGCGAGGGTGGGAAATGCAGCCACTACTGGTAAATATCAAAATAAAAATAGATACCAATAAAATTACATTAATTGAGGCATCAGGAGGTGAAATGTTTTTGAATGTTTACATAAAACTGTAATTTGAGATAAGACTTCCCAACTCTGATTAAATCATTATTCTAACCTTCAGTGTAAATGTACTTGCATATCCTTCCAATAATAATAGAGTAAAATAATAAATGTAATAATAATAATTATTGATAAAGTAAAATAATGGAAATGCCATAATAAATGTAATAATAGAGTAAAATAATAAATAATAAAATAATAAATGCCATAATAAAGTAAAATAATAGTATACTAATATTAAGGAGCCCCCGGTGGCGCAGTGGGTTAAAGCACTGAGCTGCTGAGCTTGTTGATCGAAAGGTCACAGGTTCGATTCCGGGGAGCGGCGTGAGCTTCCGCTGTCAGCCCTAGCTTCTGCCAACCTAGCAGTTCGAAAACATGCAAATGTGAGTAGATCAATAGGTATTACTCCAGCGAGAAGGTAACGGCTCTCCATTCAGTCATGCTGGCCACATGCCCTTGGAGGTGTCTACGGACAATGCCGGTTCTTCGGTTTAGAAATGGAGATGAGCACCAGCCTCCAGAGTCGGACATGACTGGACATAATACATTAAAATAATAAATGGAATAATAATCATAAATAGTGTAAAATAATAAATGTAATAATAATAATAATAATAATAGGGTAAAATACTGTAAATGTAATAATAATAAAGAGAGTAAAATAATACATGAAATAAAAATAATACTAATAACAGAGTAAAATAATAAATAACCTTGACTCAAATAATAAATAACCTTGACTCGAGTATAAGCCGAGGGGAGCTTTTCAGCCTAAAAGGGGGGGGCTGAAAAATTAGGTTTATACTTGAGTATATACAGTACATGTTAAAATCTAATACAGTATTGGACTGATACAATAATTGAGATTTATGGGAATCTGTATTCAATATGATCTCAATATTAAACATTCAGAAATATGTAGGTCTGAAGAACATCCATGCCACAGAAGTTAAAGGCTAGTTTATTGTTATTATTTGGCAAGGAATGCCCAAAAAGTGTGCTACACATTAATGTGCATGGGTTGTGCTACTCCATTAGATACACACTTATTTCTCCTCTTGCAGAATAGAGATTTAGTCACTTAGATCATTCCCCCAGCCCTTTGATGCCAAGAAAATGGAAATTATTATCAGCTCGCTGGGGGAATGATTGAAATAATTGATTTTAGCAACTTAAAAATACACGAAGTTCAAACACCTTGTTGAAATAGTCAGTCTGCGTTGTTTATTTATTCTGGGTAATTTTTGTTGTTTTAGAGTATTACCTTGAAGGAGACCAGTTCCCACCTCTCAGAGTTTTTCTTGGGTTTGATTCGTAACAGCATCCTGAAGATTGAGGGCAGGTAATATCTCCCCTTTTTTATTTTTGTTTTTCTACCTGCTGCTTTGGATGACTGCATCTGATATCAGAGGCAATGGCCTGGTGGCTTGATGCGGGGGTCATATCATTCAATTTGTCTCTACAAAGATTATCTACCAACCATTTGGATAACGTCATTCATCCTTGCAAAGGTCTTACTTGATTTGGCCCACTCTGTCCACTTCACAGGTGAGAAATTGACACCAAGAGGAATCAGATCCCTTTGAATCAATTGTTGAGGTTGTTTCTGAAATTAATTTTTAAGTGTTGTGGCATTTTAAAGATTGGCATTGGAATACCATTCTATTTTATGGACCAACATGCACATTGTTATTATTATTACATTTATTTCTGTGCCAACTTTCTCCCCATAGGGACTCTAGGTGGCTAACAAATAAACACCTAATAAAAATTGAAAATAAGAAAGAAGTGCTGTATATACCCAAAGATAAGCCTGGTTTTTCAGCCCTTTTGGGGGGCGGAAAAAGCTTCCCTTTGCTTATAATGGGGTCAAGCTGGGCAGCGGAGCATGGATGCCATTGCTTTCAATATATGATATATTTGTCTTTCCTCTTCCCCTTCAAAAACAGTGTGTTTTCTTTTCCAAATTCTCCCTCACTTGCTCAAGAGGAAGAGAATGTAAAAATGAATAATTACTCCAGTTTTCTGCCCATTGTGGGAGGAGAAATATTACTACAATATTTTTCCTGTATTCAAAACTTAAAGTCTTGAGGAATTATTATTCTATGCTAAAAAAAAAATTGGGAGGGGAGAGGAGGCAAGTGAATGGGAAGGATTGTTTTTTGATCAGGCAGTGGTGGACAGAAATCTTTCCACATCTCTCCACCATTCTCATCCATATGTCCATGTGATATCTACTGGAAGTGGGTAAGTAAGCAAGTAGCCATGGATGATGGGGAAGCATCTATCAACACCTTTAAAAGTCATAGGATTTTTTCTTCTGTGTCAAGAGCAAATTGAGAAACTGTAAGTCGCTTCTGGTGTGAGAGAATTGGCCCTCTGCAAGGATGTTGCCCAGGAGACACCTGGATGTTTTGATGTTTTACCATACTTGTGGGAGGCTGGGAGAGCATGGACGAGCTCCCTCTGTCAGCCAGAGGATGATGATGCTGGATTCCTCCAAAGATCCCACATGATCATTACACAGCCCACCTCAACAAGAACAAATTCTTGGTGTCTTGGTTTTTAGGCCTGTTCCTGAGTTTATTTGATTCAGAAAATTGCTTTGGATAGACCACATCAGCTCTCTAGTTTCTTAGAAATGGTTATCTTAGTTTTCAATGGGTGAACAGATGGCGACTGGTTGATTCCATATGCTCTATATCTCAAAAGTTAGAGCTGATACGGGAAAACAGGTGCCATTTTTGGAATCAGCAGCTCAAATATACCCAGAAACAGGGCTAACATTTGAGGCACAAAATGTATCAGAATTTACTCATGGGCCGTGTTCCTCACTTGCCTGTTCTGCTTGCTCCTACATGGTCATGTTGAAGGTGCCGGAAACATGGGAGTGTCAGGGCAAGTGGGAGCTGTGTTTAAGAACTTGGGACGATGGAATCAAATGTTTCAGCAGGATTCTCTTCATCAGAGCATCCTTCCATTGTTTTGTATTTTCTCCCCAAAATCTGACAAATTTGTGGATTTCCATATCCACAAATTCTGTATCTGTGCAGTTTGAATTTTTTTTAAAAAAAATATTTTACAACATGGACAGCTGTTGCCGAAAAACAAATGCTCTTTCAAATCTCAGCCCCATTGATGTAAACTGTCAAATCATCCATCTCCTAAGTAACGCATATACTCGAGTATAAGCTGACGCAAATATAAGCCAAGGCACTTAATTTTACCACAAAAATCCTGGGAAAATGGATTGACTTGAGTATAGGCCAAGGGTGAGAAATGCAGCAGCTATTGGTAAAATTTAAAATAAAAATAGATACCAATACAATTACATTAATTGAGGCATGAATAGGTTAAATGTTTTTTTTAATATTATATTTATTTATTGCATTTGTTGACCGCCGTTCTCAGCCCTTTCGGGCGACTCACGGCGGTGTACAACATATAAAAACAGTTTACAATACAACCCTCATACAACACAGTATACACGTAACATCAATAATACAACAATAATTACTCTAAATCATCCGCGTCGTCTCATCGTAAAATCGTAAACCAATCTCGTATTCCATATTCCGTTCCAGTCATCAATGCCAGTTGTTGTAATGTTTAGTTGAACGCCTGCTCGAATAGCCATGTCTTTAAGCTCTTGCGGAATGACATAAGGGAGGGCGCCTGTCTGATGTCCACAGGGAGGGTGCTCCATAGCCGGGCGCCACCACCGAGAAGGCCCTATCTCTCGTCCCCGCCAGACGTGCCTGTGAGGCAGGCGGGATCGAGAGAAGGGCCTCCCCAGATGATCTCAAGGTCCTCGTGGGCTCATAGGCCGAGATGCGGTCAGAAGGTATTTTGGGCCGGAACCGTTTAGGGCTTTGTAGGCCAGCACCAGCACCTTGAATTGGGCCCGGTAGCAGATCGGCAGCCAGTGGAGCTGGAACAACAAGGGCGTTGTGTGCTCCCTGTGTCCCGCTCCTGTTAGTAACATGGCTGCCGCGCGCTTTATATAAAACTTTATATAAAACTATATAAAACTGTAATTTATATAAAACTGTAATTTAAGATAAGACTCCTCGACTGATTAAACCATTATTCTAACCTTCTTCAATGTAAATGTGCTTACGTATCCTAATAATAATAATAGAGAGTAAAATAATCATTGTAATTAAAAAATAATAATAAAAGAGTAAAATAGTGGGAATGTAATAATAACAGCAATAATAGAGTAAAATAATAAATGTAATAATAATGAGAGTAAAATAATAATCTATATAAATAAAAATGTAATGTAAGTTCTTGCTGCCATCAGAACTCAAAAACCACTGGGGGAATTGACACCAAATTTGGACACAAGACACCTAACAGTCCAATTTATGTCCTCCACTCAAAAAAAATTGATTTTGTCATTTGGGAATTGACGTTGCTGGGATTTATAGTTTCCTACAATCAAAGAGCATTCTGAACTCCACCAATGATGGAAATGGGCCAAACTTGGCACACAGGGCTCCCATGACCAACAGAAAAAACTGGAAGGGTTTGGTGGCATTGACCTTGAGTTTGGGAGTTGTAGTTCACCTACATCCAGAGAGCACTGTGGACTCAAACAATGATGGATCTGGATCAAACTTGACACAAAAATTCCATATGCCTAAATATGAACACAGATGGAGTTTGGAGGAAATAGACCTTGACATTTGGGATTTGTAGTTACTGGGATTTATAGTTCACTACAATTAAAGAGCATTCTGAAACCCACAAACGACAGAAATGGGGCAAACTTCCCACACAGAACCCCCATGACCAACAGAAAATACTTAAGGCCATCCAGTCCAACTCTCTTCACCAGGGCAAGAAAATGTAATCAGACCCCTCCTGACAAAGAGCCATCCAGTCATAAATATAAATATAGATAGATGATAGATAGATAGATAGATAGATATGATTCTCACACACACACACAGATATAGTATCATAGATTTGAAAGAGACCCTTAAAGAAGGACTATGATATGTTGCATGTTCCAGAGTAGGCAAACCAGACACTCTCCACATCAACACTGACAAAGAAACAACAAGAAATACTGTTTACTCAAAGCATAAAGGAATTACATATATTAGAAACCAACACTTTCTCATTACTTTATTTTCCAGATCACCAGACTGGGCCACAGCAACGCGTGGCAGGGGACGCTAGTATTTAGTATAATGTCAAGTATAATAATAATAATAATAATAATAGTAAAATAGTGAAAATGTAATAATAACAATAATAATAGAGTAAAATAATAAATGTAATAATAGAGTAAAATGATAAATGTAATAATGATAATAATAATAAATAGAGTAAAATAATAAACAACCTTGACTCGAGTATAAGCCGAGAGGGACTTTTTCAGTCTAAAAAAGGGCTGCAAAACTAGGCTTATACTTGAGTATATACAATATTTAAGCAAGTTTATCCTTTCTCTTTGGTGTCTTCACTTCCCAGTCTTTATTTTTCGCATCTGGACCGTTTGCTGAAGCTTTGTAACAAAATGAATGCGCTGGCCCTTCTCCACTAATCATAGTATTCTGGCTTCTTTTAAAAGCAACTTGCTTTTATTTCATTCAGAAAAGGCCAGTAACACTTCTTTTACATTATGTTTGTTATCTAACTGGGTTTTTCCCTCCTTAAAATCATTTTAGATATTTTTTAAAAACCAGTCTTACTTCATATCTTCCAGAATTGACTCCTGCCATTAAGAACCGATATTGGGAATAATCACCATATAAAATTATGTTTTTGATATTCCTTACAAACGTGGACAATTTGTTCCATACATCCTTTGTGTTTGGTCAAAGACCTTGTTTTGGGACTCCACACAAGAGCCTTCAGAAAAGGGTGTTTTGTCAGTATTAGAAGTTGCTGGCTACTGATAGATGAACATTTAGAAAACCTGCGCAAATATTTGGAGGGTTAGTGGTCAAGGCTGGGCCTTATTCCTTCCAGATTTCCCCTTTTGCAAAGACTTCTGCTGCATTTGTTAGATTGCTGTGGTCAGATTGCTGTTGGACTAACAGAAAGTCTTGTTCAGAATTCCATGAAATATTTGTAGAAGAACATGATGAATTTGCCTTTTGGTTGAGAAGTTATTTGTGTGAAAACTATTGACTTTGGGCATAATTACGTGATCTTCCAAGCCAAAGAACTGAGATTAGTTTGGGATTCAGTTAGAAAGTTTAAAAGCTAGGATGATTATTGCAGGCTCCATACACTAGAAAAATAGTTATCACCAAGATACACAGTACTGGCTGTATTTCTGAAGAGTAGATTTGTATATGTGATCGAAGCTGACAAGAAGAGAAGATCAAAGTCTTTCCAAATAACATTTTTAGTTCTCAGTGAATGCTTTGTTTAGTCTCGTGTACAGAATCTAGACTAATACAGCATTTCATAAGACTCTGCAATTTATTCTTGTTAGAAATTCATAAAAATTGGATTCCCACCATAATTGAGTTTGAAAACGTGGCAGTCAATCAATAATGTCGTGTCAGAAACTGCAAGTCGCTTCTGGTGTGAGAGAATTGGCTGTCTGCAAGGACGTTGCCCAGTGGCGCCTGGATGTTTAGATGTTTTTACCATCCTTGTGGGAGGCTTCCCTCATGTCCCCGCATGAGGAGCTGGAGCTGACAGAGGGAGCTCTTCCACGCTCTCCCCAGATTCGAACCTGCGATCTGTTGGTCTTCAGTCCTGCCGGCACAGGGGTTTAACCCACTGCACCACCGGGGACTCCTTGAAAATTAGATGTTAAAAGCACAGTTAAATTAAGAGCGTAGTTTCACAGTGGGAGGGAAAATAAGTGTGTATCTACTGCATCATCAAGGGCTTTCTCTTGTGGCTGAGAATGATTGTCTTCCAAGGGTAGAGTCCTGTTGGTGGATCCATAAGTGACTGGAAATCTATTCTTGATCTTCATGGATTGTCACAATGAAGACATAGATTTCCAGATGGAAGGTGGTCCAAACAAGGGTTCGCTTGAGCGCCTTCCTCTCAACACGTTTCTCCCTTTTCACCCTCCATTTGTGCCTCTTCAAAATCCATAACACCATTGGTGACAGCTGACATCCAGTTACAATGCTCAAGTGACAGGACTTAATGTTTATAGCACATTTTTTAATCTAAGGCATTAACATTGCACATGCACATCGATGTGTATATGGGTGTGCACTTTTATACTACATTTGAACTATGGCTATATTTTCTCCCTTTGAGGAAATTAAGCATTGGAGGGAAGTGGCCCCTGCTGAAAGGGTCAACCTCCCCGAAAGTTTTGATTCCACTCACATTTCTGTTTTGGAAATATTTTAAGAAATAAAGATATGCCAGTGTTGCAGGTTTCTCACATCACATGTTATTTGACTTGGTTTTTTTGTTTTTTTTTTTAAAAACAACAACAACATGGACTTAAGTAAAGATAAAGGTTTTCCCTTGACATTAAGTCTAATCATGTCCAACTCTGGGGGATGGTGCTCATCTCCATTTCCATGCCGTAGAGCTGGCATTTCCGTAGACGCCTCCAAGGTCATGTGGCCGATATGACTGCATGGAGGGCCGTTAGCTTCCCGCAGAAGCGGTACCTATTTATCTACTCACGTTTGCATATTTTCAAACTGCTAGGTTGGCGGAAGCTGAGGCAGCAAGAGCTCGCTCCGCTCCCTAGATTTAACCCACTGACCTTTCCATCACCAAGTTCAGCAGCTCAGCAGTTAACCCACTGCACCACCAGGGACTCCAACATGGACTCAGAACTGTATAATTGTGACACTGGTGAAGCACACTTTGGCTGCTGTTATCACCTTGTCCAGGTGTGTATCTGAACATAAATTTTGGTCCCTCCCATTTGCCAGGTACTATGCCCAGAACTGTGGAATCCCCCAGGGCTCCATTTTGTCGACTCTACTTTGCAACATGTGCTATGGAGACATGGAGAACAAGCTGCTGCAGGGCATACAGAAGGATGGGTATGGCATTTCATGTATTTACTTTGATTTGACTTGTCTTCCCCTAGGGTAGGAGTGCAACGTTGCTCCCACTCTGTAAGAAGTTTTAAGTTAAAACACAGCAGATGATTGAAATTTGAGTACCATTTAACTCAATTGTCCCATGTCAAATATCAGTCATCTGCTGTTTAACTGATAACTTTTTAATTATTGGGCTTGTTTGTGTTTGTGTGTATACACATGCACACGCAAACACATATTTCTGCTTCTTGGCTTTATAGTTATTCTTAGAGTCTCTAACTTCATTGTACCAAAATCCTGATAGATATTCAGCACCAGAAGGGCCAGTGTGAAATATCCTGGGCAAAGGTGGATAAAATGATGTATATGCCTGAGATGAAGGTACAATCGGTTATAAGTTGGCCATCCCCACTTTTTCTCTCTGTCCTTATATATTTGTAATTTTACTGATTAGATGTATACCGTATGTTGTGTTTGCATTGTCTGTTTTGATAAGGCCAATTGGCTAATCAATAAAATCATTTAGCTTTGGGTATATTTTATCTAATATAATTAGCTGCATTTCAGATATATAGGCAGTCCCCAAGTTACGAACAAGTTCTGCAGGTTTGTTCTTGGATTTGTTTGTAAGTCAGAACAGGTACATTTTAAAATGTAACTCCAGCGATCGATTGATCAATCGATAAGATAGATAGATAGATAGATAGATAGATAGATAGATAGATGATAGATAGATAGATAGATAGATAGATGATAGATAGATAGATAAATGCATGCTTTGGATAGTATAGAAAAGGGTTAACACCTGGTTTTGCTGTCTGTGCCCCTGTTCAGAAGATCTCACCACACTTTCCATCCCCGTGAGAATTGGATTTTGAAAAAATGGCTTGTTGTGCAAACAAAGATTGGTTATCAAGCTTCAGGGGAGACACCTTTCCCCCATGATAACTCTTTCAGGGGTGAATTTCTCTCCCGAGGGGTAGATTTCTCTCATTTCCTGTTGTCTCACCCCCATTCTTGACTACGAGTTGTTTGTAATTTGGATATTTGTAACTTGGGGACTGCCTGTAATCTGGTTTCATATATGTCATGATTTCTGACCAGGTTCATTGAGACAGAGGTGAAGTGAGTTTCCCTTGTATTACAAGAAACTTGATGATGGCGACGTATATCACTCATTTTATGCCAATATCCAGACCCTCTTGTCATATACTAAGAACATGAAATTGCAATGTAGTTATTCTGTGGGTGAAGTAACAAGAACTATTTGGGGTCCCCTCTGCCTTGAACCTTGAACAGAATAAAGGCAGTCCCCAACTTGCACCCAGACTCCTAGTTACGGATGGACCTTCCCCCAAAGTAGAAATCCTTTTCAAGCAAGGGAGAAACTGGTTTTCATAAATGATCATTGTCTGGGCTGTCCTCAGTTTAACTTTGAGGACCATGATGCGGAAGGTCACAAACCTGCCCAATTATCATTGCTTAAGCCTTTGGAAAAACATCATATTTTCTTATAACTGCTTGTTCTCTGCCCAGTGGCCAATGAGTAGATAAGTCAACTTCTTATACAAATAAATTAGAATGCCACAAACCCATTTATCCAAATGGAGTGACTGATGATGATAATAATTTTAAGGTTGGCAAAACCATCAGTACTTCTGCTTATTTGGCTCTTTGTAGTGGGATTTAAAAAACAAAATAAAAAACTTGCATTGTTTGAGCTGTGGCATATTTTTCTGATCTCAGAGAAACACTGGGCTCAACTGACTGTTGCCCAGAGTGGTCTTTGTGATTATATTTGTTCAAATCAAATACTGAGAGCCAGAAAACATAAAAGTAGAATGAAAGCAAAATCTATTTCTTGAGATATTATTTCGTAATTCCAATAAATTACAGTTCCCTGTCCTGCGCCAAGAAATTCTGACTTCTCCCAGATAAACCAGCCTCCCGACAACCAGAGAACATATTTATTTATTTATTCGTTTAGGGCTTTTATATCCCATCCTTTCTCAACCTCCGCAGAGGGAATCAGGGCGGCTAACAAAGTGGCACCCCATGGCGCCCACATCAAAACATAAATATACAATTAACAGTAATGTAATAATAACAATATAAAACAGTATAAACAATATAAAACTGTATAAATAATATAAAAACAGACAACAAATAGTCAGTGGTCACCGATTTAAATCATTATCCAAGGGCAGTCCATCAGTTCTAAATAAGTCAACACGTCAGTAGGTCAGCCTATTCTCCAAAGGTCTGATCCCATAGCCAGGATTTTACTTGTTTCCGGAAGGTCAAGAGGGATGCAGCAGATCTAATTTCACTTGGGAGTTCCATAGCTGGGGGGCCACCACAGAAAAGGCCCTTTCCCTTGTCCCCGCCAGACGCAATTGTGACAATGGGGGGACAATGAGTAGGGTCTCCTCAGATGGTCTTAGGGCCCTAGGTGGATTGTAGCAGGAGATACGTTCGGACAAGTAAACTGGGCCAGAACTGTTGAGGGCTTTACAGGCCAAAGCCAGTACTTTGAATTGTGCTCGGAAGCTGATAGGCAGCCAGTGGTGCTGGCGTAAAAAGGGCGTTCTGCTTCAGTGCATTATAGTTTGCCAAAATAATAACAAAAGAACTTGCATGGTACTTTTTTGCCCAAAATGCAGTGAGCCCTCAGTATCTGCTGGGGTTTGGTGTTAGGCTCCCCCTCTAGACACAATCATTCTTGGATTCTCAAGTCCTCTTATAAACAATAGCATAATAAAAAGGTGTCCATTATATAAAATGCACCCATCAGCCTTCGTTAGGGGAGAAGTTGGTCTATCCTCCATAAGATCCCACATTCACTTTTCCCTATACAACTACTGGAGAATCATAAAGGATTCCTCATCTATGGTTTTCCCAAAGCTGTGCTTTCAGCATTTATCAGAATGCAGAGTTTGGAGCTCAAGACATCAGAAATTGCTGGAAGTATACCATACTCTGTCTCATAAACCTTCGATGTTGAACTCAGGAGAGAAGCTGCAGGAATACATTTATAATCAAGGCATTCAAATGGACAGACAAGCTATTAACAGCTCCATGTTGAAAATTTGACCATGAAAGGGCTGTGTACCTAACCAACCTTACATTCCTTAAACTCAGACAAGCTCTTACAGCCCTGTGATTCCAAAGTATGTCCTCAGCAGTGTTGGATGACAGATACTCGGACACTCCTCTGACTTGTTGGCTTTGTGTATGTGGGGCCTCAGAAATTTAGCTTCTGTCTCACTACTTGTTTACCGGCTCCCTATATTCTGCACCAAGAAAAAAATTATTAGGACCTATTCTGTGGTATCTACAATCGAACATGGTTGCAGAAAAGATCTACCTTTTATCCTATTCCAAATCCACAATCACTTTATAAGGTTTCTCTCTTTACCCTGGCAGCAAATAAAATCAAGGCCAGACTGATTGTGGACATCACAATCAACTGCTGAGGATACTTTTATCTATCCTGAGTGGGATCAATTACCCCTAAGGCAGTGGTTCTCAACCTGTGGGTCCACAGATGTTTTGGCCTTCAACTCCCAGAAATCCTAACAGCTGGTAAACTGGCTGGGATTTATGGGAGTTATAGGCCAAAACACCTGGGGACCCACAGGTTGAGAACCGCTGCCCTAAGGGGTACTTACTTAAGTTTTTAACATGACTGATATTTTATACCGGCTTCTTACCAGTGAATGTGCAGTTCCTAGCGCATGCAGCACTTGCGTCACTGCATTTCACATTGTATATTTTGCACTCTGTGTTATCCTTCTTGCATCCTGCTTTTAACTGTTGGATTTTACAGTGTTTTGTATAGATGCTTGTTAGATCAGTTTAACATGACTGATCTTTTATACCGGCTTTTTACAGGTGAATGTGCAGTTTCTAGCACATGTCGCACTTGTGTCACTGCACCTCATTATGTATATTTTACATGCTCTGTTTTTTCCTGCTTGCATCCTGTTTTAACTGTTGGGTTTTACAGTGTGTTGTATAGATGCTTGTTCCCTGCTGAACGGCTCTCATGGTCAGGAAGTTCTTCCTAATGTTCAGATGGAATCTCCTTTCTTGTAGTTTGAAGCCATTGTTCCGTGTCCTTGTCTCCAGGGCAGCAGAAAACAGGTTCACTCCCTCCTCCCTATGACTTCCTCTCACATATTTATACATGGCCCTCATCATGTCTCCTCTCATCCTTCTCTTCTTCAGGCTAAACATGCCCAGCTCTTTAAGCTGCTCCTCATAGGGCTTGTAAAATTTTTCAGCAAATCAAGTATTGGAGACAGAAGTGTCCTATCTTACTGAATGAGGATGAAGAAAAGTTTATCCATAAAAATAGTGAGCTTAGGATAATAGAGGGATTGTGGGGTGTTTTGGTTTTAACACGAGATAAAATGTCCTGACAAACTAACATTTAGAAACTGCTTTTTGTGCCAAAGCAATAATTGATTATACATGCTTACTAGAAAAATTAAATGGTTCTCTAGACCAATGTAACATTCTTTTTAAAATATTCCAGAATACTGATGCGTTTAACAGATGACTTCTTGCTTGTTACGCCACACTTAGACCAAGCAAAAACATTTTTGAGGTATGACAAAGGTTCCATTTTTTGTATATTGGTGGTTGAGTTACCTTTTTTGTGTTTTGATTGTTTTTAGCTCTGACTACTAAGGAACGGAAATATAGCCCCCTTTCTGGTCTGCTTTCACTCCATAATATCTCCTGCACAGATAGCTGATGCTGACAACTATGACCATGTATATTCTGCTTTCTGTTTTAAGTCAGTGGTTCTCAACCTGTAGGTACTAAGGTGTTTTAGTCTACAGCTCCCAGAAATACCAGCTGTTAGGATTTCTGGGAGTTGAAGGCCAAAACATCTGAGGACCCACAGGTTGAGAACCACTGGTTTAAGTATAGATACAAAAATGAATGTGATATTAGGCATGAAAATAATTTTCTTGGCAATTTTGGCTCATGATACATATCATACTACGCATACATACATATACAGACAAACGAACAGATGATAGAAATATAGAGGAAAGATATTATTTTAAAATGTTTAATATTGCCCTTGGGGCTGTGTTAACATTCAGAAAGAAAAGGATGTGCTGTGTCTGCTGACATTTGAGACAATTCCTGGCTGCAAAGCAAGATTGTCTGGAGATAGCTCTTGCTGTGTATCCATCTTCCTATAATTCACAAAAAAATGGACTTTGCAAAGCCAGAAAAAACATGCAGATTTGACTTCCTTGCCTAGTTTTAAAGGGCAGATCAATGTTTTTTCTTGAATTATAGTGTGTTAATGTAGCATATATGAATTATTGGGTTGTTCCAGCTGGTGGGGAAACTCTACTAGAAGGGTTGTATTTGCTAATTGAGTGCAGAAGGAAAGGGAAAACTAGAGAAGAAGGAGGAACTGGAGGGCTTTTAAATATATATCTATATAAATAAAAATGTAATGTTCGTTTGTGGGGTTAACAGAACTCAAAAACCACTGGACGAATTGACACCAAATTTGGACACAAGACACCTAAAACCCAATGTATGTCCTTCACTAAAAAAAAATGATTTTGTCATTTGGGAGTTATAGTTGCTGGGATTTATAGTTCACCTACAATCAAAGAGCATTCTGAACTCCACCAATGATGGGATTGAACCAATCTTGGCACACACAACTCTAATGACAAACAGAATATTGGAAGAGTTTGGTGGACATTGACTTTGAATTTTGGAGTTGTAGTTCACCTACATCCAGAGATCACTGTGGACTCAAACAATGGTGGATCTGGACCAAACTCTACACGAATACTCAATATGCCCAAATGTGAACACTGGTGGAGTTTGGGGAAAATAGAATCTTGACATTTGGGAGTTGTAGTTGCTGGGATTTATAGTTCACCTACAATCACAGAGCATTCTGAACCCCACCAGAGATAGGATTGGGCCAAACCTCCCACACAGAACCCCCATGACCACCAGAGTGGGCCACAGCAACGCGTGGCAGGGGACGGCTAGTGTGTGTTATTGTTGCCCACTTTTTTTTAAAAAAAAATCAACAAACACCATATAGCGAAATATATAATAAATTGACCCCATATCCGGACTCCCAGCATTCAGTGCCTCCAGTGTTGTGTCAATACAACATAATGCCATCAGTTAAAAACACCTAGCACATAAACCCGTTGAAACATCAATTTAAAAGAGCATATACAACCAATGTATAATGATCAGCACATAATTTAAAATGTATTAAAACACATAGCACTATGTAACACGCGTTTTGTTCTAAGTTATAAATAACATTTCCTCATTGGTTCTATCATAAAAACATGGGGAAAGTTTATTAAACTGCAAAAACTTCATTGTTGCGGGACATCCTGCAGCGTATTTTGCTATCGTTTTTCAATGAGTGTCGTATTGAGTCTCAACCAATTCAACATAGTTTGTGGCAACCAGAAAAACAAAGTTTCTGGAGTATTACAACTACTTTCAAAGTCAGTACTGCACAATTAAATAGGAATAACACTTTCAAACCAGGAACAGATTTTTTTTCAAATGTTGTTATATAGTGAATTTAAAATCGTTACAATACCTTGCCAGAAGAGATGGGTCTGTGACACTGTTTTAAATTCAGACAGTGTCGCGACCCACAGAACAGGCCACTCAACAGACAGCTTGTTCAGCTATTGAATCTCTCATGGCCGGTAATTCCAAAATATAGAGGTGGCTACAGAAAAACCCCTTTGGTGACTGTTGCCAGCCTAGTTCTTATTATTTTCTAAAAATCCTCAGATTTCTGTTTCCTCCAAGTGTGCTATGGGGATGTTATTTTAAAAGAAATCAGAAGAGCAGAGACAGTATCATATATTATGTGCCTATTTAAACTTGTAACCATGCATTTGCTTTGACCTAGAACCCTAGCCACGGGAATCCCAGAGTATGGCTTTGTTATAAATGCATCCAAGACAGTGGTGAATTTTTCTGTTGATGAAGATATCCCTGGACTGTCAGGGTTCAAACAATTGCCGTTTCACTGTGTCTTTCCTTGGTGTGGATTGTTGATTGATACACGGACACTTGAAGTGTATTGTGATTATTCCAGGTAAATAGGATTAATGTCTGTATTAGTATTCATGCTGCATGCTTTTAATTGGAAGATTAATGAAGAAACTGATTGAAAACTAGGGTTGTTGAGATTTAGCAGTTGTTTATCCTGAGACTATTTTGATCCTTGTCACCTAACTTAGAGTATGGATTGCAAGAAATGTTGAAGACAGTCTAACCCAAACCAGAGGTGTCAAACTTGTGGCCCTCCAGGTATTTTGGACTTCAGCTCCCAGAATTCCTGACCAACTTGCAAGGGTATATCATCATCATCATTTAATAACTTATTGATCGCCCTCCATCCGAGAATGCTGTAGGTGATTTACAGTTAAATTATAAAAGATAAAATACATACATACAAAAATTAAAAATTAACAGAGATCGAATGCTCTAGTAAAAAGCCAGGTCTTAAGTGCGAGAGTAAAAGGCCCTAAGTCACGCATGGCTCTCATGTAGGGTGGCAAGGAATTCCACAAGGCAGGGGCAGAAATAGAAAAAACCCTGCGTCTGGTCCTTTCCAAGTGCACTTCTCTAGGACCCGGTATATGGAGTAAGTCACATTGGGCTGGTCGTTGCGACCTCCGATGATGGGAGAAGGAGAGGCGGTCCCTAAGGTACGATGGACCCTGGCCGTAAAGAGTTTGAAAGGTCAGAACTAGCATCTTATACAGGCCACGGTACTCAGTTGGAAGCCAATGTAAATGTTGCAGCACTGGTGTTATATGGCATTTCATGGGCGTTCTTGTGAGTAGCCTGGCTGCCGCATTCTGAACAATACGAAGCTTTCGGGTCGTAGACATCGGAAGGCCCACATACAGGGCGTTGCAATAGTCCAGCCTAGACGTGACCGTGGCATGGATGACAGTTGCCAGAGCCTCGTCAGATAGGTAGGGTGCCAGTTGCCTCGCTTGTCGTAGATGGAAAAAGGCCTGTTTGCTGGCAGCAGCGACCTGAGCTTCCATTGTCAGCTGTGAATCCAGGATGACACCTAAGCTCTTAACAGTGGTCGATGGAGATAGGGCAGCACCATCGAAGGTGGCCAACGGAGGAGTCAGACCTGCCGGGCGGCCATGCCAGAGAATCTGTTTTTGCTGGGTTCACCTTCAGTCTGCTAGCACGTAGCCAGTTTGAGAGAGCTTCCAGACATAGGGTGAAATTGTCTGGAATTGACGTTGCTCCAGGCTCCAGACGCAGAAGTAGTTGGGTATCGTCTGCATATTGGTAGCAGTCCAGGCCGAAACTCCGAGCCAAACTAGCAAGGGGTCTAACGTAGATGTTGAAGAGAAGAGGAGAGAGAATTGCACCTTGGGGGACCCCACATAGGAGGGGGATCTATCGGAGGCTTGATCCATGTACTCCACGCGTTGACTCTGGTTCCGGAGAAATGAGCTGAACCAATTGAGGACCTACTTCAACCAGAGAAATCAGCCATAGCAGAGCACCTGATGAACATTAGATCGTAGTCGACGGTGTCAAATGCTGCGGTAAGGTCGAGAAGTACCAGTAGCACGGATCCACCGTTGTCAGACTGGCGACGGAGTTCATCCGTAATGGCAACCAGGACTGTCTCCGTCCCATGACCCGGGCGAAAACCTGACTGGGAAGGGTCCAGGCCAGCTGTGTCATCCAGGAATTGCTGCAATTGTCCCAGTACAGCCCGCTCTATCACCTTGCCTAAGAATGGCAGATTAGAAACAGGACGGTAATTGGCAAGGGTCATAGGATCCAAGCTAGGTTTCTTTAACAAGGGATGAACCCTTGCCTCTTTTAGGTTGTCCGGAAAAAAACCCTGTTCAAGAGAGCCATTGATTATACTGCACAACGGATTGAGTAGACCTTCCAAGCAGCTCTTGATCAGCCAAGAGGGGCACGGATCAAGAGAACAGGTGGTTGCTTTTGCAGTAGCCAGAATTCTGGCGACATCCTCCGTGTGAAGCGGTGTAAATCGAAGATAGGCCCGCTAAGCGGCCACAAGGTCTCCAGCTCACTCAAAAGTGTCGACTGTGGGAAGGAGTTCCTGCCGAAGCATGGTAATTTTGTTAGGGAAAAATTCCTGGAATGCCAAAGCTGTAATAGGCATATGGGAGTTGGAGTCCCAAACACCTGGAGGGCCACCTGTTTGACACCTCTGTTCTAACCTGTAAGTGGCGGAGTGTCAGAATGGATAGTATCATGGATAGTGCCATGTAGGAAAATCACAATCAAAGCACCCCTGACAGATGGCCATCCAGCTTCTGTTTAAAAGCTTCCAAGGAAGGAGCTTCCACCAAAACTCTGAGGCAGAGAGTTCCATTGATGAACAGCTGTTACTGTTCAGAAGTTCTTAATATTCAGGTGGAATCTCTTTCCCTGCTATTTGAATTTATTGCTCCATTTCCTTGTTTTCAGAGCAGCAGAAAGCACGCTTGCCCCTCCTCAATGTGATAGCCTTTCAGATATTTAAACATGGCAATCATGACCCTTCTCAACCTTCTTTTCTCCAAGCTAAACATACCCAGCTTCCTAGGCCGTTCCTCATGGGGCTTGGCTTCCAATCCAAGTTAAAAAGCAGATCATTGCTTGACTAGAATATTTTTAATTGACTGATAATTCCAGTTAATATGTTGGCTGGAAGCTGAGTAATCTGTACAGCCTTTTCCCAGCTACCTACTAGCTGTGCCGCTTTCTGTATTTGCAGCTCCAAATTCATATTTGCACATCCTCACACACATTCAGAGCTTTATTTTTAGACTACTCAAAGGATGACAACCAAGTCACACAACAATAGCATTACTGCTAAACTGTTTGGCCAGTCATTAACTCAGTTGAGTAGTTCAAGAATATATCTTATGTGTAGTACAAGGTTAATGTGTTCCTCGATTTTAACTACGTATTGGTTTAGTTAATTTTTTTTAGAATTCGGTGTTGGCTGTGTGATTTTTTTGAGTTAAATGTGTTTTTCTGAAGCTGAGTGTTTCTCATGTCATTATTTCACCCACTATCAGTGTTTAAAATTAACATAAGAAATGGGTGATGCTGAAATATATATCATTTAGAAGTCTGCAGTTTTGGCATGCTAGTATTATCTTGATTACACAGCTGTGAAGTATCCAGCGTTTTTCCCCTACAGATCACTGTGTATCGGAAATCCATACCAATTGAACCCATCAGAGAAAAAAGCAACAATTTGAATCTTCCTCAAATCCAACCAAGCAAACCAATTACTTTGATCAAATAGCTTGTTATATTCTTCTTACTCCCTCTCTCCGTCTCACTCTTTCTCCCTCCCTTCTTCTCTGCCTTGCCACAACTGCAGCTATTCCTGCACATCTATCAGATCAAGCCTCTCTTTCAACTCTAGCGTCAAAGCTGGTGTGAGCATGAAAAATAAACTACTTGCTGTCCTGAAGCTGAAATGTCACAATGTGTTTGTAGATTTGCAGGTAAGAAAAATCAAAACACAATTAGGATTGTATTTAGATGGAATTAATCTAAAATATGTAACCAGAACTAAGCCCTTAATGCTATCCAGTACAGGCTGTATATCCCTTATCCAAAAGTCTTATGACAAGGATTGTTCTATCTTACGGATTACTTCAAATTTTTACGTAAACATAATGAGATACTTTGGAAATGGGATCCAAGTCTAACCACCAAATTCTTTTACGTTTCATACAGACCTTGTACACATAACCCGAAGATAATTTTTATACACCGTCTATTTAATAATTATGTGCATGATACAGAGTCTGTGTACATTAAACCATCTGAAACAATTTTCAGAATTTCCAGACATGCATATGGACAATTTTAGGGTATTTTGGATTTTTAAATTCTGGATATGGAATGAACTACCACTGTAGTAGAAATTGCTATGATTCCTGTGCTTGTATTTTCCTGTATGAAAATAATTATTCCTCGTTGTCCACATGTATTTATATCAGACAAACTTGCCCCATAATGTATGATTTAATGTTTATTTTTTCTCTCTGTCTCAATTTAGATTAATAGTCTTAGAACAGTCTGTATTAATGTTTACAAGATCCTTCTGCTGCAAGCCTACAGGTATGTGAGTTAATTTGCAAGCGCCAGTACTATCAAAAGCCACTGGAAGGTGCTGTGGGTTAGGAAATCCAAGGACTGCCTTTGACCCTGGGTGCACTCTTTCGTGCCATGTGAGCATGTCGGCATCTGAATCTAGGAAGTGCGTATCTTCTATTCCATATTTCTCCTTGTGCTTTTCTTTAGTGGTGAAATCATTTTGGCAGAGATACAGCTGCATAGTTTTTCCTGTAAAAAGAAAGTCATTTTCGTCCTTTATCCCTTGTATTTTGCAAGCCATGCTGTTGGTTGTTGTGTTTTCTAAAGAGCTGTTTTTAACAGTGTGTCTATGTAAAAATAAGTGATGCAAGGATTGCCAGTTCTCCAGGAAAGATTTAGATTGATTTGGCTGTATAGCACGGATGGAGAGATTTTGTGGTCTCTAGGGTTTCCTTTGAGATATAGTTTTTGCTATATTCCCCAAAGGATATGTGGTACAGTTTTGCTATACAGTGGAACCACAGCTTAAGAGTGTCTCAACTTTTGAGTTAAGAGCTGTTGCTCAGCCAGCATCATTTTGAGTTAGCAGGTAGTTCCAGAGGGAGCGCTATTGTGAGAATACAGGGCGATAGGGCTTCAAGGGAGCAGCCTCCATGCCTTGTTCTCTGGTCCATTTTGGGAGATTACTGTTTGCTTTGCTTCTGTCGATTTGAAATACTTTGGGTTTGTTGATTTTTTTTTGTGGTATTTATTCCTCGTATATTTGGCTTTCTAAAGAGAGAGAAGGAGAGAGAGCGAGGGAGACTGGAATGGTCTTTTTTATTGATTCARGTGAACGTCCCACCTCGGAATTTAAGATCTTCTGGGGAGGCCCTGCTCTCGGCCRCACCTCTATCACAAGCGAGATTGGTGGGGACTAGGAGCAGGGCCTTCTCYATGGTGGCCCCTCACCTGTGGAATTCACTCCCTGGGGAAATTAGGTCATCGACATCCCTCCTCTCCTTTAGAAGGAAACTAAAAACATGGATATGGGACCAGGCTTTTGGGTAATCTGGCAGATAGACAAAGGGCAATGACGACTAGAYTTGATAGGATTTGACAATGTGGAATGAATGTACGGATTCTGAGCTGGCGAACGTTGAGCATTAGACTGGTTTTATTGATTATGATGTATAATTGATTGTTTWAATTGTTTATAATTGTTGTCTATATATGTTCTAATTTATTGTTGTGTTGGCATCGAATTGTGCCTTTTGTAAGCCGCCCTGAGTCCCCCCTCGGGGGTTGAGAAGGACGGGGTAGAAATACGCGAAATAAATAAATAGAAATAAATAAATAAATGTCCAATAAAGGTTTTTGGGGCAAAACAGATTAATAACATTTCAATGTGAAATTTTGCTTCGAGATAAGAGTTTTTGAGTTAAGAGCTCAGTCATAGAACTAATTAAACACTTAAGTCAAGGTATCACTGTATTTGGGGAGAGGGGCTGTTTTAGGCCTAGAAGCAGACTTTTTCTGACAGGAACTGACTAACATGACCAGGAGGGACAGCAGAATGCAATTCTACTCGTCATTTCCCAAGTATGTGGGGCACAGAAACAATAACCCACAAGTAATTGATTTTTATATAGTTTTATCATGAATTTTATTACGTGATTTATTCTGTTTTAATTTATGTATTTATGTGTGTTCGGCATCTAATGTTGCCAGTCTGTACGCTGCCCTGAGTCAACTTCAGTCTGAAAAAAGCAGGATAAAAATGTAGTAAATAAATAGTTAATTAATTAATTAATTTCGAAAATCTTTGTGTGGGTGGAATGTATGTTAAGGGGTGATACCTTCTTCCAGGTGCAGTGCAGCCCCCGAACCCCATGTAGTTGCCCACTCCCTGCATTCTAGAAAAATAGCAGAAACCTCCGTCTGTTTCTGGACTGCAACTTTCATCCTTGCTAGCCAAGTAGTTAGGGATTATGGGAAATGTAGTCCAGCAGCATCTGAAGTGCCACTACTTTCTTGTCTCTCCCATAGTGCCATGTTGCGTTTGGAGCCAAACTGGTTACAATCCTTTTAGGAATTGTTCTAGCCTCATCAGCTGCACACTTTCTGTGCTACTAGTCTGTTTCTATAAACCCATCTCTCCAGTCTCAAATAATATGCCCTCTTGGCCCTCTCGTCCCTCTCCCAGACCCCCCCCCCCCGAAGCTGTCCTTATATATCTCAGTGACAACTTGTCTGAAGGAGAGTTCCATGAGCTCTAAAATGCTGAGCCTCTATTGTTGATAGGCTTCTTGCCAATAGGTCTTGGCAGCTTCCCCTCCTTCCACTATCCCACTGGTCTGCTTCATAGTGGGAGCGGTTGGCTTTCTGTCGTGCTGATAGGCCACTGCTTTGGCACATATGCCCTCCCTGAATATACCAGAGCACAAGGAGAAATCTGCTGTTGCAGAAATGAGTCCTTTGAAGCAGTACTTGAAAGTTACTTTTTAAATTAAACCCCAGCTAGCATGGCCACAATTGTAAAAGGTAAAGGTTTCACCTTGACATCAAGTCTAGTCATGTCCAACTCTGTGGGGGTGGTGCTCATCTCCATTTCTAAGCCAGAGAGTCGTCATTGTCCATAAACATCTCCTAGGTCATGTGGCTGGCATGACTGCATGGAGAATTGTTACCTTTCTGCCGAAGTGGTACCTATTGATCTACTCAAATTTGCATGTTTTCGAACTGTTTAGGTTGGCAGAAGCTGGGGCTAACAATGGGAGCTCATCCCACTCCCTGGATTTGAATTGCTGACCTTTCGGTGAGCAAGTTCAGCAGCTCAGTGGTTTAACCCGCTACGCCACTGGGAGCGCCGGCCACAAATAGCATGTTCAGCAGCTTAGCGGTTTAACCCGCTGTGCCACTTGGGAGTGCTGGCCACAAATAGCAGTTCTTCCAAACTCTAGTGGGCAGGAAAAGAACTGGAAGGGAACTTCATTTTGCCTGATAATTAGGGGAAAGTATGGTTCTATGAAGAATGTTTGAAGACTACAGGAAGAGAACTCTGGAAAGGTATAAGGGCATAACAACACAGCCAAAACGTACCAAGCAGGATTTCCAAGTGCATTGTGACATCAGAGATCTTTCCCACAATTTAGTTCTGTGACACCCTGATCCACACATTCATTGAACCAAATTTAGGGTTTGAAGATGTGCTCACATGAGGAGCTGCCTGTGGCTCAGTGTCAAGTCAAAGGGAACTAAATCAGACGTGGGTCTACATGATTTTCAAAACATGATGGCTGCTGCAAATCAGCAGCTGATTAAATTCATCTTAGGGCCCTTCCACACCCACATAACCCAGAATATCAAAGCAGAAAACCCCACAATATCTGTTTTGAACTGGGTTATCTGAGTCCACACTACCATATATTCCAATTCAAAGCAGAACATGTGGGAGTTTATTCAGCTGTGTGAAAAGGCCCTTAATTGAAGCAAAACCTGTTAACTGAATTTTTTTTTCAACCTCCCTTCATTTTCACTGCTCTCTAAATATAGGTGGATTTTTTGGTTTTTGTAATTCATTAACCACTTCCCCGCTTAGAACATAGTGTCTGAATATTTCTGCCTGGACTTTAACCTGTGTCCTCTCAGCTTTGCCAAGTAATGAGCTGAGGCTCCCATCTTCACTTTCTGGAGCATTGATAACCTTTGAATCACTTTTTCTTCCTTCTTCCTTTTTCTTCTACAGGGATTTATTTTCCTTGTCTCCCTGTGAACATCTGCTTATCATACTGAACATACACTTTGGTCAAGGCCAAACAAGAATGGCTTAAGGCGTATTTTGAAACCACCCAAGTTATCTCTTTAATCGTGTTATGTCCTGTCACTCTTCTAGGCAACAGCTGTGAAGGAAAGTAAAAGGTAGCTTTTTGAAAGGCCATAGGTACTGTTAGGTAAGAGTAGGGCCCCATCTACACTGTCATATAATGTGGGTTCACAATGGAGTTTTATTTATTTATTTATTTATTTACGGCATTTATATGCCGCCTTTCTCAGAGCGGCTTACAAGATGTGTGTGTGTGTGTATATATATATATATATATATATATATATATATATATATATATATACACATACATACAATATATTATATTATTAGCATAGTACAATATCAGTATTAAATATTACTATATTGTACTATACCATTATATTGTAATATTATTAGTAATATTACATGTAATATAAATATATAATTATAATGACAGTGTAGATGGGATCTAAGAGAAGATTTCTCCATGACCAAAGACACCCTCTCTTAAACGACTGCTGTTTTAACTTACTACTTGAAAAAAAAAACCAATGATTTCCTCTACTAATTTCAGTGGAACTTATTTCCTATCAAGGGCTTGAATCATAAGCACACTTTAGCTATTCTTTTAATTATGGAGAGGGCTTTTTGTGTCCTATTTCATTCTAGGTTTCATGCGTGTGTTCTTCAACTTCCCTTTAACCAAAAAATTAAAAGCAACCCTAGTTTCTTCCTGGGAATAATATCTGAGACTGCTTCGTGCTGCTTCTGTGTTTTGAAAACCAAAAATTCAGGTGAGTGAAATAAATGTACCTAAAATAGATCCCAAAGGTCTATCTGTGAAAGGCTGCTTGAGCAGCTTTTTCTTACCTTTTTTTCCCCCAGGAGAGCTAGATATCGTGCTATAAATGCATCACTGAATACTGTGTCACTCTCTCTTTTGCTTTCCTATCCCCAAATTGGGGAGTTGAGAGAATAACACAACCAGGACTGGGAATATGAGAGGTTGAAAGACAGATTTAATCAATTTAGACCCAGTGAAGATCACCTTCCTCCCTCACAAGGGTTAAGAGGTGTTGTTTTTACTCTCAGTCCATTCATTTTAACTCAGGCCCTTTCCACACAGCTGAATAAAATCCCACATTATCTGCTTTGAACTGTGATATATGGCAGTGTGGACTCAGATATTCCAGTTCAAAGCAGATATTGTTGGTTATTCTGCCTTAATATTCTGGGTTATGTGGCTGTGTGGAAGGGCCCTCACTATTCTTCATTTTGGCTAGCAGGAAGGCAATTAAAACTTGTGCGCCAGTTGCGCCCGTACCTTGGGAAGTCAGATCTGGCCACAGTGGTCCATGCTCTTGTTACATCCCGAATAGATTACTGCAACGTGGGGTTGCCTTTGAAGACTGTTCGGAAACTTCAATTACTCCAACGGACGGCAGCCAGATTACTCACCGGAGCGTCATACAGGGAACATACCACCCCTCTGTTACGTCAGCTCCACTGGCTGCCGATCCAGTTCCGAGCACAATTCAAAGTGCTGGTTTTGACCTACAAAACCCTATACGGCTACYGCCCAGCGTACCTGTCCGAACACATCTCCTTCTACGTCCRGCCTCGGACGTAGATCTTCTGGGGAGGCCCTGCTCTCYGCACCACCTCTATCACAAGTGAGATTGGTGCGGATGAGGAGCAGGGCCTTCTCGGTGGTGGCCCCTCGCCTGTGGAATTCGCTTCCCGGGGAAATTAGGTCATCGACATCCCTCCTCTCTTTTAGAAGGAAAKTWAAAACATGGKTATGGGACCAGGRCTTTGGGTAATCTGGCAGACAGARAAAYGACAYTGARGACTAGAATTGGATAGGATTTGACAATGCGGAATGAACTTACGGATTCTGAGCTTGGCGAACGTTGATCATTAGATTGGTTTTTATTAATTGTGATATATAACTGGATTGTTTTAATTGTTTTATAATTGTTGTTGATATATGTTTTATCTTATTATCTGTTTTGCTGGCATCGAATTGTGCCTTTTGTTAGCCGCCCTGAGTCCCCCCTCGGGGGTTGAGAAGGGCGGGGTAGAAATGCGCGAAATAAATAAATAAATAGTACAATGAACCTTGAAGAGTGCTTGACCTTCCTAATGATGGTGGTGAATTTCAAAAACAAAAGAGAAATAATTTTGGTGTAGCCGGAATTCATTGAAATTTTGACTTTGTTCAATAGTAAGCAGATTTCTCATTCTGGTTCTTTTGCCTGCTTTCATTAAAGCCCAAAGTCATACAAATAGTCCAACGAAATCTAGAAATTGTAATTTACTGAGGCTTTGGTTTGCTTACAAATGCCCAAGCAGCCACCCTGCCATTTGTTTCTTCCCTCTTGGTCCATCTTTAGAACATACTTTCAGGAAAAGAACAGAAGGATAGGCTGGTAAAGATAGCAGGGTAGCTTCTAGAATAACTGATTTATTTAAATTTGAAATCTCAATGACACCAAGAGTATTCCTCCCCCCTCTGGCACCAACTGCTTCTCTCGCTAGAGTGAAGACAGAGAGGAGCAGAAGACAGTTCCATCTTGTCTTTACTAATAATATAATATGGTATATTGTATATACATATAATATTTATAATATTATAATGTAATACAATATAATACTAGTAATAATAATCCAATATTATAATTATATATTTACATTACATGTAATATTACTAATAATATTACAATATAATGGTATAGTGCAATATAGTAATATATAATACTGATATTGTACTATGCTAATAATATATTGTATGAAAATATATATTGTAAGCCGCTCTGAGTCCCCTTCGGGGTGTGATGCGTGGCATATAAATGCCGTAAATAAATAAGTAAATAAATAAATTGTGTTAAAGAGAAGCAGCTCTGCATGGAGGACAAAGACACTAGAGACATACCTAGCTTTCCCTTCAGATGTTTGTACTGCATGTGTTGTTGGCAGTGATCAAAACGTATTGTCAGGAAGGTTCTTTCTACACTGCCATATAATCCAGATTGTCAAATGAGATAATTCAGATTATATGCTTTGAACTGGATTATATGAATCTGCACTGCCATATAATCCAGTTCAAAGCAGATAATCTTGATTTATATGGCAGTGTAGAAGATGCCAAAGTGCCTCTTCTTAATGGCATAATGATTTATCCAGAGCCTGGAGAGGTTACCTTTTTGGACTAGACTGACATCTTGATGCTCTTGACTAATGAAGGCAGTTATAAGAGTTCCCATGATGTGCTGCATTTGTTCACATTGAAGGTTGGATTTGTGCCCTTGCATAAGCAAATCATGTCCTTTCCCCAGAGTAAAGAAACACGATTGCTTTTGAATACAATTCCCAGAATCCCTCAGTCAATCTAGCTGATGAACATGCTAACTGAGGCTGGATCTATACTGCCATATAATCTAGCTTCAGAATTCAGATTAAATGCCTTGAACTGGAGTGTATAGCAGCATAGACTCATATAATCCAGTTCAATGCAGTTAATCTGCATCCTGAAACTGGATTATATGGCGGTGTTGATCCAGCCTGAGAAATTCTGAGCACTGTTGTTCGAAAAAGTAACTTTTGCAACTTTGGCGATGTACCCTGTTCAAATCCACATTGTACACACATGCACCTTTAAAGTATGGGATATATAGCTCCTAAATAAGCACTTGTTGATTTATTTTTGCTTGTAGACATTCCTTTTTCTCCCATAGGTAGTTCATCTCCACTTTCTTACAAAGCAGTCCAGTGGCTTTGCTATCATGCCTTCAGTGTTAAACTGGCCATTCACAGAGTTATCTACAAATGCCTTCTTGTGCCCCTCGCACTGTGTAAGTACTTCTCTACTTTTATATACTTCATATACACAGAGAATGGGCATTACTATAAATCTTTAATCTTCACTTCTGAGCCACCTTTGCAGTACGGAAGTGCAGTACTATAAATCGTTCATTAAAAACAATCAGTTTTATTACAGTAATTTATCAGCTGTTACTTGCAACTAAAGATGCAGATTTCTTAATGGTACTCAGTTTTGGTTATGTAAGAGGACTGTTGGGGGTTTTTTTTGGGGGGGTGGGTTAGTAAGGAAATACTGCTGAAAACATAAAGCGATTTCCTTCTGTAGGGTTGGGGAGGCAGTTATAGAACCATGACTGTTGAGATATTTATAGATGTAAGTAAACGTGCATTGGGGATATGTGGATTTTTACGACACACAGTTAAATATTGCCTAGGTCTTCATGCTATACTTGGGGAACCTTATCTGTACAGTCACTAGCATCATTCTTGTAATAAAATCTAATCTGATATGAGTTATTCCTTGAGAACATTGATCCAAATAGCCTTGTTGCACATTTCAACCATATCGTTACTTTTTTAAAATTAGTGATAGCTGAACTGACAGCCACGCCCTATAGATTAACTGGTTGCTCTCTCCTGCGGGGTTTTTTGGTTCATCTTTTCCTTCATTGCCAGAAGTCAATCTTTTGGCACCTGATTACAAGGCACAGAGCTAACTACCAAGGAAGAAAATGTTTTTTGGGCCAACAAGAAACCATATATCATGGACCCGATGAGAATTGGGGTTCTGATACTAACTTCATTTAAAAATACATCAAACATGTTTCTCCAAGTGGTATGTTTAGCATCTCAACTAGTTCCTCTCTAAGCATAGAAGAAGGAGATTAAGTACTTTCAAATGTTTTTGGCTTGATTTTTATGAAAGCTGGGATATTTTGTAGAGGTGTGCAAAAAAATTGGATGAGTCGGAATTCATAAGAAAATCGGAAGTTTTGTAAGTCGTAAGCCATTCCAAAGCATTTGCGTGGCCCACACCAAAAACTTAAGAATTAAATTGACCCCATACTTTTTCGTTTTAGTTTTATAAAGCTTGGAAGGTTCCCAAAGTCAGTTTCATTCAGTGCAAAGCAAGCTAAGCTAATGAAAGGAATCATAAGAAAAGCTACCTGCCTCCTTTGCCATTCCTCTCCCTGTAGACTAATAGCTTCTTGCCGTGAAGATTTAATGGCTTCTTGCCATGAAGACAGGAACCATTGCATTTTGGGAATTGCACAGAACTTGAGAAATGTAGTTTGGGAAGCGGGGGAGCCCTATGCCAAAGAATTCAAAAGGCTCTGTCCTAAACTACATTTCTCAGTATGCCTCAGAATCAGAAAATACAAATCAGGAGAGAAAGGAGAGATTTGTCCCTCCCTAAACAGTCATTTTTTATCAAAACGTTTTTTAAAAAATTCCTAAAATCATTAAATTTATGAGTATTTCTGAAAACTGGGAGCTAACTCTTGTAGTTTTTTTTAATGTTGTTTATAAAATGAAATTTTGTGGGCTAACAGTGGTAAATGTGTTCTACTGTTGTAGCAAGTTTCACCTTAATAGCTTTAAAAATGAAGGATATAGGAGTCCCTGATGTTTCCCCAATTATAGTAATTATGCTCATGCATAGTTTGGGAAGCGAGCCATATGCCTGCGATAAACTACATTTCCCAGAATGCAGTGCTCAGCATTGGGCTACAGCAGCCAGCCATAGTGTTTTGAGTCAGTCTAATAATAATAAAATTATTGAATCTGCAAAGAGGAGTAAACTAAGTAATAGTATAAATCCCTGCAAAGTTGAAGTTATGTGGTTGTGTGTCATAGACAGACAGACATTCAAAGGGATTGTTGCTGTTGCTTTGGGGGGGATAAATTGTTTTTGTCTGTACTTTAAAAAATCCCCCAAAATCTGTAGATGTGTGAATCTTTCTGAAACTCCTGGGAATTGATTCCCTGGTTATCTTGTGCATTGTATACAGGCCCGTAGCCAGGATTTTGATTCGGGGGGTGCTGAGTTTGACTCGGGGGGGGGGGGCTGAGTTTGATTCAAGAGGGGGGGGGCTGAGGATATACCCTAGCAAACCTTTTGTTTCGTTATCCCAATAGCCCCATGCATATGGGATATATTGAGCATGGTGATCAGATCATGATATGAATAAACATAACAGTTTAAATAATGTACCAGTAAGGCCTTCTCGCGGACCACCATGAGAATTTGGGGGGGGGGGCGGAAGTCCCTCAAGCCCCCCCCCCCGGCTACATGCCTGCTCAATTCTAAGGCTTCCTACCAAAATGGAATTGTAGAGGAGAGTCTACTGAACAAGCCAGTTGCCTTGCGGACTTACCAGCTTTCCGCAGGGCATGTAAGACATACCTGTTTCGACAGGCTTTTAATGTTTGATACTGTTGTTTTTAAATTGTTTTAAATTGCTTTTAAACTTTGTTAGATTTTAGCTATTCTTGTAAGCCGCTCTGAGCCCCAGGGGAGTGGCGGCATATAAATTTAAATAATAAATAAATAAATAAATAATTTAATTATGCACATGCGCAGTTACTGTAATGAAATAGTAACGAAATTTCATTACTCTCTTTATAGTAACCAGTTTTTCACTAAGTATACTTTAGAAACACTTTAGAAACAAAGCACCAGCGTGACTCCAGTTTTGTAGGTACTTTTGAAGCATTCTTTAATGGATCGCACATGCCTATACTCCTATATTTTGGTGATCTGGTGTATTCGTTCTGTTTGGTTCACTTTGACGAGTAGCAATTATTCAGCGACACTGTGTTTGTAGGTAAAAAAAGGTTACTTCGGCAAATACCAAAAGCTACTGTCCAGTTGCTAAGGGAAGTGACAGAGCCATCCATCTACGACGACTTCAAAACTATCCTTGATTAACTGCCTGCATCCACATTCGTCTCGAGATCCATGCTCCCTTTTCCTCTCCACACGCAAGATCTCTTCAGACTCCTAAGAGCACAACAGGCTCTCTTTAACAGCTTTGCCTGGTCCACTGAAAGATGAAGTCTAAATACACTTCTGTTTGCTTAAATTAGATCTTCGCTATGCAGAGGGAACATGAGCATTGTTAAGGTAAAATACTTTCCCAGATCCCCTCTCCATGAGAAATGTTTAAATCGGTGTCCCAAGGAAAGAAAATGTGAATTTGTTGTCTGCTGAACACTGCTGTTCCTCATAAAGGAGTGGAGTGTGCGTTTGCTTCCATGCACCAATGATAAGCAGAAAATTATCTTTGAAAATGTAAAGATAGAAATCAATACTAAGTGTTTTTTTTTCTTAGATAAAATTGTGTATAATCTTGGTTGAAATCCAGACTGGATGTACACTCCCATATAATGCAGTTTGGAACCGCATTATATGGTCAACGTAGACTATAAAATGCAGTTTAACTGCATCGAATCACACAATATGGGTCTACTCTGATCATATCCAAGATGCATTACATGGCATTGTCGATCCAGCCTCAGTCCCAGCTAGAATAAATCCATTGAAGCAGTTGTTGAGTAGTGAATTGACACATTGGTAAATCTGATACAGTGGGTCTGCTTTAGTTGGCACTAGCAATATGATTTGGGCCCTTTCTTGTGTTTTTATTTAAACAAGAACAAACATTTTGGTATAATCCATCACTGGCCAAATACCTGTCTGTTTTGGCATCTTGCCTAAAAAAGGAATAATGGTTGCAACTTCTGCATCAATCTGTGTATATGTTGTTTACAAAAAAGGACCAGTATCTTTATACTAGAAGGGGAGGGGGTTGTTTGGTATGAGAACCATGTAATTTCTCTCAAACCTTACTAAAAATGCAGAAGTGTTGTAAGATATTTCATTATTTGCATTGAGAGTCCCATTCTTAGCTTGCTTATTCCATATCCGCAAGGAGGTGATTCACAAGGGATGTCATTATCCTGTGCAGCCCGGGGCTTGCTCTGCTTAGTGTTAACCCTCCAGCATTTTATGTGAGAGTATTAGATGAGGCTGAGATTAGAATATGCACTCAAGCATAAGGATTTGAGATACTACTGTGGTTTTATTGAGGACATTAAACCTGCACAGGAGAAATTGCTGTCCTCTTCACGATTGCTTTATTGATATATCCATGAGGTCATTTGCCAGGATTACTGTACTTTCTTAGTATGTTTCTACTTGTAGGCTTCAACGGTGATGATACTGTTCAGCATAAATAAAACCTGATTCATTTCTATGCCAATCTGCTGTTCTTTCTGCATCTTGTTGGTTATAGTGGATACTGCTATTTGTAGATCTTGGTATAAACACAAACATGGAGTTATTTATTTTATTTATTTATCGTGTCAGGAGCAACCACACAGTTGTATTACATTTTTAACAAAACAAACAAACAAACAGACAGACAAAACACAAAGTTTGGTAGTTGATTAAATGTCCTTTGACCAGTATCTAGCCACTTGGAGTGCCTCTGGTGTTGCTGCAAGAAGGTCCTCCATTGTGCATGTGGCAGTGCTCAGGTTGCATTGTAGCAGGTGGTCTGTGGTTTGCTCTTCTCCACACTCGCATGTCATGGATTCCACTTTGTAGCCCCATTTCTTAAGGTTGGCTCTGCATCTCGTGGTGCCAGAGCGCAGTCTGTTCAGCGCCTTCCAAGTTGCCCAGTCTTCTGTGTGCCCAGGAGAGAGTCTCTCATTTGGTATAAGCCATTGATTGAAGTTCTGAGTTTGAGCCTGCCACTTTCGGACTCTCGCTTGCTGGGGTGTTCCAGTGAATGTCTCTGTAGATCTGTTGGGGTTCAGCCTGTGTGTGAACTTGAACCTCACTCTCTGATTGTATTTCCTGATACCCTTGTAGATGTCAATGTGAATTCTGATTATGATGGTTTGAGTAGTGAAAATCCTACAGCCTTGGAAAGTGAAAGTCAAGATTCCCATGAGAACATACATTCCGAGCGGAGACGGTTCACTCCCTTTTCCTCCCAGTCTTAGCTCTCTGGAGAATCAGACACCTGACCTGCCTAATGAGGCAAGGGCAGATTTGGCAGAGTCGGAGAGAAGCACAATGTTTACGCAGGTCAGCCAGATTGAAAGAAATCCAAACAAAATCTTCAGGCATGTCTCGCAATAGATTTCTTGGCCTTAAATATGCCTGGTCTGAATARAGCTTCAGACCAGGCATTGTTCCAGATTCATGTGCCAGCGTTTGCAGGTCTCCTGATTCAAGTGGCCTTGTTCCTRGGAGGCTTTCTAGTTGTGCTAAGTACGGTTAGTGGATTMCTAACAGYTTCCAGGATTCAGCAGTTTTGCTGTGGGTTTCATGATCTTGTTTATGGACATTTCTTGTTGCTGATTTTTACTGTGACTTGTTACCTTTGCATTTTTCCTCTATTTTGTATTCATCTTTCATCAATAAAAAGGATTGTTTTTCCTGAAGCCAAGTGTGGTGGATTGTTGTCTGAGGCTCCAGTTTCCTGCTCTGGGTTGCAACAAGATCTTAGAAAACTATTTCTTGATTTAAGTCGTTGATGTGCTGGCTGATACCCAAACAAGGGATGAGCTGGAGATGTCACTGCCTTGGTCCTTTCACTATTGGCTGCTACTTCCCGGTGGATGTCAGGTGGTGCAATACCGGCTAAACAGTGTCGTTTCTCCAGTGGTGTAGGGCGCAGACACCCCGTGATAATGCAGCTCTCATTAAGAGCCACATCCACTGTTTTAACATGGTGTGATGTATTCCACACTGGGCATGCATACTTAGCAGCAGAGTAGCAAAGCACAAGGGCAGATGTCTTCACTGTATCTGACTGTGATCCCCAGGTTGTGTCAATCACCTTTTGTATGATATTGTTTCTAGTGCCCACTTTTTGCTTGATATTCAAGCAGTGCTTCTTATAAGCCAGAGCATGATCCAGGGTAACTCCCAGGTATTTGGGTGTGCTGCAATGCTCCAGTGGGATTCCTTCCCAGGTAATCCTCAGAGCTCAAAATGCTTGTGTGTTCTTAAGATGAAAAGTACGTGTCTGTGTCTTAGATGGATTAAGAATCAGCTGGTTTCCCTGTCATAGGCAGTAAGAACATCTAAAGCTTCATAGAGCTATTCAACCATTTCAAAGCTTCCTGAATGATGATGGCATAATCATTAGCATAGATGAAACTCTCTGTCCCTTCTGGCAGTGGCTGGTTATTTCTGTAAATGTTAAACATTGATGGAGCAAACACGCTCCCAAGGTAGGCCTTTCTTCTGTCTTCGCCATCTGCTTCTCTAGCCCTGGAACTCAACAAAAAAGCTCCTGTTTCGTAGCAGATTTAGTTACTTACTTACTACCTTAGCAGACTTTAAGAAAAATCTGAAAACCTGGCTTTTCCGATGTGCCTTTGGAGAGTGACCATCCATGCTATTTGTGTTGCTCTATCTATAGTGTTGCCTATATGATGCAATTTATTTATTTATTTAGTCATTTATTTATTTATTTACAGTATTTCTATACCGCTTTTCTCACCCCAAGGGGGACTCAAAGCGGTTTACACATAAGTAATGGCAAAATTCAATGCCAGTACAAACAATTACAATTATACACTACAATTAAACATAAATTGACGAACAGTCTCGTTCGTTAAATAGACGTTCCAGTCATTTCCCCCATTCTAAACTGAAAGCCTTACCCCTTGTTTCATTTTGTTGGGCCCCTCTCACTTACATTCTTACATTCTTCTTATTCCTACCTCACCCAGGGTTTTATCATTTTATTTCTGTTCATTTGGCCTGCCCATCCAGTTCAATTTTAAACTGTGTGAATTTGCTTTATTATGTCACTTTGTTGTTGTAATTTATTTTCTGATGCATTTTGTTTTGTATTCTGTATTTTACTGTGCTTTGTTGGCCTCATGTTAGCCGCCCTGATTCCCCATTGGGGAGATGGTGGCGGGGTATAAATAATAATGATGATGATGATGATGATTATTATTATGTTAGAATTTTTAAGCCTGAGAAATCATTACATACTATGTATCTCAACTGGTTACACATTTGTAAGTGCCTTAGTCAATTCTGGGCCCCACATTATTCAGATCCAGAAAATTACTGGATGTATTATAATAACAGATTACTGCTCAAGCAAGGAGCTTTGAGATGGTAGAAGAGAAGCTTTCTGAAGCTCTAGGTGCTCTTACTGCCTATTACAGGGAAAACCAGCTGATCCCCAACCCATCTAAAACACAGACATGTGCCTTTCATCTCAAGAACAGAGAAGCATCCAGAGCTCTGAAGATCACCTGGGAAGGAATCCCACTGGAGCATTGCAGCGCAACCAAATACCTGGGAGTCACTCTGGACCGTGCTCTTACCTACAAGAAGCACTGCCTGAACATCAAGCAAAAAGTGGGTGCTAGAAACAATATCATACGAAAGCTGACTGGCACAACCTGGGGATCACAACCAGATACAGTGAAGACATCTGCCTTTGCGCTGTGCTACTCCGCTGCTGAGTATGCATGGCCAGTGTGGAACACATCTCACCACACTAAAACGGTGGATGTGGCTCTCAATGAGACATGCCGCATTATCACGGGGTGTCTGCCCTACACCACTGGAGAAATTACACTGTCTAGCCGGTATTGCACCACCTGACATCCGCCGGGAAGTGGCAGCCAATAGTGAAAGGACCAAGGCAGAGACATCTCCAGCTCATCCCCTGTTTGGGTATCAGCCAGCACGTCAACGACTTAAATCCAGACATAGTTTTCTAAGATTTACAGAGACACTCGCTGGAACACCTCAGCAAGCGAGAGTCCAAAAGTGGCAGGCTCATACCCAGAACCTCAACCAACAGCTGATACCAAATGAGAGACTCCCCGCTGGGCACACAGAAGACTGGGCGACTTGGAAGGCGCTGAACAGACTGGGGCTACAAAGTGGAATCCTCGACATGCGAGTGCGGAGAGGAGCAAACCACAGACCACCTGCTGCAATGCAACCTGAGCCCAGCCACATGCACAATGGAGGACCTTCTTGCAGCAACACCAGAAGCACTCCAAGTGGCCAGATACTGGTCAAAGGACATTTAATCAACTATCAAACTCACACATTTTGTATTTTCTCTGTTTGTTTGTTTGCTTTGTTCTGTTAGAAATGTAATATAATTGACTGGCTGCCCTGACACGAGAAATAAATAAACAGATCAACGGAATTATGGCCAGGAAGCCAATCGGGTTTATGCCTTAATTTCCACCTTTCATTGTAGGCAAGGAAATGCAGATGTAGCTATATGAAAAGGTCAAACATCCTACTCAGTGCTGACAGTTTTCAAAGAAGCCTCGAAATGCTAATAAGTGCTCATTCCCAGGCATTCAGTGTCAGCAAACCCCTCCCCAGTGAGTATGTGCCCTGGTACTGATACTAAAGTGGGTGACACTTTATAAAATCTATTTCGCTGGAGAGTAGCACAAAACTGCTTGAAATAAATACACGAGCCATTTTCAACCTTCTGCAATGCTATAGAAAAGCATGTTTATTTTTTAGAATACTCACTACTTCCATTAAGAAGGTTGTAGAGCAGTTTATACAGATGTTACCTCAGAACTTCCAGAGAATACCTTCAAAATTCGGGTTTTTGTTTTTAAACAGGTAGAAGAGGGCTACCCAGATTATTGCAGGACAGTAAAATCAAGCAGAAGGTTGTGGAGCTTGGTTCTTTTGTATTCCGCATCTAACTTTTATAAAAGTGTCAAGGGCTCCAATTGGGATTGTCATACATGGGATAATTGCCAGCAAGGCACAGATGAACACAACCCAGCCAGGATAAGTTTTTTTCTCCTTCGCAGGAAAATCTACCTGCAGGAAAAACAATTACTCGGCATGAAATCAGCTTCAAATACTAGTACAATGAAACCTGAGTAAAGATAGACAAAAATAGACAATGTTCAAAAAGGAAAGTTCAGAAAATAGAAAGGAAAAACCGTCTGTTGTATATGAATGCAGTATATCTAGTCAGCCCTCCATATCCACAGTCTTACATCTGTGGATTCAAGGAACCACTATTCCAAAGTATTCAGGGAAACAATTCCAAAAAGCAAAGCTTGATTTTTCCCACATACTGAGCACTACGTGAGCATAGAATCATAGAGTTGGAAGAGACCTCGTGGGCCATCCATGGGCAGGAAAATCGCATTCAATGCAGCCCTGACAGGTGGCTATCCAGCCTCTGTTTAAAAGCTTTCAAAGAAAAAGCCTCCCCCACAGTCCAGGGCAGAGAGTTCCACTGCTGAAAAGCTCTCACAGTTAGAAAGTTCTTCCTAATGTTAAGGTGGAATCTCCTTTCCTGTAGTTTGAAGCCATTGTCCCGCATCCTAGTCTCCAAGGAAGCAGAAAACAAGCTTTCCCCCTTCTCCCTATGACTTCCCCTCACATATCTATACATGGCCATCATGTATCCTCTCAGCCTTGACTTCTGCAGGCTAAAAATGCCCAGCTCTTTAAGCCGCTCCTCAAAGAGCTTGTTCTCCAAACCCTTGATCATTTTATTTGCCCTCCTCTAGATACATTCCAGCTTGTCAACATCTCCCTTCAATTGTGGCGCCCAGAATTGGACACAATGTGATTCCAGTTGTGGTCTGACCAAGGCAGAATAGAGGGGTAGCATGACTTCCCTGGCTCTAGATACTATACTCCTATTGATGCAGGTCAAAATCCCATTGGCCTTTTAAGCTGCTGTGATGTGTAGGCATGCCCATTCTGGGATTCCGCAAGAATGATATTCTTTAAAGTTGACTTGTGTTGGACTTGTGTAATCATAAGTGGATTTACATATTGAAAATGGAATGGAGTACTTTCTCAATATTTCTGTTCACCTAGCTACATCTACACTGTAGGATTAATGCAGTTTGACACCACTCTGCCATAATTCAATGCTGTGGAATTGGCATTGTATTTCTACAAGTTTTTCAGCCTTCTCTGCCAAAGAGTGTTGTGCCTCATCAAACTACAGTTTAGATACAGCCCTAGGGGCAGCGCAACATAGAGGTGTCCATTGTACAGTGATAGGGAAGTGATTGATGTGCCACAACACCCAGTACTGACTGCAATACTCCTGAATAAGCATGTAGGCACTGGCCAAGAAATGCTGGAACACAACAGAAGCGCCTACAGCACATCAAAATTGCCCAGTGCACATCGAAACACTGTTATCATTACCCAGATTGATCTTTGCCATTTTTTGTCAGCAGCGACTTGAGAAACTGGTGTGAGATAATTGTCCATCTGCAAGGACGTTGCCCAGGGGACACCCAGATGTTCTACCATACTGTGGGAGGCGTTTCTCATGTCCCCGCATGAGAAGCTGGAGCTGACAAACAGGAGCTCACCCCACTCCACGGATTTGAATTGCCAACGTTTTGGTCAGCCTTCCTGCTGGCACAAGGGTTTAACCCATTGCACCACTAATAGGGTTTCATTGCATTTCTGCGACATAGCGGCAGATTTGTGAAATTTAGAAATGTAGACCATGTGGTGGGATCTCAGCTAAGATTTCCTTTTCTAATTTAGAAAGCCATAACTACAAGATGGGGGGTGAGAGGTAAATACCAAATTTTAGCCATAGAAATAAGAAAGGGCTAGGAATACCAAGGTCACATACATAAGCTGGGTTCCACGCACTATAGCCTGGTGCGCCCTGAATAGCCAGGAAGGCCAGAAGTACTGCCGCCATTAACACAGGACTGATAACTTGCCACGACGCCTTCCAGTAGAAATTCACACGTCGTCCTGTCATCCATTCCACATCATCACAAAACCTGTGAGCCAAATTGGTTACATTTATTGGCATATCAACGGAGAAGTGCCTTTATACTTGCACTGCATCGTACTAAACATGTAACCAGCTAAATCTCATTCTTGTACACACACTGTTTTGTTACCTTATCATTACAACATCAGGTGATGACTCACAAATGACTGAAAGACTATGGAAAGTTCTGTCCTATTGCCCTTCAAGTACAAAGTATCAAATTATTGTCAAATGCAAGTCTCCAAGTAGTACATAATGGGATTGGTTGCATGTGGAAACTGGTCATCTGCCTCTTATGAGGTCTACCACATGGTGCATTGGTCAATAATGGTGGTAGTTTGGAGCTTGGTTTTCATGGAACAGGGTCAGCAAAGGAAGACAGATGAACATGCCCCTCTTTGGCCACCTTCCCTGTCAATTCACCCAACAGACTGGTTCTCTTAAGCCAGAGAATAATGTTTCTCCTGCTCAATAATATCTCTACATTATTAATTCAGGCTTATTACTCACTGGCCTACAGAAAGGGACTGTGGGAATTGTAGACTAAAACATTACCAAAAAAGAAGGAATTGAGGGTGGTTATTACATTACTGCATAGCAGAGTCGGCAAAGTGCTTGATGCATCAGGCACCAGTGCTCATTGAACACTATTGCAAGTGTCCTGTTACGAATCTTAGTTCAATAACAGATTTCTTATTACCGCTACATAAGAAAGGTGAAAAAAGAGAAGGGGGTAATATCAAAGTTCACAATAAGATGCAATGATTGAAGGATCGTCTAAATCACTGGTTCTCAACCTGGGGTCCCCAGATGTTGCTGGCCTACAACTCCCAAAAATCCCAGCCAGTTCACCAGCTGTTAGGATTTCTGGGAGTTGAAGGACAAAAACACCTGGAGACCCCAGGTTGAGAACCACTGGTAAATCATTATCTATTTCTACTCTTTTCTGTTTGAAGTGGTTTCCAACAAGATTAAAAATGGACAGCAATGTAACTATTTTTTGTAGCTTCGAATCCCTCCATGTTGAAATAGCATGGAAGGGAGAAAGTGAAAAGATTTTTATTTTATCAAAATAAGGTTGACCATACAATTATGACATATTTGTGATCCAGACTAAACTATGGTTTATGCCTTCAGGGAGAAGTAAACTAATATATCCAAAACAGAGCTGTAAATTGATATGCAATCATATATGTTAATAATCCAGTTTGATAACAACAACAACAACAACAATATTTATTATGGTCCATAGACCCATCAGTGAAACAGACAATCGTTTATAAATTCTCCCATCTCAGGAAAAGTTCATTCAACCAAATACCAGATATATCTCCATGGTTTCAAGTAATATCTCTATTGGAGGTTTGTTTCTTTCTCATCCTTGTTGTTACCCTGTGGCATTTATACTCTAAAACAGGGATCCTCAAATTAAGGCCTGGGGGCTAGATACGGCCTTCCAAGGTCATTTATCCGGCCCTCACTCAGGGTCAACCTAAGTCTGAGACTACTTGAAAGCATACAACAACAACAACAACAGCCCTATCTCGTCAGCCAAAAGCAGGCCCACACTTCCCATTGAAATACTAATAAGTTTATATTTGTTAAAATTGTTCTTCATTTTAATTATTGTGTTGTTTTAAGTGTTTTTTGCACTACAAATAAGATATGTGCAGTGTGCATAGCAATTCATTCATCTTGTTTTTTTTTTTCAAATTATAATTAGGCCCTCCAACAGTTTGAAAAACTGTGACCTGGTCCTTTGTTTAAAAAGTTTGAGGACCCCTGCTCTAAAAAATACTTAATAATCCCCTGTGGGGGGTGGCTGGTCATATGAGACCAAATCAGATATAGAAGTTGGCTACGTTGCACTGTATAGTAGTGGCACTGCAATAAAATGTGTTCTGTTGTTTCTACTTCATTTACTTCACAGGGGCATAGTCTTTGGGAGTAAGGGATTCCAGATAGTTTGCCTCTTAACAAGTTTGATAATTGGAATTGGGTGTTGTGAACGGATTACACCTGAGCTCTGCTAACCGCACCAGTTCCGAGTTAGTTTCCAGGCTCAGCATAAAGTGATACATTTGGTCTTTAAAGTCCTTCACATCCTGGAACTAGAACAGCTGAAGACAACAGATATAGATGACTGCCTGTACTACAAGGTTTTTGATAGATATCAATAAAAGCCATTGGAAATACCTAGAGATATGAAACTTTGATCCCATGGGGATTTTTTTCCCTTTAGAAAACAAAACTTTTGGGGAAAATATCTCCCCAATTTTTTCACTTTGCCCCTAGACATTTTACATCTCCAGTCCAACCAACACCAAATATTAACCAAAAAAAGCAGAGCAGTTTTTGCATTTTTTTTTCTGTAAGAGATATCTTCCATTCCAATGCTACATCAGTGATGGAAAAGTACTTAATGTCAGCAGTCTTGACTGAGAAGGCAGGAGAGTTAATTCCATCTTGTATGCTGTAATAAGATTTTAAAGCCACACTGAGAAACTATCTGTGGTGGCTGCCCTTTATAATTAATTCTAATACTTTTAAGACACTTGACCAGTGTACCTTTAATCTAACACATTTTTTATAAATCTGTTTTGCGTTTCTTGTTATGCCTCAACTGGAAATATCAGATAAGACAGCAATACCAAGATTGTGATTTTCAGAAATGGTGTCTGCAACACTGAGATAACCAATATTCTTAGTTCCAGTGTTGTTGAGCCAATTTCCAGTTGATCTCTGAAACCTAATCAGATGGCTGTATTTCTGGATTAACCAAGAAAGGTTAGATAGTAATGTAACCCGGATTTGGGTTGGAAGTTGCCTATCTAAGATGCTGTGCCTCTTTGGGAGAGCAGGTTCACTGTTCCACCGGAAATGGGAGTCAGCAGCTGCCACCACCACTGGACTTTCTAGATCAGGGGTCCTCAAACTTTTAAACAGAGGGCCAGGCCACAGTTGCTCAAACTGTTGGAGGGCTGGATTATAATTTGGAAAAAGCATGAATTCCTATGCACAGTGCACATATTTATTATTTATTTATTTACGACATTTATATGCCGTCCTTCTCACCCCGAAGGGGATTCAGAGCAGCTTACAAGTAAAAAGCAAACAATATATTATTATCATAGCACAATATTAATATTATATATTACATTGTACTATAACATTATACTGTAATATTATTAGTAATATTACATTTAATATAAAATATATAATTATAATATTTTATTATTATTAGTATTTTGTATTACTTTATAATATTGTCAATATTATATGTATATACAATATATTGTATTGTACTGTATTATAAGCACACTGCAGGAGACAAGATGGAACTGCCTTCTTGGTCCCGCTCTTCACTCTGATCTCAGAGCAGCGGTTGGTGCTGGGGGGGGGGGGGGGGGGGGGCTCCCAACTGATGACACCGGAGGCAAGATGGAACTGCCTTCACGGCCCCTCTCTTCATTCTGATTTCAGAGCAGCGGTTGGTGCTGGGGGGCTCCCAACTGGACACTGGAGGCAAGATGGAACTGCCTTCACGGCCCCTCTCTTCAATATCTTATTTGTAGTGCAAAAAACACTTAATACAATAATTAAAATGAAGAACAATTTTAACAAATATAAACTTATTAGTATTTCAGTGGGAAATGTGGGCCTGCGTTTGGCTGATGAGATAGGATTGTTGTTTTTGTTGTTGTTGTTGTTGTGTGCTTTCAAGCCATTTCAGACTTAGGTTGACCCTGAGCAAGGGTTGGGTAAATGACCTTGGAGGGCCGTATCCAGCCCTTGGGCCATAGTTTGAGGACCCCTGGTCTAGCTGTAAGTTGTCTTGATCATGGCAAAATCCTATGCAGACAAAAGCTTGTGTGTTAGGATGCCTGTGCAAACAACCACCGTCTCAATGTGCTGAATATTGCATTGGAGTTCTCCATTGAATCAAATGCCAATGCAGTTTGACCGTTACTTTTGGTCAGTGCATGGACTAGAAAAAAGTACAGACATACAAATATAATATTAGATGGGAATGCACTCGTTTGCAAAAAATGTGTTCAAAATGTGTTTAAAAAATCCAAAGTGCAATTTAAGGTTGAAAAAATTAGAAACCAGAAAGCCAAAATTGAGAAATTATCTTACAGTTTTTTAATGGTTGCTACTTAAACGCTATATAACTGCTTTAATTGTTGTGTAAGCTTTAATTATAAATTATTATTATGATAATGATGCAAACACTTCAAAGCTTATCCAGATATGTATGTTAATGTATCCAAGTTACCTTTTCATTCCATAAATAAATATAACACTAAGCACTTCAGTGGATACAATGATCAATAGCGGTAGGGATGCCACATGACTGTCAAACACCTCGAGCCAGTAGCTACCTGATCTGATAGTAAAACACAGGCCCAGCAACAAGGAGACCAAGCATATGATGCCTAGAGAAGACAAAATATATTGTTCTCATTAAGAATACATAGTCATTCACATTCCCGTTTGGGTTTATCCTTAGTCCTACCCAATCTATTCAGCTCTAGCTTAATACCAGATCTTTTAAACCCACCTTTCAAGATTATGTTTGACCCCCCCCCCCCCTTCCATGTCTTCCATGCACTGAAGATTGCAATCCAACTACATTAAACCTGGTGGGAGCTGCTGCTAACCTCAGCAGGTGGAGGGATGGTAGTAGTCCTAAGAGTATAACAAGTAGCCAGTCTTAAAGAGTATAACAACACTGTCCAAGTTAGAACGGATCTGAGCAACTTTATCCGATCCAGTGATTCCAGCTGTTAAAGCCTTCGACAATACATATGAACCCTCTGCTCTTTAGTTATTCCACCTGTTAATACAGTAGTCCAAGGAATGCAGAAAGCACTCCCCCATGGCCAGTGAGAATAACAAATGAAAAATAACTTCTGGCCACCAACCAGATGACCAGGTAAGACTAGGGCAAACATAGGGTGGTTTAGGACACACTCTCTTCTGTACAAGGGAATCAGAGCAATACTAGAATTGTTGTATGATGCATTCAGCTGATCCAGCACAACACAACCTTGACCTGCATTCCTTGAAATCACAGGGTAATCGGGAATTTTCCCAAAATTCCAGATTATCAGACAACTTTGGGGCCAGGTAACCAGGAAGTGGCACAGTTGATAATATGCTATTGTGCTTTCCCTGGACTCAGGCACTCTGCGGAAAAGAACAGTCACCCACCTCACCCCCTTTCTAATAAGGGTGTGCAAAGTGGCAGATATCATTTCTATTTTCGTTCTGTTTTTGTTTTGATTCCTGGGTGTGTGTGCGTCCCCTTCTGTTTTTGGGAAGATTCTTCTTGAAATGGAACTCCACATTCCAAACTATGAATTGGAACAGCCCCCCTCCTAATCTCCCAGAGTCTTCCCGAAATCAGAATGAGGGGCACCAGAAATTCAAAATGAAAACAGAATAGATTTCTGCTGTTTTGCACACCCCTACTTCGTAATGTACATTAGTGGCCATAGGCACCAAAATGGCACTCCCCGGCGCCTGAAATGACACTGGAGGACGGCGGAGAAGAGGTGATTCCTCATCTCCCCCTTCCCCCCTCTCCTATCTTCCTGGTGCACTGGATAGTGCCTTTCAAGGAATTGAAGAGTGTCCACTGCCATTTTGATGGCCAGTAGGAACTGCTAAGGTCAGTTATAATCGGGCAGAGGGAGACAGGGACAGATGGGTGAGTAGCGAGAAACCTGTTTTGGTGCCACTTGCCCATGCAGTCACCATGCCTGTTCAAGGGCCGATGATGTAGTTACCATACAACTTCAGAGCCAACTTGGGGGTTTGTAGAGTCGCTATCACCAAATGTTAATCCATTGTAGCCCTCTCTGGGGTAACTGCCCTGGTAAGATACACTCTTAGTCAAGAAGGGTAGGTGGAAAACACTAATAGCCTTCCTATTTAGCTTACTGAGACCAACCTGGGCTATGTGTATGACTCATTCCTGAGTTTCAGGAGACACAGAAAATGTAATGCCTTCCAACATGTGCAATGACTACTGGAATGACCTGGATTATGATTGCAATTGGGTGATTTTATACTGATAATAAGCCGCCTTGAATTATTGCCTATCTGTAAGCCGGGGTAGAGAAAGATGGGATATAAATATAGTAAATAAATAAAAGGAAACATTTAGGGATTAATAGTATTATTGTTTTAAATATTTAAAATGTTATATAGTATTATTATAATACAGAATATATATAAAATTATTATATAATATAAATAATAAATTGATTAGTTTTCTGGACAAGACCCAGTCTTACTTTTGGTTGTATACCCATACAGCTACCTTGCATAAGGATTGTAGGAACAGATAACAATATTTTTAAAAATGAGCCTTTACAGGAAAAAGGTTGTAGCTCTAATGAACATTCACTCGGTAGTCTCTCTACCTTAACTTGAAATATGTTACTAACACTAACATCACCCTTAGAGGGTTGTTTTAAATGTTACTGAAGTAATTCATGAAAAGGGCTTTAAATGATAATATTAATATACTAGATCAGGGGTCCTCAAACATTTTAAACAGAGAGCCAGGTCACAGTCCCTCAAACTGTTGGAGGGCTGGATTATAATTTGAAAAAAAAATGAATTTCTATGCACACTGCACACATCTTTTTTGTAGTGCAAAAAACAATTAAAATAATATAATAATTAAAATGAATAACAATTTTAACAAATATAAATTTATTAGTATTATAGTGGGAAGTGTGGGCCTGCTTTTGGCTGACGAGATAGGATTGTTGCTGTTGTTGTGTGCTTTCAAGTTATTTCAGACTTAGGTTGGCCCTGAGCGAGGGCCGGGTAAATGACCTTGAAGGGCCGCATCCGGCCCCCGGGCCTTAGTTTGAGGACTCCTGTACTAGATAGTATACTCAGCTTTAGATAAATGAATGATGAAGAAGGAGAGTGAAGAAAACAATGTTTTTAAAGAATATTCTTACCGCATATGACCTCCTTGCGTAAGTGTCTGGCCAAAATGGGAACGTCCATGAAAGGAGTCAAGATCCCCTGAACAAGTCCAAACATAGAAGAGAGTCCCAGGTTGAAAAGCATGATGAAAAATAGAACAGACCAAACCTGGGCTCCAGGCATCTTAGCAACAGCTTCGGTGAAGACAATAAAGGCCAGGCCCGTTCCAGAAGCACTCTGCCAAAAACAGATATAAATTGAACAGATTGCAGTTCGATGAGACAAATTAGTTTCTAAATGCTATCTGATCGTAGTATAGAGATCAATTCATAATGGTTCAATACTGACAGAGAGGACAAAAAAAGAGATGAACAAGGGCAAACGCTGGCCACACAGTTGTGCCAAGACAGTTTGGGTCTCCCTTGGAAAGTTTCTGGCAGCTAGACTGAATGCAACATGCAGCTGAGGATCTGCTTTAGCAATCGTATATCACTGCTTTTTCACCAACTGCAGCAGTTTCCAATCTGCTTCCAGCCTAAATTAATAGCATAACAAAGGTTGATTAAACCATATGGCCTTCCAGTCCAAACAATTGCCATAAAGAGATACAGTGCCTCGCTACTTCGCAGTTAGGAAATGTTGACCATTTCCGCTACCTTGGCAGCCACCTCTCTACCAAAGTCAACATTGACACCGAAATACAACACCGCCTGAGCTCTGTGAGTGCTGCATTTTTCCAAATGAAGTAGAGAGTGTTTGAGGACCGGGACATCTGTAGGGATACCAAGGTGCTTGTTTATAAAACTATTGTCCTCCCAACCCTTCTATATGCCTGCGAAACGTGGACTGTCTACAGACGTCACATGCAACTCCTGGAGCGATTCCATCAGCGCTGCCTCCGGAAAATCTTGCAAATCTCTTGGGAAGACAGGCGGACAAACGTCAGCGTGCTGGAAGAAGCAAAGACTACCATCAACTCCGCTGGACCGGCCACATTGTCCGGATGCCCGACCACCGTCTCCCAAAGCATTGCTCTACTCTGAACTCAAGAACGGAAAATGGAATGTTGGTGGAAAAGAGATTTAAAGATGGGCTCAAAACCAACCTTACAAATTCTGGCATAGACACTGAGTACTGGGAAGCCCTGGCCCTTGAGCGCTCCAGCTGGAGGTCAGCTGTGACCAGCAGTGCTGCAGAATTTGAAGAGGCACAAATGGAGGGTGAAAGAGAGAAACATGCCAAGAGGAAGGCGCGTCAAGCCAACCTCGACCGGGACTGCCTTCCACCTGGAAACCAATGCCCTCACTGCGGAAGAAGATGCAGATCAAGAATAGGGCTCCACAGCCACCTACAGACTCACAAGAATTATGATCCTGGAAGACTATCCTACTCGTCCAACGAGGGATCGCCTAAGTAAGTAAGTATAAGTAAAGTACTTCGCAGTTTGCTTTACACGGACTTGCTGTTACGCGATATTTTAAAAATAAATATTAATTTATTGGCGCTGGAGGAGGGAGGGTGAGAATAGGGGAAACATGCTGTCCTGGGAGAAGCCCTGGGAGAAGCTTATATTAAGACTGTTACCCATGCTATGCTATGCTTTAAAACAAATTTCATTTATTTGTAATTAGAATAAATATTTCAAAATATATAATTAAATATTTGTTTTGCTTGATCACTATGCTTTAATTATGTTCAATTTGTAATGATGAAAATACATCCTCCATATTTACATAATAATAATAATAATAATAATAATAATAATAATAATAATAATAATAGAGGAAAAACAACAGGAAAAACTCAGCCGCTATCAAGACCTCAAAATCGAACTGCAAAAGCTGTGGCATAAACCAGTACAGGTGGTCTCAGTGGTCATCGGCACACTGGGTACCGTGCCAAAAGATCTCAGCCGGCATTTGGAAACAACAAACATCAACAAAATCACGGTCTGTCAACTGCAAAAGGCCACCTTACTTGGATCTGCGTGCATCATTTGAAAATATATCACACAGTCCTAGACGCTTGGGAAATCCAGCATAGAGATCTCGTTTGCTGTGACAATGTGCATTTGTGTCAATAATAATAATAATAATAATAATAATAATACTTTATTTATACCCTGCCACCATCTCCCCAATGGGGACTCAGGGCGGCTTACATGAGACCAAGCCCAACAACGCAATACAATAAAATAAAATCAAAACACAAAACAACAACATAATAAAATACATAAAATATAAAATACAATAAGCAATATAAAATTACAATCACAGTGACAGTGAGCGACAGAATAAAATACTAAAGGCTAAAAAGAGAGAGATGGAGCAGATTATTTGTGGGGGAGAATCTCATCAAAAATAGGGTCGTAACAGGACCTTCATACAGGAGGGGGAAGTATACTATAGAGACAGACGTTGAGGGGGAGCGGCAATATAAGATTGTATGGTTACTCTCCAAAAGCGCAATGGAAAAACCAGGTTTTCAGATCCTTCTTGAAGCTTTCTAAGGTGGGGGCTCGCCTAATCTCACCAGGCAATGAGTTCCAGAGTCGGGGGGCACAGAGGAGAAAGCTCTCTCCCTTGTTCACACAAGGCAGGTCTGTGATAACGGCAGGGGCGAAAGGAGAGCCTCCCCCGAGGATCGGAGGGATCGGGCAGGTTCATGGAGGGAGATATGGTCACGAAGGTGGGTAGGTCCCAAACTTTATAGGTGATAACCTGTACCTTGAATTGGGATCGGAAAATAAATGGCAGCCAATGGAGCCCCTTAAACAGGGGGGTTGTCCGCTCCCTGTAATTTGCCGCCGTTATTAATCTGGCCGCCGAGCATTGGACAAGTTGTAGTTTTCAAGGGTAGCCCAATGTAGAGTGCATTGCAGTAGTCCAATCTAAAGGTAACTAAGGCATGGACTACTGTGGTCATGTCCGACTTCATGAGGTATGGTCACATTTGGCGCACAAGTTTTAATTGTGCGAAGGCCCTCCCGACCATCGCCAACACCTGCATATCAAGTGTCAGCGCTGAGTCCAGGAGGACTCCCAACTGTGGACCATTATGATTCATAACAGTAGGAAAATTATAGTTATGAAATAGCAATGAAAATAATTTTATGGTTGGGGGTCACCACAACATGAGTCACTGTATTAAAGAGTCATGGCATTAGGAAGGTTGAGAACCAATGACTTGGAGAATATTCAACATATGGTTTTCCCCACCTACAGTTTTTTATAGGCCCTGCCTATAAAACAAGAGAATATTTATGAAATGTATGAGCTTCAAGTTCACTGCGACCAATGAGTCATACTCATTTAGTTAAGGTTTATTTTAGGTAGCGCTGATGTTGAACTGAGCTCAAGGTACACATGACTCAGAAAGGCTCAATAAATACATCTTGCCCTTTTTTATATTATTACTAGCTGTTCCCTGCCACGCGTTGCTGTGGCCCAGTCTGTTGATCTGGAAAATAAAGTAATGAGAAAATGTTGGTTTCTAATATATGTAATTTCTTTATGCTTGTGGGTAAACAGTATGTCTTGCTGTTTCTTTGTCAGTGTTGATGTGGAGAGTGTCTGGTTTGCCCACCCTGGAACATGCAACATATCATTTTCCTTCTTTAGGGGTCCCTTTCAAATCTAGGATACTATATCTGTGTGCGTGTGAATCATATCTATCTATATCTATGGCTGGATGGCTCTTTGTCAGGAGGGCTTTGATTATGTTTTCTTGCCCTGGTAAAGGGAGTTGGATTGGATGGCCTCAAGTATTTTCTGTTGGTCATGGGGGTTCTGTGTGGGAAGTTTGCCCCGATTCTGTTGTTCGTGGGGTTCAGAATGCTCTTTGATTGTAGGTGAACTGTGAATCCCAGTGTCTACAAATCCCAAATGTCAAGGTCTATTTCCCTTAAACTCCATCTGTGTTCATATTTGGGCGTATTGAGTGCTTGTGCCAAGTTAGGTCCCGATCCATCATTGTTTGAGTCCACAGTGCTCTGGATTTAGGTGAACTACAACTCCCAAACTCAAGGTCATTGCCCACCAAACCCTTCCTGTATTTTCTGTTGGTCATGGGAGTTCTGTGTGCCAAGTTTGGTTCAATTCCATCGTTGATATAGTTCAGAATGCTCTTTGATTGTAGGTGAACTATAAATCCCACAACTACAACTCCCAAATGACAAAATCATAATTTTTTGAGTGATGGTCACTCCTTGTGTAGTGAGATGTTTTGTTGCCAAATTTGGTGTGATTTCGTTCATTGGTTCTTTTGTTTTTAAGGTACTCATTATGCACAGAGCATTTATATATATATAGATTGTGAAGAGGAGCAGGTTGTTTCTCTCTCTCTCTCCTCTCTCTCTCTCTCTCTCTCTCTCTCTCTCTCTCTCTCTCTCTCTCTCTCTCTCCCTATTTAGCCCAGCCCTTCTTTATCTTTTTTCCCCTACTTTCCTGGAAACCAAATGTTCTCCCACTTTTTATGTAAATAGCTCGATTGACAATGGCACATAATCTGTCCAATTCGAAAGTAACTCACTCTGTCCCATCCACTAGTACATATATCTCATTAAAATTTCAACATCTGCAGATCCCTTTGAGTTATAGAAAAATATACTATTTTTTCACAACAGGAAGTTTTTGTGAAATGTACCTGATCCAGGAAGTGTTGAAGATCACATTCTTTCAGATGAAGACTATTCATTTGAGTTGGAAAACGTTTTTTATAAAAATCCAGCCATAGAGTATAGTTGTCTCTTGTAAGGGCTGGATCCACCAGCTTAAATGCATCGGTGAGGTCTTTAATATTTCTGTAAAGGAAGCCATAATCAACCTTAATTATTTGCATCATTACAATTCCTGACAAAAATTACCTACAACCATTTATCCTAAGTAGTACCTACATATGAATATAGATTTTATGTGCATGTAGGCAAAATGAATCCTTACCCGCAGACTGCAGGTATTACTAAAATTTGCTCTTCATCATAGTCTTGCTCGTGAGTAGTTTTCCTGCCTCTCCTAATACAACTAGTGTTACTATCACTGCCAGCAGACTATCACAACAAATACAATATGCCTTTTTGTTAAAATCTAAAGGAAATTCAATCCCCGTCACCACCACCACCCAAAAATACTGTTTTTGGTTGCAGCTGGAACAGTAATATTGCACTGAGCTCCACAAAAACATCAGCAAGTGAGGCAGGAAAAGGATTTATATAATACTACATTTTCCAATCCCAAACAAAATCATGATAGCAACATTTTGAACTGATGGATGTTCCGAGACTATTTTCCAAAGACATATTATATATTGCCCTTCTCAGCCCGAAGGCGACTCAAGGCGGTTTACAGTTGGCACAATTTGATGCCCCCAATAGCACAAAATACAATTAAAACATTAAGCATAAATATAAAACCATACAAAACCAATAAAAACATAAATCATCAGCATCTCATTAGTGAATCATTATCCAGTTGCATTGTCCGGCCATTCCATAGATCTAGATTTGTCTGTTAACTGCAGGTCAAGGTATAGCAAGTTTAAAAAATCTAGCCAAGGTCATACACATACTTACGCTTTTCAAAGTGCCTTTAATTTTTAAAAAACCAAAATGTCATTAAATACTATATAAAGAAACACACAGGGAAAATATGAAGAGCAGGGGAAATGGATCAATAGCTTAAACTTTCTTCATTAATTTGCAATCACTCACCTATCCAAGCATTCCCAATACCCCGTGGTTGCCTTGAACCCCAAAATTGAGAAAATTGGGATGGAAGCATACATCGATGTCAAACTGTTCACTGCCGCAATTAGGACAGCATCCATTTCACAGTCGTTTCTGGGGGAAAGAATTCCATGTAAGCCGATTAAGATTGATAAAGGACAGTACTAAACTGTATACTAAGCAATCATTCCCTAAGAAAATTATGAAATTCATGGAACTGAATATCAATTCTGAAATTGCAACTAGGAAGCTATACAACTTTGTTGTTGTTCATTCGTTCAGTCGCTTCCAACTCTTTGTGACCTCATGGATCAGCCCACACCAGAGCTCCCTGTTGGCCATCACCACCCCCAGCTCCTTCAAGGTCAAGCCAGTCACTTCAAGGATGCCATCCATCCATCTTGCCCTTGGTCGGCCCCTTTTCCTTTTTCCTTCCACTTTCCCCAGCATCATTATCTTCTCTAAGCTTTCCCGTCTTCTCATTATATGGCCAAAGTACTTCATCTTTGTCTCTAATATCCTTCCGTCCAGTGAGCAGTCAGGCTTTATTTCCCGAAGTATGGACTGGTTGGATCTTCTGGTGGTCCAAGGCACTCTCAGAACTTTCCTCCAACACCACAGTTCAAAAGCATCTATCTTCCTTCGTTCAGCCTTCCCTAAGGTCCAGCTCTCACATCTGTAGGTAACTATGGGGAATAACATTGCTTTAACTATGCGGATCTTTGTTGCCAGTATGATGTTTCTACTCTTCACTATTTTATCGAGATTGGTTATTGTTCTCCTCCCAAGAAGTAAGCGTCTTCTGATTTCCTGGCTGCAGTCTGCATCTGCAGCAATCTTTGCACCTAGAAATACAAAGTCTGTCACTGCCTCCAATTCTTCTCCCTCTGTTTGCCAGTTATCAATCAGTCTGGTTGCCATAATCTTGGTTTTTTTGATGTTTAACTGCAACCCAGGTTTGCATTTTCTTCTTTCACCTTGATTAGAAGACTCCTCAACTCCTTCTCGCTATACAACTAGGAAGGCAAAAAAAAAAAAAACTAGTGGAAAATGGGGTGGAGTAGAGTAAACGGAATGGACATGATTTGTTTACTGACTGGACCATTCATCTGAAGGACTTCTCACATTCACAGCCATAAAGAGCTCTGGTTCCAAGTCTAGCTTTTGTTGCTGACTTTGCTGAAACTAATTTTCCAAGAAGTCTTGTTTCTTGAATTCATTTGCTCAAATATTTTTGAACCATCCCCTCTCTGTGTTTACTTTTGTCATGGGGATGATTTGTGGAGCTCACCAGAGCTGCACATCTTGTTGCTATATGAGTAACTGTTATCTGGGACACTCATCCACACAACAGTGATGGGCTTTTCATCCACAATCTGTTGCTATATGAGTATATGTAAATTTGAGTTTTCATCCACAACAGTGATATTGCAGCACCTGAAACATTTTGATAGTATTCTAAAGCTTCTTGAAATTCCAATTATTTTTAAAAGGCCAGTTTTGGGGTAATAATAATAATAAATTTTATTTATATTCCACTCTATCTCCCCAAGAGGACTCAGAGCGGATTACAGAATACATATATGGCAAACATTCAATGCCGTTATACAATTGACAACAAAGACAAACAGTACATAAACAAAGGCAAGGCTTCTGTCCTTTTCATCTCAGGCATCTGGAGGCTGTGCTTGACTTGGCCATAGGGAGGTGCTGTTGTTACATTTTTTTCCATGTCAAGGAGCCTGTTGTCCATGGACACCTTCCTGATCAAATTTCTGGCATGTTTTCTGGGGCACCTTTTACCTCCCCTATTTATCTGCTCACATTGTTGTTTCCAAACTGCTAGGTAAGCAGAAGCTAGGACTGACAGTGGGAGCTCACCCCGACCTGCAGCTTGAACTGCGAACCTTCCAGTCAGCAATATTTTTTGTAGCTGGCTTTTACCTGAACTAAACAGTCACACTCTGCTGTTCTTCAGAGCAATGTCATGGGAGAGAAATAGCAGGAGCTTTCCTTCATCTCTAAAGAAGGTTGAGGAGCATTGTATTAGAATGACTTGAACAACCTGCTGATAACAGCAATTTCCTACTTGGAACGTAAGGGTAGTCAACGTCTTTCACTTGATCCAAGAGTATTGACAAAAGTAGGTCTTGTTGCCCCTTTTGGGTCTCATTACAATAAGAAATCCACTTAAATTTTAAGCCATCACAGATTTGCCAGGTTTACAAGGTGGTTTGTTGGAATAAAGTATACACGTGACCATGTACATAACCTGAACTGCTAACTGCTAAACTGCAAATAATTGAAAAATCTGCACAAACACACAATTCAATTATTGGGAGAGAGAAGATGGTACAGATTTGAAAACTACATCATGTTAAAATGTGCATGTGAATTTTTATGCTCAAAAAATCATAACGTTGATAACTAAATATCAAATAAAGACAGGAAGAAAATGTGTGTTGGATTCAAAGAAGTGTAGTAAAATGGAGACTGGGAGATTTCTGTATAACCTAGCAGATGGCAACAGCTACTGCATAATTCAACAAGATATACCTACTTTTGTGGATTGTAGCTTGAATATGCTACGTGTCCCCCAAATCCTACGGAAAGGGAGAAAAAAATCTGACTGGCTGCATCAAGCCACGCTCGTGGATTGCTCAGGACTTTTATCTGTTCAACAAACAAATAGAAAAGAGAATAATGCTAAATGCATGATTAAACTATTCTTTTCACTATATCACTGAATGGCAACTTTCTTTGTAAGTGAAGAGAACACCCCTGTGTTTGTTTAGTTCCAATACATTCCAAACAGAAATACAGTGACAACGAAGTGTTGCAATCAGGTGGTATACCTCTGTTGATTTGTACTACATATCTGTGAGCTTCTTCTTTTGGAATTTGGTCTATCTGTGGATTCAGTCTCTGGCTCAATAGTATCAATTAGCTCTTCTTAGGTTTGTGTATCACTGTTGGATGTCTCTCGTTGCCCTTCTCAAGTCAATCATCTGTTTTCTGGTGTTTCATCTGGAAACATTGTTGTCAATACGCTTCACTTCACTTCACTTCACTTTATTTCTTAATTAATCGCTCTCCACCAAGGTGCTCCGAGCGACTTACAGTCTAAAATAGCATTTACACAATATAAATACATTCAACATAAAAACATTCAACAGTGACTATTTYGCAAATTAGATCTGATGACTTAAATGCACAACCAAACAGCCAAGTCTTGAGTGCCTTTACAAAAGGTCGCAACTCCGACATTTCTCTAATGTATGGAGGCAATGAYTTCCACAGAATTGGAGCATAGGTCGAAAAAGCTCTACGRCTTGTAGCTTCCAGGTGTACCTCCCTTGGGCCTGGTATATATAGGAGATTTTCCTGAGTGGATCGAGGTGACCACTGATGGAGAAAAGGAATGAGGTGGTCCCTAAGATAAAAAGGTTCTTGGCCATTTTGAGCTCTAAATGTCAGGATCAGTATCTTGTAAGAAATCCGATGTTCCATTGGTAGCCAATGCAGTTGTTGCAGAATCGGTGTGATATGGGATCTTATAGATGATCCCGCTAGCAGCCTGGCCGCTGCATTTTGGACCATCTGAATCTTCTGGGTTGTTGACTTCGGAAGGCCGGCATATAAGGCGTTGCAATAGTCCAACCTCGTGGTGACTGTTGCGTGGATTACTGTTGCCAATGCTTCTACCGAAAGGTAGGATGCCAATTTCCTTGCCTGTCGAAGATGAAAAAAGGCCTGCTTACTTATGGCAGTGATCTGGGCCTCCATCGTCAGCGATGAGTCCAACACATCCCCAAGGCTTTTAACAGTGGCAGATGGAACCAGAGTTTCCCCATCGAAATCAGGCAGAGACTCAAGAAGTTCTAAGCTTGTATCTTCTTCATCTATTATGGTTCCTTTATTATGGTTCCTCTGATGTTGACTCTAGTTTGCTCATCAAAATAGGTCACATGTCTGACAGATACTTCTCCAGTATTTAAGTTCACAACTCAATATTCTTTGGTTCCACTTGCATATCCAATCAGAATTGTTTGTTCAGGTGTAGAGTTTAGTTTGTGTCGCTTTTGTTTTGGTATATATGCATAAGCTATGCTTCCGAATTTTCTAATGTGTTTTATGTTTGGTACTCTTCCATGCCACATCTCAAATGTAGTCTTTGTGCTTCCTTTTGTTGATAATCTGATTTGTAGGTAAGTAGCTGTTGTAACGGCATTGCCCCCAAATCTTCTTGGTAGATTTGCTCCCATGATAAAAATGTTTGCCGAGATAGACAAATTAACTTGTTAATTAAAAGAAGAGACATTTGAGGGGGGGGGGGAGAAAGACTGGAAACCTTTTGTTTATTTATTTCAAGGGGAAGAGAAAGACGCAAATCTTTAGTTTTGAAGAATAATTTGAGAGGGGTGGGTTGCTCAAGAAAGGAGTCAGCGCTAAGAAGCCTAGAGGGCTGGAGGTAATCTACATATTCTTTTCTTTTTTCTTCCTATTCCCCCCCCCCCATTTTTTGTGTTTATACTCTACTAGCTGTACCCGCCACACATTACTGTGGCCAACCTTCCCGCCCTCTTTCCTCCTTTCTTTTCCTCTTTTCTTCCTTCTCTTCCTCTTTCCTCCTTCCCCGCTTTTTCTTTCCCTTCCTCTTTCTCCCCTTTCCTCCTTCTCTACCAATTCTTGGACTGCAACTCCCAGCAGTCCTCCTATCTATTTATCTACCAACCTATCTATCTCTAATTTATCTATCTTATTTATCTGGAGGATTGCTGGGAGTTGCAGTCCAGGAATACGAAATTGGAAATACGCAGGTATTGGGAGGGTCTCAAAGAAATCCAAGAAGAAGAAAGCTTGCATCTTGGAAGCAGTGCATTTGGATCATCCTCCTCTCCTAAAGAGCCTGGTCTAGGGGTTGCTGGGAGCTGTAGTCCGGAAGAGAGTGTGAATATGCTGTTGTGTGTTTTGTTTGCTGGAGGAGTCGTTTTTATGCATGCACTGTAGCACCTTTTTGCTTTTTGGGCTTTTTAAGTCACTTCTGCTGTATTTTTCAGTGTTTTTATGAGTGATGGTCACTCGTTGGCCTGATAGGTGTCTTGTGTCCAAATTTGGTGTCAATTCATCCAGTGGTTTTTGAGTTCTGTTAATCCCACAAATGGACATTACATTTTCATTTACAGTATATAGATATTTCTTTTCTTTCCAGCTATCCAGTGTTCTGTTCTCTCTATTGAACATGATTTCCCGTTCTTGGGCCTAGCCAAGCTTTAATGAATGTTTCCAGTAGTCACATAGTCCCAGATTATCCAAAAGGCAGGAGCCCTTGGTGGCGCAGTGGGTTAAACCCCTGTGCCAGTAGGACTGAAGACCAACAGGTCGTAGGTTCGAATCCAGGAAGAGGCGGATGAGCTCCCTCTATCAGCTCCAGCTCCTCATGCAGGGACATGAGAGAAGCCTCCCACAAGGATGATAAAACATCAAAACATCCAGGCGTCCCCTGGGCAATGTCCTTGCAGACGGCCAATTCTCACACACCAGAAGCGACTTGCAGTTTCTCACTCCTGACACGACAGAAAAAATCCAAAGGGGATATTAACAGATGAGATAGTATCCTAAAACACTGTTGCACATCTTAAGTGAACACTGACACAGGTGAAGTGGCAAAGGACCAGGGTCCATGAAGCGTCCCATGTATATAATGGCTGCTGAACTTTCCTCTTTCTACCCTTGCCCTTTTCACAGCAGTAGATACATGAGTCCCTTTGCATGTCTCAACCCATATTTATTGCAAGGGTGGCCAACTATAGGTGTTTTGAGTACCACGTTAGCGCCCAGGAGACCTTGACACATTGTAGCCCTCAGGCTATATTGGGTAATTTTGAAGCAAAAAATTCTACTTTAAAAATTGCAAAAAAACAAAAACAAAACAAAAACAAAAAAAACATCCCACATTGTTTTGATTCCTTGGAGGTCCAGGTCACCAACATGCTTTCTACACTCCTAGAGGAATGATTTCTGGGAAGGATTGTTCTCTTAGGGTTTGCATTTTGTCCACCCCAATTTCATTAAAAAATAGTTTGAATTGCAAAAAATGTTAAGTTCACTTTTCAGTCACTTAAGTGGGAACAAGATAAACATAATAATAATAATAATAATAATAATAATAATAATAATAATAATAATAATAGCAGCAACAACAACAACGATACTTGGGGGGGGGGGAATACTTGCATCAGGCGTGAAGAGATATACTAATCCATCAACAGCTCCAGGAAGAGTCAATCCATAAATAAGAAATACAGTTAGGATCATGTAAGGAAATGTGGTTGTAATATATATTGCCTAAAAAGAGAGAAAAAGTAGAAAAAACAGTCAGCTACAAGGACGGAAAGAGGAGGGAACTAGTGAAGTCACTGTTAGTGACTAATAGTAAAATCCACATCATAGCGAATCTTGCTCCACATCCCACATCACACGAACTGCCTCCCGTGTTCTCACTGACAGGAATGGGGCTAGTGTGGAAGTAAGCCGGATGGCTATGCTTTCTGCTTTGGGATGGAGGGAACGCTAACGTGGATTATGCAGGGCATGGCGTGATAGTTTTCCCTCTGCCCACTGGATGTGAAACACTGCCTGGTGACCCCCCCCCCCCACTATTGCCTCCTTTTGGGACCTCAATGTGATAAGATCCTTAGTTGTCATGGTTGCAATGATCATGTTTATCTATATTCTGCTTTTTCTCTCTACAAAAGAGAGTTACAATTAACAATGGCCCTCCATCTACCTTCACATCCTGGGGGCACCATTAATAAAGTGTTTTTCAGGTGCTGGAGATTTGATCATTTCTGGTCATGGAATGCTTTGAGAACAAGCACATGGAGAAACATGGTCCTTCCAAATGCTGCCAGGTTGTGTGGATGGGTTTTTGGGGTTACATTCAGTTGCTCATGACTGAAACCATGAATGTCCAGCAGTTAGCCTATCATAGGTCCAGCTTACCTTAATGCCAACCTTACCCCAACATTTATTTATTTCCTAAATGTAGAGTCCAGTCCTTCTGTTAAAGCTACTACTCAAGCAGAGTACATTCAAAGCATTTAAATAGATTCAGCACAATTAAAGACACACACGCACACACACACACACACATATATATATATACACTAGTAGCTGTACCTGCCACGCGTTGCTGTGGCCAACCTTCCCTCTCTTTCTCTCTTCCTTCCCCCTCTCTTCCTTCCTTCCTTTTTCCTTCTCTTCTTCCTTCCTTCTTTATCTCTTTCCTTCCTTCCCCCTTTTTCTTTCTCTTCTGCTGTCTCTCTTTTCTTCCTTCTCTCTTTCCTTCCCTCCCTCTTTCTCTACATCTTCCCCTTCCTTCGCTCCCTCTTTCCTTCCTTCTTTCCCTTTTTTCTTTCCTTCTCTCCTTCCTTCCTTCTCTAACTTTCCTTCCTTCCCCCTTTTTTCTTTCCCTACCTCTTTCCTTCCTTCCTTCTCTCTTTGCTTCCATACTTCTTTCCCCCTTTCCTTCTTTCTTTCTTTCCCTCCCTCCCTCTTTCTTTCCTTTCTTTCTTTCCTTTTTTTCTCCCCTTCCCTCCCTCTTTCTTCCCTTTTTTCTGTATTGTCATTTAGCTTTTTATCATTTAGCTTTGGGGGGCATTTTAAGTCCCGTCTGCTGTGTTTTTCAGTGTTTTTTTAATGAGTGAAGGACATACATTGGGTTGATAGGTGTCTTGTGTCCAAATTTGGTGTCAATTCGTCTAGTGGTTTTTGAGTTTTGTCAATCCCACAAACGAACATTATATTTTCATGTATATAGATATATATATATTTATATTTTTAAAAGACCAAGAACTAAGAAAACAACCACCTTTCCAGTTGATTCAATGCCCCGAATGGTACAGATATAGACAACCACCCAACAAGCAAGCAAGCACAAAAACATCCACCACACCAACGAGCTGCCCTGCGTAATATCGGCGCTGATGTTCAAAGTGCGCCTATACCAAAAAAAATTGGTAGGTGTGCTTTTACGACATTCTTCCATGAGTTCTGAAATAAGAAGCACATAAATCATTATTGGATGAGATACCCACACACCTGGTTAGCACCATCTGATAAACGACTGAACAACACTAACTATTTACTTAATTCCAAGAAAAAGTCCCCTATGTGGGAAACCTTTTTCTGCTCAGCATCCAGTGCACTTAGAATATTGTACCAGAGCCAGGGAGATCCAGGTTCTAATTCCTGCACAATCCTGACTGGGCAATGGTGGGCCACTCACTTCCATTCAACCTGATATTAGTCTTGTGCAATTTGGGTAAACCTTTACCTGTTTCATGTTTTGGCTTTCGGTGGGGGCCCCGATCCATTTTTTAGGAGCCTCCTGAAATCTGGAGGGCAGGTATCTGTTTTTGCTCTGTAGTGCCAGAGGACCAATTTTCTATCCATTATGGAGGACGGCTTCCCAGGCTCCCTTTCCATCATTTTAGGCATTTGAGCTGTTTCTACTCTAGAGAGGTGTTCAGCTGCAGGCAGGCCTGCACTTTAAGGAGGCTTCTTACCTGTTTCTATTCTAGAGGAGAAGAGCTTGGCTTCAGCACTCTTTCCAAGGCATTTAAAGAAGACAAGTTCTTAAAGCTTTTTCTTACTCTAGAGGAGAGGCGCTTGGCTGCAACACTCTTTCAAAGCATATAAAGGAGGCAAGTTCTTAAAGATCAGCTTCGTTGCAGGCAAGAATCGCGCAGACCCTTGGATAGTTTGCTGAACTCAAGGGTTTTCTGTATTGGAGACCTAACAGCACATCCGTTTCGGTGGGATTGTTTTGAACCCCCTTAATCAGCAGAGTAAGGGGGTATTCTGTGAATATCGAAGAGCAACTTGGTTCCCAAGATGGAGCAATTTGATTTTTAAGGGGAGCAATTTGTTAAAATTATATACATATAATATTTATAATATTATAATGTAAAGCAATATAATACTGCCAATAAGCTATTATAACTATATATTTATATTACATGTAATATTACTAATAACGTTACAATATAATGGTATAGTACAATATAGTAATATTTAATCAATATAGTAATATTTAATAGAGTCTAGAGGAGAGGTGCTAGGCTGCAGCACTCTTTCCAAGCCATTTAAAAGGATGCAAGTTTTAAAAGCTGTTTGTTACTCTAGAGGAGAGGCACCAGGCTGCAGCACTCTTTCCAGGGCATTTAAAGGAGACAAGTTCTTAAAGCTGTTTCTTACTCTAGAGGAGAGGCACCAGGCTGCAGCACTCTTTCCAGGACATTTAAAGGAGACAAGTTCTTAAAGCTGTTTCTTACTTTAGAGGAGAGGTGCTAGGCTGCAGCACACTTTCCAAGGCATTTAAAGGAGGCAAGTTCTTAAAGCTATTTCTTACTCTAGAGGAGAGATGCTAGGTTGCAACACTCTAAGGCATTTAAAGGAGGCAAGTTCTTAAAGTTGTTTCTTACTCTAGAGGAGGGGTGCTTAGCTGCAGCACTCTTTCCAAGACATTTAAAGAAGGCAAGTTCTTAAAGCTGCTTCTTACTCTAGAGGAGAGGCACTCGGCTGCAGCACTCTTTCCAAGTTCTTAAAGCTTTTTCTTTGGAGGAGAGGCGCTGGGCTTCAGCACTCTTTCCAAGGCATTTAAAGGAGGCAAGTTCTTAAAGCTCCTTCTTACTCTGAGTTGGCGAATGCTGAGTTGGACTCTGAGTTGGCAAACGCTGAGCTTGAGATTGGTTTATTGACTGTGTTATATATTGATTGTTTTAACGGTCTTAATTGTTTTAATTGCTGTTTTACATATTTATTTGTATTATTGTGTAGGCATCAAATTGTGCCTTTTTGTAAGCCGACCTGAGTCCCCCTCGGGGGTTGAGAAGGGCGGGGTAGAAGTACCCGAAATAAATAAATAAATAAATAAATAAATAAATACTCTAGAGGAGAGACGCTTGGCTGCAGGCTTTAGGGAGACTTCTTGTTCATAAAGCTGTCTACTCTATAGGAGAGGTGCTGCAGGCAGGTGCGTGCACGCTTTCTCAACCAGGCCTGCATCATGCCAGCAGCCACACACTCTTTCCATAGCATTTTAAGTCTTCCCACTTCCAGGTAAGGAAGAGCGATGACCTCTTGGAAGAGGAGAGGTAACTGGTAGTAGTTTTCAGGGAATGAGGGATTTCTTTTTGTTTGCTGGGGGATTAATAAAAAAGATTAAACTGTGAAGCTGATAAGACAATTATGCTGGGGAAAGTGGAAGGTAAAAGGAAGAGGGGCTGACCAAGGCCAAGATGGATGGATGGCATCCTTGAAGTGACTGGACTGACCTTGAGGGAGCTGGGGGTGGTGACGGCCGACAGGGAGCTCTGGCGTGGGCTGGTCCATGAGGTCACGAAGAGTCGGAGACAACTGAACGAATGAACAACAAGCTGATAAGCGGAGGAGGAGCTGAGATCGGCTCCCACTTGCTTTCCCGTCGGGCAGGTTTTCGTACCACGAGAGCCTTTACCGTTAGGGGCTCCCGAAGTACCGAAGGTACCAAAGGAAACGGAGGAAATGAAAGAAACAAATTTTCCACACAAGTCTACCTGATGTAGCTGAAAGGGTTACTGGTATGAGAATAAAATAGCAAGGAGTAGAGCCATCCATGCTGTCTTGTCCTCATTGGAGGAAGATGAAAAGGGGTGCATCTCCACTGTAGAATAAATTATTATTATTATTAATTATTAAACTTTATTTGTACCCCGCTAGCATCTCCCGAAGGACTCGATGCGGCTTACAAAGGCCAAGGCCTCAACACAACAACAGCAAACAATAACAATACAATACAAAGCAAATTAAAAACATAAGCAATAACAAAACATTACACCATTACGTAATAAAAACCAGGGCCGGGCCAGTGATGGGTACAGGTTAAAAAAGTGCTGGGTGTGACAGGTGGTATGTTGGAATTCTGTGCAAGTGCAATGTGCACTAATAAAGTGCTTCTGGGACATAGTGCTGGGGGTTATCCTATTCTGGAAAGGCACATCGGAATAGCCAGGTCTTCAAGTTCTTCCTAAAGACTGCCAACGTGGGTGCTAGTCTAATATCTTTGGGGAGGGTGTTCCAAAGTCGGGGTAAATGAAGTTTGATGCACCACTTAAACTTCCATGTCTCAATGCTATGGAATCCTGGGAGTCACAGCTGTGTGAGAATTGGCACTCTTTGGCAGTGAAAGGCTAAGACCTTGTAAAAGGTGGGAGCAAGGGAGAAATGGCGAGACTCCAGGAGGATTGGCTTGTCTAAAACTCCTTCAAACATTTAAAATGCCTAAGACACGAATAACTGAAAGCAGTAATAAGCATCTTGGAATTCACCTGCAGTATCTTGTGGACAGAAACTCCATGGTAAGGGATTTCTGAAAGAGTTTATAAAATACCACAGCACCCAGGCCATAATCATATTATAGTAGACGCTCACTAGGAATGACACCACCACAGAGCCATAACCTGTGGAATACATAAGTAGACACAACATAGGCATCAACAAGTGACAGCAATGAATCAGAGCTTGCAATTTAACATCAACATTATTACAGGAGTTAGTTGCATCCAATGAAAAGATCCAATGATGATCAAGCTGCATTCGAATTGCAACAAGTTTCTGGTTACTATAGTGACATGAACCAAACACCACTGTTAATGAACTGCAAGTTGAAGTCTAAAATACTGTGAAAGCAGCTATAAATATACTTGCAATTTTTGTCAGTCCCTCGGGTTGAGGATTTATTATTGTTGAGTGAAGACAGAAAAAAATGAGATGGGTTTCAGTAAGTTTTTCGGGCTGTATGGCCATGTTCCAGAAGCAGTCTCTCCTGACATTTTGCCTGTATCTATGGTAGGTAGCCTTTGAGGATGCCTGCCATAGATGCAGGCGAAATGTCAGGAGAGAATGCTTCTGGAACATGGCCATATAGCCCGAAAAACTGACCGCAACCCAGTGATTCCGGCCATGAAAGCCTTCGTCAATACAGAGGTAGTGTCCAAAGTCATTACACAAGAGGATTTTGTATGTGTGTGTGTGTGTGGGGGGGGGGGATCATATCTAGTGACTGTGGACTTTATTACGCAGAAAACTCATTTTAAAGTAGGCAACCCATTGTTTAACCATGTTTGAAGAAGACCGGATTACTACTCACCCCATCTCACATATTTCTCTCTTTTGTGTATCTCATTAAATAATGAGCTTATGTCCTATCACACAGCTGAGGGATGACTCCTCCCAATTCATGTCATGTTCTCTGATATCATTCAGTCTCTCTTATTATTATTATTATTATTATTATTATTATTATTTTATCTTGTGAAACCAAGCAGCTATATGAGCTCAGAAGTCTGCAGTTCTTTTGTCCCAACAGAAAAATGTAAAAATATACGTTTTTTCATATAATTTAATTTATCTAAGAAATTATCTGATAACAGCTTAGAGAATGTTTAAACTCATTATGCTTTTGCTATCTCATTGCCTCATTGTCCTGCTTAAGTGTTTTCATCTTCTCAATCAAAACTTTATTACAGTCCAAAGACCCAAAAAGCTCAGCTGTAAAAGATACACAAAGTGCAGACAGATTAATAAACTGATAAAACTGGTTAAAATGCAGGATGGTGCGCTATACAAGGAATATATGTACAAGAGTGAGAACAATGCAAATAAATACAGAGCAAGCTTCAGCCTAATACAGGAACTTGTCTTATCCTGACCACTTCGGAGAGAAACTCGGCAATGGCGAAAGTCATGTGCATATTGTCTTGACAAAAAAATCAACAATGTATACAAGGAAATATTCCTCCTGTCTCAAGTCAAAGGAGAGTTTGGGCCACTAATAGCTTGATTTTTCCTCGTGCTGCAATTTTGGATACTCCTGTTTCAGTTCCAAACTGATAAGTGCCCAGCTACCCTATTTCCGGATCCGCCGGTGGCACAGTGGGTTAAACCACTGAGCTGCTGAACTTGTTGATCTAAAGGTCTCAGGTTCAAATCCGGGGAGTGGTGTGAAATCCCACAGTTAGCCGCAGCTTCTGCCAACCTAGCAATTCAAAAACATGCAAATGTGAGTAGATCAGTATTGTGGCATCTAATTGTTGCCAGTGTTAGCCGCTCTGAGTCCCCCCCTTGGGGATTGAGAAGGGCAGGGTAGAAATGTCATAAATAAGTAAATAAATAAATACCGCTCCAGCAGGAAGGTAACAGCATTCCATGCAGTCATGCCGGCCACATGACCTTGGAGGTGTCTACAGACAACGCTGGCTCTTCGGCTTAGAAATGGAGATGAGCACTACACCCCAGAGTCGGACACGACTGGACTTAATGCCAGGGAAAACCTTTACCTACCCCGTTTCTCCAAAAATAAGGCATCCCCTGAAAATAAGACCTAGTAGAGGTTTTGCTGAATTGCTAAATATAAGTCTTCCCCCAAAAATAAGACCTAGTTGTTGCAACTCAGAGTAAGCTTCATCTTGCTTCCAAACACCACCACACAAGAGCTGTAGTTTTATAGCTTATTGAGGAAAAAAATCCAAGTCAAAATAAAGAATAAGCATTGCAAAGTTCCAAATAATAATGTTAAATGCAGAATATAGTTCCAAAGACCTTCAGGTAAAAACAGGAGACACAATCCTATTGGCAAAGTTCAAACCAGAGTCCCAGGTACAAGCAATGAAACAATTGTCCAATGAATCACAATGCAAGAAATCCCAAGCGTACTGCTTTCCAGGCTAAGGTTATTCCATGAAGCTTCCAGGCTAGTAAGCTACGTTGAACTGACGCTTCCTCAGAGTTTGCAAAAGGCCTAAATACCTTTCTAACATGAAAACATTAGGCTCTCATCATCATAAAAGCATTGCGACGACCTTTCACCGAGCTGGCTTCTTGTCTGCTGGCCAGACGAGAACTCTGCCTGACCCGGAGATCAAGGCGAGCTTGCCGGGTCAAGTCACTATCTAAACTTCTGGTATCAGCATGGGAAGGCACCTGCTCACTATCTCCTTCGTTAAAATTCCTTTCTGGTGGAAACGGCTGTGTTGACACTGCACTGTGGGAGCCTCAAAAACAGGCTCAGAGATCTGAAGCACAGACAAAGAGCCAGGAAACTGAATCCCAGCAGGAATCTGAATCCCATCATCCCTATCATCAGAAAATAGCTCAGCCACAACACTAGTGAAGTTTTTGTTTGGAAGCATGTCTGCTGAACAGAACACCAGAGCATGCAGCTGTGATTCTTTCAGCCCACCGCCATTGTCCCCTATCTTCACTGTCCATTGTAGAGCAGCTGCATGCATGACACGAAGACTATCACCTACCGCCAACCCTGATGTTCCCTTCCATGGTCATCACTTGTAAATGTGCAGGCAAGGCATCAAGAGGCCTGTCACCTGCCGCCATACTGTACGCTGTCCCTACTGTGCTGTATGAGTGTTCTGTGGTGAGCTCCCCCGGATGGCCAGAAGCCACCATACTGTACGCTCTGTCCCTACTGTGTGAGTCTGTTGCGATGGTGGCCAGAAGCTGCAATACCATCCCTGCTGTACAAGTGGTCCAGGAACTGCTGTGGGAGATCATTACAGTCTCCAGACAGTGTGTAGGAACCAGTTACTTTAACGCCGCTATTTTTTTGTGGCCCTGTGTGTAAGTCAGGCAGCCAGTGTGTCACTTTGATTCTTTAGGGGGCGTTTGCTTTTCTGCTGAAGGGTCTAAAGCAGGGGTCCTCAAACTTTTTAAACAGAGGGCCAGGTCAAAGTCCCTCAAACTGTTGGAGGACCGGATTATAATTTGAAAACAACATGAATGAATTCCTATGCACACTGCACATATCTTATTTGTAGTGCAAAAAAAAACCACACCTAAAAACAATACAACAATTAAAATAAAGAACAATTTTAACAAATATAAATTTATTAATATTTCAGTGGGAAGTGTGGGCTTGATTTTGGCTGATGAGATAGGATTGTTGTTGTTGTTGTGTACTTTCAAGTCGTTTCAGATTTAGGTTGGCTCTGAGTGAGGGCCGGGTAAATGAACTTGGAGGGCTGTATCCAGCCTTCAGGCCTTAGTTTTAGGACCCATGGTCTAAAGCTTATGATGACACCTACTGCACAGTATATAATAAATGTTCAATTTTTTTTGTTCAACAATAAATGTGAATTCTTCTTCATGGAAAAATAAGACAGCCCCTGAAAATAAGACCTAGTGCATCTTTGGGAGCAAAACTTAATATAAGACACTGTCTTATTTTCGGGGAAACAGGATACTTGATTTTTCCATTATACAAACTTTGACTTGTCCCTGATATCATCACAGACTCGCATTTCCAGGATTGAACAATACTTAGCATTATTTCATAGTGACAGCTAGAGAAACTTACCAAGTCCACTCAGATAAGGGGAGATGTGTTTCCAGACACCAGTGGTACCTTTTCTTAAGCGCTGTCCTAGGGCCAACTCCATGTGAAATAATGGAATTCCTTCAAACACAAGGGCGATGACATATGGAATCAAGAAGGCCCCTGAAAATATAACAGCCAAGTACAGATCACTCAGAGGTTGACCATTCTCAAATTGTTCATTCTTCTCATGACAGTAGTGTCCGATAGACAATGGTACCTAGAATCATAATTGGAAGAGACCAGAAGAGCCACTCAGTCTAACCACCTGCCATGTAGAAATACACAAAGTACCCCCAACAAATGGTCATACAGCCACTTTAATCAATGGGAAGATCAACAACTAAATGTGAGTCAGTCATGTGATGTGGCAGCCAAAAAGGCTAAAGAGAGAACAGACTGTGTAAATAGAAATGTAGTATCCCTCTCATGAGAAATAATGGCACAATTTCATCCAGTTTTGGTTAGGACTCACCTGATGCACTGTTCACAGTTCTGGGCACCATCGTTTAGGAAGATCAGCAATTAACTTGAATATTTACAAAGGAAAGTGACAAATTGTTGGGGTTCAGCCTGAGTTTGAACTTGAACCTGATTCTCTGTTTGTTCCTCCTGATGCTAATGAAAGTATATTTACTGATGCTAGTGGAAATGTACCTTTGATGCCAATGCTCCTGAAATTAGTGAGGAAGAAACTGCTGTAGGTTTGGAAAATGCCAATGTTCCTGAAATTAGTGAGGAAGGAACTTCTGTAGATTTGGAAAATGAAAGTACCACTGTTCATGAGAATGTTTCAGAGGGAGACCTTGAACTTACCCTCCCTTCTGCACCTGCTAACTGTAATGACAACAGAAGGGGCCAAATTTGGGAAGACAGAAGTAAATCACTCAGTTTGCGTCGATCCTCCCGAATTCAAGAATTAAAAACATTGGCTTCAAAACAGAAGGGCGGTTCACGGAACCAATTATTGAGTTTTAATTGCAATACGCCGAGCTGATTGTCTCAGTTCAGGCATCGTTTCAGAATTGATGAAGACCTTGGCAGTTCTCCCGGTTCCCTGGCCATAGTTTGGAAGATTTCTAGGATATCAAGTACGGTTAGTGGATTGCTAACAGATTCCAGTATTTTCCCAGTGAGGCTTTTGGTTTTGCTTTGTCCATTTAAATTCATGTTTGCTTATTTTGCTGTGGCTTTTGACTTGCATTTTTCCTTTATTTTGTAACCATTTTTCTTCAATAAAAAAGGATTGTTTTTCACAGCCAAGTGTGGTGGATAGTTATCTTAGGGCCTCGTTCCCTGCTCTGGATTGCAACACAAATACAGTTTGGAAATACTTAACTTAAATTGGACAACATCAACTTAGCATTAAAATCAAATAAACAACAACTAGTCAAACTATAATATTTCTTTTTTATTAGATACATTTTTTCTTTAATTATACATAAAACCAGAGTAAGGGCATAGGGTGATATTGGGCCGAATATATACATAAAACATAGGGTGATATTGGGCCGAATATATACATAAAATTTTTATACGGGGGGGGGGGGGCAATAGTAAAAAAAAACATGTAGAGGGTGCAGGAAGGGGGGGAGGGTAGGGGAATTCACATCGACTTCCAATATTCTTCACATATCCACTGCCAGTCTGTTCCATTTTGCCTTTAATAAATCTTCCCTTTCCACTTATATCGTGATCTTGATGTTTCCTTTCTTCTCATTTCTTTCTCTTCTATACTGCTTTCATGTGTCATACTCTTCCTTTCTTTTTATTGGTTATTTTTTGTCTGTTTTCTTCGGTGAAGTAATCGTCCACCATTTTCCAGTTTGTCTTTACGATCGGTCTTCCATAAGATTCTTTTAAACCAAACGTTAATTTATCCGCATCTTTGATTTCTTGAATTTTATTTAGCCATTCTTCTTTTGTTACGAGTTCACTTTGTTTCCATTTTTTTGCTATTACCATTCTAGCGGCAGTAGAGAGGTATGTAAATAAAATGTCCTTGTTTCGGTCCCTTTCAACTTCTTCATCTGTTAGTCCCAATAGAAAGTGTTCCGGTTTCAGCTGGATCTTTACTTTCAATATCTTCTTGCATGTCTCTTGTACCATCTTCCCAAAGGTCTTCACTTTGGGGCATGTCCACCAGGTGTGAAAGAATGTTCCGACCTGCATATCGCATTTCCAGCATTTGTTCTTGGTATTTCTGTACATTACGCTTAGTTTTTGATGGGTCATGTACCATCTAAAGAACATCTTAACCAAATTCTCCTTTAAATCTGTTGAGTAGGTGTATTTGATCTTTTTAGTCCATAGCTTCTCCCATTCATTCAGTTTTATCGCTCTTCCAATATTTGATGCCCATTTGATCATGCATTCTTTAACTAGCTCTGTCTCCGTCATCCAGTCCAGCAGCTTGTTATAAATCTTGGTTATATTTTTTTTCTTTCAATATGATTCTGTCTTGAAAGTCGTCTTTTTCCATGAAACTTATTTCTCTATCTTTCTTGAAGTATTCCTTAAGTTGTATGAACTGGAACCATGAGACTGTGTTAAATTTTTGGGCAATTTCTTCCCTTGTTTTCAGTTGTCTTTATAGGTGGGCCACTTTTCCCATCCTAATAGTCTCCTTTGTCCCGCCTCGAGAGGGAAAATCCACAAAGGAGTCTTTGGGTAAAGTTTAGCCCATATTTTCATTAGTGCAGATCTGACGGAGTGGTTGTTAAAGTTTTTTTCCTTTTTAATTTGGTTGTACCAGAGATACGCGTGCCAACCAATTCTCAGGTCAAAGCCCTCTAGTTCTAGTATTCTTTCCTTTCTTAATAAGATCCAATCTTTTACCCAGCTTAGACCGCACACTTCATAATAAAGTTTAAGATCTGGTAGGCCTAACCCTCCTCTGTCCTTCTTGTCTGTCAGGTATCTAAACTTTATTCTCGGTTTTTTCCCTTTCCAGATAAATTTTAATATTTCTTTGTTCCAGTCGTTAAATAATCTGTTGTTTCTGATTATCGGAACATTCTGGAAAAAGTATAGACGCTTTGGCAAAATGTTCATTTTAATAGTGGCAATTCTTCCCAATAACGATAAACTATAATATTTCTTAGTATCATGATTTAGACAAGGGGTTCTCAAGCTTTTTCAGCCACTGAGCCTATCTGAAGCAAAAGTTTCTTATGGAAGAAATGTTTATATTATATTATATTACACTATATTCATTTTATCTATATTAGGCATAGTCAAACTTTTGAAAAACAATTTTAACCAACTTAAATTTAATAGTATCTCAGTGGAAGACCTCGGGGGCCAACCAGTCCAACCCTGTTCTACCATGCAGGAAAAGCACCCCCAACAGATGACCATCCAGCCTTTGTAATAATAATAATCTATATAAATAAAAATGTAATGTTGGTTTGTTGTATTCACAGAACCCGAAATCCACTGGGGAAATTGACACCAAATTTGGACACAAGACACCTAACAACCCAATGTATGTCCTTCACTCAAAAAAATTGATTTTGTCATTTGGGAGTTGTAGTTGCTGGGATTTATAGTTCACCTACAATCAAAGAGCATTCTGAACCCCACCAACGATGGAATTGAACCAAACTTGGCACACAGTTCTCCCATGAACAACAGAAAATACTGGAAGGGTTTGGTGGGCAGTGTCCTTTGGTTTTGGAGTTGTAGTTCACCTACATCCAGAGATCACTGTGGACTCAAACAATGATGGATCTGGACCAAACTCTACAAGAATACTCAATATTCCCAAATGTGAACACTGGTGGAGTTTGGAAAATAGAATCTTGACATTTGGGAGTTGTAGTTCCTGGCGTTTATAGTTCGCCTACAATCACAGAGCATTCTGAACCCCACCAACGATAGAATTGGGCCAAACCTCCCACACAAAACCCCCATGTGGGCCACAGCAATGTGTGGCAGGGGACCGCTAGTAGTAGTAGTAGTAATAATAATAATAATAATAATAATAATAGCAGAAAACCCAGGGGTCATGCAGTTCAACCTCCTTACGCCATATAGGAACAACAAAATCAAAGCATCCCTTGAGTGGTGGGAAGGAAATAGGCTTTGGAAACAAGGAAGGTTAGGGAAAAGGCTTTTGGCAGCAATCGAAAGGGGGGGGGAGGCTTTTGGCAGTGAAGGAGGTAGGGGGGGGCAGGAAAGAGGATGGAAAGCTTAGAGGGGGAGGAGATTGGAGAAGGAGGAGGGAAGAGGAGGAGAGAAGCACAGAGCCCCTCAGTCTGCTTCGTGGAGCCCCAAAGGCTCTGCAGAGCACACTGAGAAACACTGATTTAGACTGTGACTATATAATTTAATCTGAATTGTTTTATCAGTTTTGTAATTTTATACAACAAAACTTAATTATAAAACATTTAGCATGGTATTCAGCAACATTTGGATTTAGGATTAAACTAGACTTTGCTAGTTTATAAGTACAATGTTCGCTTGCTACTTCGCTGTTCGCTTTTAGTGGACTCGCTGTTTCGCAGGTTTTTGAAAATATTAATAAAAAATAAAAATATTAAATATTTACATCCAATCTTCATTCAGCAGAACGTTTGGAAATCATGTACTAAGATCTCATAAAGTAGTCTAAAATTGTAAGAAAACCGCAACCAGGGATGAAGCCCTGCTTTTGATCACCTTCCGTTCTACCCAGTTTCTCTGATTGCAGAAAATTTACAATAATTTCCCACAATGAATAATGCATATTTGAGAATCAATTCTTGAAATCAATATTAAGAAACAATCAAGACCTGTTTATTATCCTTTTGCCTCTGATGATTCTTGGAAAAATTAAAATAAACAAATCCGTGTCTATTTAGTCAGAGAAAGTAAATAACTGGAATCACCCAGGCAATAAATCCAGGCAATAAAGACATGTCAATCAGTAACGATGGAGAATGATGAGAACGCCAAGAAGATCAAAATGTCAGGTTGTGTATGAGAGACGACTGCTAAATAGGGCATTTCAGGTGTGAGTTATTTAGTGACACTAAAAAGTTGGAATGCAATTCATAAAGTTTGGATGGTGCCCAGGGTTCACTGAAAAATTCAGGACACATTCCCACATTTTAACTACTGAGTGCCGCAGGGTTCCGTCCTGGGCCCGGTCCTGTTCAACATCTTTATTAATGACTTACATGAAGGGCTAGAAGGCATGATCATCAAGTTTGCAGATGACACCAAATTGGGAGGGAGAGCCAATACTCCAGAGGACAGGAGCAGAATTCAAAACGATCTTGACAGATTAGAGAGATGGGCCAAAACTAACAAAATGAAGTTCAACAGTGATAAATGCAAGATACTCCACTTTGGCAGGAAAAACGAAATGCAAAGATACAGAATGGGGGACGCCTGGCTCGAGAGCAGTACGTGTGAAAAAGATCTTGGAGTCCTCGTGGACAACAAGTTAAACATGAGCCAACAATGTGATGTGGCGGCAAAAAAAGCCAATGGGATTTTGGCCTGCATCAATAGGAGCATAGTGTCTAGATCTAGGGAAGTCATGCTACCCCTCTATTCCGCTTTGGTTAGACCACACCTGGAATATTGTATTCAATTCTGGGCACCACAATTCAAGAGAGATATTGACAAGCTGGAATGTGTCCAGAGGAGGGCGACTAAAACGATCAAGGGTCTGGAGAACAAGCCCTATGAGGAGCGGCTTAAGGAGCTGGGCATGTTTAGCCTGAAGAAGAGAAGGCTGAGAGGAGATATGATAGCCATGTATAAATATGTGAGAGGAAGCCACAGGGAGGAGGAAGGAGCAAGCTTGTTTTCTGCTTCCTTGGAGACTAGGACGTGGAACAATGGCTTCAAACTACAAGAGAGGAGATTCCATCTGAATATGAGGAAGAACTTCCTGACTGTGAGAGCCGTTCAGCAGTGGAACTCTCTGCCGGAGTGTGGTGGAGGCTCCTTCTTTGGAAGCTTTTAACAGAGGCTGGATGGCCATCTGTCAGGGGTGCTTTGAATGCTATTCCTGCTTCTTGGTAGGGGGTTGGACTGGATGGCCCATGAGATCTCTTCCAACTCTTTGATTCTATGATAGCGGGAAATACATATGTTTGCCTCTGTAGTCCAAACACTGAACACATGTGATCCTACCACTTCATCACACTTAACCCTCCCCCCACCAATTTTATGGGCAGTCACCATAAATTTACTGGGAGTCATGGCTGCTGTCAGACAACTTCTGCTCATTGCTCCTGTCCTGTCACAGAACTACAGAGCAATCGTAAAATTGAGCAGATCTGTAATCACGGGGAAAAATCATGAATTTAGCCAAAATAGCATGAAGGACTTACTATTTTGGCTCTTAACAACATGTGATGGGGTCCATGACAGTATCCTTTCTATTTTGTAGCTTGCCATGGTGAAAAGGACCGTTCTGATGGATGGTCCTCAGCAGCAAGCAGTCATCCCTCTTTCCCGACGTGTATAATAACTCCTTCCCTTCACAAATTTCTTGTTTAAAAATTATTAATAAGAGGTATAGCTTAATAGAGGCATTGAAGAATAGAGAATGGGCAGTTTTCCTTTGCTGATTTGTTCCACTTATAATATTGTACTTAGCAGAGAGATATCATCTCTGTTTATAGAAATGGATGATTACTCCTTCCTATTATTATTATTATTATTATTATTTATTACCGTATATTCCGGCATATAAGACGACTGGGCGTATAAGACGACCCCCAACTTTTCCAGTTAAAATATAGAGTTAAGACGACTCCCATGCATGACTACACCCGCGTATAAGACGACCCCTGACTTTTGAGAAGATTTTCTTGGGTTAAAAAGTAGTCTTATACGCCAGAATATACTGTAAATAGTTTCCCCAACAGAATCAAAACAACCGGCTTACAAAGGCCAAGGCCACAATAAAACAACAATATAACAATTACATATAAACCAAAAGCAAATCAAAAACATTAAAGCAATAACAGTAAACAGTAAAAACAGCACACCGTGACACAATAAAACTAGGCCGGGCAAATGTACTGGGTACAGATTAAAAAGTGCTGAGTATGCTGAGTGATATAAGGATTTTGGATAAGTGCAATGTGTGGACAATCTTAATCTCTAATAAAGTGCTTTTGGGATGTGTTGCTGGGGTTTCCTATTCTGGAAAGGCACACCGGAATAGCCAGGTCTTCAAGCTCTTCCTAAAGACTGCCAACGTAGGGGCTTGTCTGATGTCCTTGGGGAGGGAGTTCCAGAGTCGGGGGGCTACCACAGAGAAGGCCCTGTCCCTCGTCCCCACCAGCCGCGCTTGCGACGCAGGTGGGATCGTGAGCAGGGTCTCTCCAGATGAACGAAGAGAGCGTGCGGGTTCATAGACGGAGATGCGGTCTATGGAAAGAAATGGTTTAAAACAGCATCCCTGTCTCAGGAGTCCAATGAGTTTAGATGCAGAATAATAATAATAATACATAATACATAATGAAAAGAAGGCTCTCCATGGACAGTTTCTGGCAAAAATTGAGAACCAAACTGACAAAGATAAAACATGGCTGTGGCTCACAAATGGAACTTTGAAAAAGGAGACCGAGGGCCTGATTCTGGCAGCCCAAGAACAAGCCATTAGAACCAATGCCATCAAAGCCAGAATTGAAAAGTCGACAACAGATCCCAAATGTAGACTCTGCAAGGAAGCAGATGAAACAATAGATCACATCCTCAGCTGCTGCAAGAGGATTGCGCAGACAGACTACAAGCAGAGGCATAACGCCGTTGCTCAGATGATTCATTGGAACTTGCACCACAAATATCATCTGTCTGCGACAAAGAACTGGTGGGATCACAAGCTGGAAAAAGTTACAGAGAATGAACACGTCAAATGCCTCTGGGACAGAGTTTTGGAGCGTAATAATCCTGACCTCACAATCGTGTTAAAAAACAAAGTATGGATCGCCGATGTCGCAATCCCAGGTGACAGCAGGATTTAGCTTTTTGGGGCTTTTTCATCATTTAGCTTTTTGGGGCTTTTTAAGTCCCTTCTGCTGTGTTTTTCAGTGTTTTTATGAGTGAAGGACATACATTGAGTTGTTAGGTGTCTTGTGTCCAAATTTGGTGTCAATTTATCCAGTGGTTTTTGAGTTCTGTTAATCCCACAAACGAACATTACATTTATATTTATATCCCACCAGGGGCCTCTCTCTCTATGTGTGTGTGTGTGTGTGTGTGTGTGTGTGTGTGTATCCGGCAAAGAAATACACTATGCTTATTTAATACTGATATTGTACTATGCTAATAATACAATACACTGTATGTATATATATCTTGTAAGCCCCTTTGGGGTGAGAAGGGCAACATATAAATGTTGTAAATAAACAAATAAATAAATATTGTTGATAATAGCCCATATACTCCTAGTCCACTGTTGGTGTCCTCATGTTCCAAAAGAAAAGCAATTATTCTAAAGTTATGTGTTGTCTTCATAAAAACAGATCATCCAACATGAGTGACATATTTTTAAAACATCTGAGACTTGAACTGACATATCTCAATTCATCCTTCCAGATGGGAGTTGAATATACATAATTACATTCACAGTGGATCAGAAGATTTCAAAGTCCAACTCACTGAAGTCAATCATATTTTAATCTATTAACCTAGTGATTGAGTTGGCCTTTATTTTGGAAAGAAGACTTGAATGGGAAGGATAGGGAAGGATGAGCTGCAATCTCTCAGTTCAAATCCCAAATATTTTTTAAAATATGTAACCAGCAAAATGGGGGGGGGGGGGGCAATGTATAAGAGAACAATTGTGTATCTTTCCAAACATTCATGATCCAATTTCCTTTTCACCCAAATGAGCGACAACAAAACCAAATATAGTGAATTGGTGGGTTGTTGTAGGTTTTTCCGGGTTATATGGCCATGTTCTAGAGGCATTTTCTCCTCTAGAACATGGCCATATAACCCGGAAAAACCTACAACAACCCAGTGATTCCGGCCACGAAAGCCTTCGACAATACATAGTGAATTGGGTTTTTTTTCTTCTCTTACCTCCTCCATAGGTTTGGCACAGATATGGAAACCGCCAGACATTCCCAAAACCAACAGCAAATCCAATGCAACTTAAAAGATATTGGATTTTATTATCCCATTTTGGTCTGGATGCATCATCGGCAATGACCCTGCTATCATCAGCAGGTGGTTCTGGCTCCATCTTTACTGCTTATATTCCAGCAGTTTCTTTGATATAAGCAGCATCTTGAGCATTGACTCCTTCAATCATTTGTCAAACCCAAGACAAACACCAGCTTGGAAACCTTGAACAATGAATGCGGAATTTTCCAGCTCTGACATCATACAAAAGATTGTATGCACATACAACTGCCTAGCAACTTACATACAACTGACTAGCAACTTAAAGACATACACTGAGTGTTAATTGCTGATAGGTGTCTCGACCTTGTACCAATTTTTAATATACCTCTGCTTTCTCTTGTACCATACAATTTCCCCCAAACGGTTGAGTAGCTATGCAACCCTATTTCAAAATCTAATAATTACACCAGGTAGTTATGGCAGTCTTTATTAAGCATATCTACTATTTTGCACCTGTGACTTTCTGCTGTCGCACGCTGGGCCTGTGCATCAGACTGTAGACAGAACATAAATTCTGTGTGCCCAACGGGACGCTGGGACTGCCTCAGATTAAAGGCCTTTGGATTTCCTTAAAACAGAGTCTTTAGATTGCTCAAAGGTTCAGCAAAGTTCTTTATTAATGAAATCAAACAGGAACTTCAAGGTTTTCTTGATAAAAGATTAGTTCTCTCCCACAGGGGACAGGTACTATCTTCATAACTGTATTTTAACTAATAGGGAAATCCTTAACTTCTAATCTGGGCAGTCTGTCTTTGCCTCTGTTGGTGTGGAGCCCCTGCACCCGGTACCAACTGCTTCTGGCTTCCGCGAGTGACCCTTACCAAGCAGAGCTTTGTAGACCTCCAAGGAAAAAAGGAGTTCAGATTTCAGAGATGCCTGTCTGAAGTGCTGTGAGACCAGATTCCCTCAGCAGAGGAGCTGTAAGGCTGTATATCTCCTGGCCAAGCTATGGGGCCTTTTCTCCCCGGCCAAGCTGTGGGGCTGTATATCTCCCTGGCCGAGCTGTAATACTGTATATCTCCCGGCCAAGCCGTAGAAGACGAAGCTTTCTACAGGAGCTCTTTGTTTTATGTCCTGCATGAAAGCTTCTCTGTGTGGACTGAACCCAAAATGGCTCCTATTCCCTCCAAAACCCAAAAAGGGGGTGGGACCAGGGAACCTAACGATAATTGACAGGTGGCTTGCCCTATGATTGCAGCCAAAAGAAGCCACCTATCTGCAGAGTCCCTGAAACTTAGGACTACAACAAACATTCAATGCAAAGCAAACAAAATTGGAGCTCCTGGTACAGCTGTACTTGCACAGACTTATTAACTTATTTGTTGAAATAGGTACCTTTTAGTAGAGATGCAAATAGGTACTTTCAAAAAAATCCATACAGTTATCTCTCCCAAAGCAATATATTCTGGCCTAACAACACAAGCAAAAGACTTTGAAACAGTTGAAATCCAACTTACTAATGCCTTGAAAGATCTCTCCAGCTACTTCAAAGCCTAACCCTGCTAAGACACAAGTGTGTGCTTTCCACCTACACAACAATGAAGCCAACAGAAAATTGAAAGTCACTTGGGAAGGTCAAGAGCTTGAACATTGTTTCCATCCTAAATATCTCGGTGTCACCTTTGATCGAACACTAGCATATAGGAAACACTGTTTGAACACCAAGTACAAAGTAACTGCACGCAATAACATCATGTGGAAACTTACTAGCAGGGCATGGGGTGCAGACTCAAAATTAGTAAGAACATCAGCCTTACCTTGTCTTACTCAAGTGCCGAGTATGCCTGCCCTGTTTGGCATAGATCTGCCCATGGAAAGCAGGTGAACATAGCATTGAATGAAACATGCAGAATAATCACAGGATGCCTTAAACCTACACCTGTTGATAAACTCTACAAGCTAGCTGGCATTGCCCTCCCGTTGTGCTGCTAAATGTGAGAGAAATACGGTTGAACACTGGAAGCCACCCACTACATGGCTACCAGCCTCCTTCCAGTAGACTCAAATCAAGGAAAAGCTTTATGAGAACTACCACTCCTTTTGGCGTCCCCCCAGAAACAGCAAGGGTATCCCTCTGGGCAGCGAAACCAGGAAACCCCAACTGGATGGCCCCCACGAGGGTCTTCCTCCAGGGGCAAACCAAGAATGGGCAACTTGGAAGTCCCTGAACAGACTCAGAAGTGGAGTGGGCAGATCAAAAGACAAACTGGCAAAATGGCACTACCTAAAAGAATCCCACACCTTGTGTGACTGTGGAGCAGAACAGACAACTCCGAATCTGTATGCTTGCCCACTATGCCGTGCCACATGTACAGAGGAAGAATTGTTGGAGGCTCCAGACAATGCCATTGCTGTTGCCTGTTTTTGGTCAAAAGATATTTAGCCACCTGACCTCCTTATATTTTTATCAGTTTTATACTAATTTATGCAATGCTTTTGCTATGAAATAAATAAATAAAATAACATTCTGAAGATGCAACACTTGCCCAAATTTGGCTCATTTTGGAAACCTTACTGAGGCATTACTGTCTCTTGTAGTATTTACATTAATTTACAGATCAGCCTGCGAGATGTGGACTGTCCGCAGACGTCACATGCAAATCTTTCCTGCCAAATCTCTTGGACAAGCGGACAAATGTCAGCATACTGGAAGAAGCAAAGACCACTAGCATTGAAGCGATGGTCCTCCGCCATCAACTCCGCTGGACCGGCCACGTTGTCCGAATGCCTGAACATCGTCTTCCAAAGCAGTTGCTCTACTGCGAACTCAAGAATGGAAAACAGAATGTTGGTGGGCAGGAAAAGAGATTTAAAGATGGGCTCAAAGCCAACCTTAAAAACTCTGGAATACACACCGAGAACTGGGAAGCCCTGGCCCTTGAGCGCTCCAGTTGGAGGTCAGCTGTGACCAGCAGTGCTGTAGAATTTGAAGAGGCACGAATGGAGGGTGAAAGAGAGAAATGTGCCAAGAGGAAAGTGCGTCAAGCCAACCCCGACCGAGACCGCCTTCCACCTGGAAACCAATGCCCTCACTGGGAGAACATACAAGTCAAGAATAGGGCTCCACACTCACCTACGGACCCACCACCAGTACACCGATCTTGGAAGACTTGGAAGACTATCCTACTTGGACAACGAGGGATTGCCTAAGTAATTAAGTACACATGTGCAGTACACATGTGCAGTTTCAGCATTCTGTGATAAATAGAAGTGGGTCAGGGAATTATTATTATTATTATTATTATTATTATTATTATTATTATGTAAAACTCATTGTTTTCAGTTCAGATGAAAAGGAAGATTGATAATTCCACAAATTTAAAAAAAGAACCAAACTGCTCATTTCCTTGTTCAAATATGATCAGTTTAATAATACAGTATTGCAAATAGAATTGATCAAATCTTTATGCAAAATGGCGACTCTCATGCGGAGGGGCAAAGTAGCAAAAATGTATATCAGTTATCAGCAGTAACCAACCACTAATCCAGTAACTCCTGCAGGCAGTCATTCAAGATGTGAGTCCTGTATAAAATCTGAGATCCTCCAAATACAGGTATAGTCTGATCTCAAGGTACAGAGATATCAATGTTTTGGATTCTCTCGGTGATAAGTCTTTTTTTCCCATTGTGTTCCAGAAGAGTGCATTACACCTTATTCCTCAGTTCTCCATTTATTGACATTTCTGAGATGGCATTAACTAGATCCTGCCGTCCGGGATCTCTTCTCTTCACCAAAGTTGCAATGCCTTTGTAGATGGCATATCCAGGAATACACAGGCTGGGTACTCCCGCAAGGATGACAACAATGGCATAAACCCAGTTAGGGTATTCCACTGATTTTGATTTGGGAAATTGATCCTGTGGAAGGAAAGAAAAGATTTTCAGACATTTGGAGCATGGTTAGGATGCAGAGAATTTTACATCCAGAGGTGTGAGTGTTGGGCTACAACTTTAGCAATCCCCCTTTAAATAAATATTGCCAAGAAAATTCCATGATACGCTCACTTTATGGTGAGCATAGATTGGAAACAACCCCTCCACACGTTGCTGTGGCCAACCTTCCCTCCCTCTTTCTCTCCTTTCTTTCTCTCCTTCCTACCATTTTTTCTTTCCTTCTCTCCTTCCTTCCTTTCTTCCTTCCCTTCCCTTTTTCTTTCTCTCCTTTCTTGCTTCTTGTAATGAATCCCTTACCTTAGCTGGCTGCCTGATAGCCTAAGGGAGTGGGCCTGGCAAAGCCATGGCATCCATTTTGGAAAAGGGAGACAAGGAGAAGCCATTTTAGTTAGGTTTGCCTTGAGGGGGTGTGTTCAAGTCTTAGAGGGAAAATAAGGAGGCTAGGCTTGGCTAGAAAGATGGGGCAGAGTCTAAGTGGTCTAGAGGAAAAAAAGTGTCCTTTTAAACCAGGGGCTTGAGGCCCCGGTTAGTTTGTTGGAGTTGGAGTTTGGGTGTTAGAGAGAGCACTTAGTGTTGGTGTTAGTCAGAGCGAGTTTGAGTTTAGAGAAGAAGATTGGGTTAGTCTTTTGTGAAGTATTCAGAGTAGCTATTGAGTAAATAGCTAGAATACCGTGGAGGAGCAATATGCAGTTAGGGGTCTGTTCAATTCCTAAGGAAGTCTACTTCAGGGTATTTTTGGCTAGATTCCTGAGGGGGGTTTTTGGGAGTTACTGTCAGAGATTAATTTCCTGAAGTAATTTTCTGTGGTGGAACTTTGAAGACTTGTAACCCAGAAGATTTTAAGATTTTAACTCTTAACGCAACCACAAGCTTTGTATGCCAGTATTTTACTGAAACCATTAAGCATTTGTATCTGAATATTTCAAGCTTGTTCAATAAATATTCTTGTTATTTTATTTACTCATACCAGCCTCAGTGTGAATACCTTTGTGGTCAAAGTATTACTAAAAATCAGCTTCACAGCAGCCTCTAAGAAACTATAGTGACACAGTGGTGTTACAGAACAAAACTCACAATATTACCTCAGCCTGATTAATATTGAAATGGTGGCAGCTGAATTCATTTGAAGAAGCATTTTAAGTCTCTCAGCTCTAGTGTTTCCCAGTTCCTAACCTTTATAATACTAGGTGTCTCACCCCCTTCACTGAGTATATTGGTATACTCAGTGTGATGTATCTCAACAATTAAAATAAAAAGATACTTAAATATATAGTTGGTTCAATAACCATACTCCCTCTTCCTTTTGACGGCTTCATATTTTTGGGTGAATGACAATGACATAAGCATCCAGTATATAACAATTAATAGCCACATTAAAACAGCTCATTAGTTTCTCTAGGGTTAAGTAATTTGTTTTACTTACCTACCCAAACAGAATCCTTAACAAACAGACAAAAAACCCTGAGTGGGGAAAAGAAGCAAAGAAAGATTGGGCAAGAAAAGGCAAAGGAGAGCAGAGGATGAGAAAAGAGAAGCTTACAAAATGGTTTAAGGAGTCTTCCTTTAGGCAGGTCTACTTACATAATCAGGGTCCCAGATGTTATATTCTAGTCTTTCTCCCACTTTCACCACAAAGTAAAAAAGGAAAATAACTAACATAATGAGAGGGCTAATAACTCTCCAGGTCGCCTGCCAGAAAATATTGGGTTTATGCCCAATCATAAACTCAATATCGTCGTTAAATCTGGAAAAGACAGAAAGAAAGGTAAAGGCTGCCTTAGACATGCATTTGAGTTGCCTGAAAGCTATTACATATTATAAATGGTTGTTGCAGACATACAGAAATCTACTCCAAATACATAAAATCCAATAGTTTTCAATAAAATCACACCCAAGGCATTTTTTATTAATTGATTTCTAAAAGCTGTTTTCCAGTAGTAAATCTTTTGATATATCAACAGATTCTGACAGGTTCCAACCAAGAGATGGATGATATATTGTCATTCAAACACTCTTAGTCAGACACGTGGATGTGGGAGAGAGAGAATGTGTAATGCAGTGGTTCCCAACCTGTTCTTTTTTTTTACTAGGGACCACTCTCCAATATTAGTTCCAAAAGGATTACAAATCGGTTTTGGGTCAACTTCAGATTCGGTTTGGTTATTTGGGATGGTGATTCAGAAAATTTCATTGGATAGACCACATCAGCTCTAGTTTCTGATACAGACCCTCCTTCTTGGAAGAGTCGTTCCCAGATGGTGAAGCTGGGGGACACCTGCTCGGACTCCTGGCCTTTGACCTGTGGGGTCCCACAAAGTTCCATTCTGTCCCCCATGCTTTTTAACATCTACATGAAACCGCTGGGAGAGATCATCCGGAGTTTTGGAGTTGGATGCATCTCTATGCAGATGACACTCAACTCTACTACTCCTTTCCACCTAATTCCAAGGAAGCCCCTTGGGTATTGGACGAGTGCCTGGCTGCTGTGGCTCTCTGGATGAGGATGAACAAGCTGAGGATCAATCCTGACAAGACAGAGGTCCTCCTGGTCAATTGTAAGCTGGATCGGGGTATAGGGTGGCAACCTGTGCTTGATAGGGTTGCACTCCCCCTGAAGTCACAGGTCCACGGCTTGGGTGTCCTCCTAGACTCATCGCTAACGCTTGAAGCCCAGGCATCGGCGGTGGCTGGTAAGGCCTTCGCTCAATTAAGACTCGTTGCCAGCTGTGACTGTACCTCGTGAAGTCGGATCTAGCCAGGGTGGTCCACATCTTAGTCACCTCCAGATTGGATTACTGTAATGCATTCTACATGGGGCTCCCCTTGAAGACTGCTCGGAAATTTCAATTGGTACAACGGGCGGCAGCCAGGTTACTAACTGGAGCAACTTACAGGGAGCGGTCAGCCCCCCCTGTTTAAGGAGTTCCATTGGTTGCCGTTCATTTTCTGGTCCCAATTCAAGGTGCAGGTTCTTACCTACAAAGCCCTAAACGGTTTGGGACCCGCCTACCTGCATGACCACATTTCGGTGTACGAACCCACGCGATCTCTTTGATCATCTGGGGAGGCCCTGCTCTTCCTCCCGCCCCTTTCGCAGGTGCGATTGGTGGGGACGAGGGAGAGAGCCTTCTCTGTGGTGGCCCCCCGACTCTGGAACTCATTTCCCAAGGATATCAGGCAAGCCCCCACATTGGCAGTCTTGTGTGTTATTGTCTATATGTTGAGTTATATTAATTGTATTGTTTTATTTGCTTATTGCTTGTTGTTTTTACTGATGTGTTGTTGGGCTTGGACTCATGTAAGCCGCTCCGAGTCCCCTTGGGGAGATGGTGGCGGGATACAAATAAAGTTTTATTATTTATTATTATTATATGCCATCCAGTAGTCACCATCTCCTCACCCATAGAAAATGAGCTGATCATCCACAGAAAATAATCTACAGCTGATATGGCCTATCCAATGCCATTTTCTGAAACATCACCACAAATAACCCCAGGAACAGGCTTAAAAACAAGGACACTAAGTTTTTTTTTGATTGGGCTATGTTATTATCCATGGATTTTGTTAATGTTTGGGTATTTAAAAAAGAAGGGGAGGGAGTTTAGGTTGAAAAAAAATGCAAATAGCAGAGTGTGAGACTCAAAAAACTGTCTTTAATGGCTTTCCCACACTTCCTTGCCACAGATGGATAGCCACGGGGAAGGGGACATGGTCCGTGGGGAGTTGCAACGGTGTAGTAATGATGAGGCCATGAACCATATTTTAGTTCTTGCGGACCACTGGTGGTCTGCGGACCACAGGTTGGGAACCACTGGTCTAATGTCTTGAAATTCAAAAAGATAACTACCATATATACTCGAGTATAAGCCAGCCCGAATATAAGCTGAGACACCTAATTTTACCACACAAAAAAACTGGGAAAACTTATTGACTTAAGTATAAGCCGAGGGTGGGAAATGCAGCAGCTACGGGTCAATTTCAAAATAAAAATAGATACCAATAAAATTACATTAATTGAAGCATCATTAGGTTAAATGTTTATTAATATTTACATAGAACTGTAAGATTAGACTGTCCAACTCTGACTAAACCATTATTCTAACCTTCTTCAGTATACATGTGTTTACGTATCCTTCCAATAATAATAGAGTAAAATAATAAATGTAATAATAATAATAATAATAATAATAATAATAATAATAATAATTGTATTGTATTGTAATGTAATATAGCTGAGTCATGCACTGCTAATGGGCTTCTATTGGAAATGCTGAGTCATGCATTAACTGTATATAGAACTTCATTTGGGGAATGTGTTCTGGCCTAGTCCAGGTGATTGTGAATGATGTAATCCTGGGTCTGAGTTAAGTTAATGAGTTGGGAACCAATCAGAGATTGCTATGTGTAATTGTATAGAATTGTATATAAGGAAGTCATGTACAGTGTATTCTCTCTTCTCGTGCTGTGATGTTGTTCGTTGAAGGCTATATGTAATTAAAAGAACCTGTCTGCTAAGACAAGATATAACTGTATGCTGTGGTAAGTTTGTAATATCATCTAGACTGGGGGAAAGACAATGGTAAAACTGACAATGGCCGGGCATGTGCACAAGTGTCTGTAAAAGAGTTACAGAGTGACTGCAGTTTGTGGGAGCAGTTCACTGAAAATACTGTGCAGGAAGAAGCTACTGGAAAGCGCTGAAGTTGTGCAACTGATCTGCTGCTGAATTGTGAAATTAATCTCAACAGTTAACCTATAAATGCAATAATATATTATTAATAATAATAATAATAATAATAATAATAATAATAATAAGTAAAATAATAAATAACCTTGACTCGAGTATAAGCCGAGGGGAGCTTTTTCAGCCTAAAAAAGGGCTGAAAAACTAGGCTTATACTCGAGTATATACAGTAATTCATAATTATAAACCACTATAAAGTGCACCATAATCATTCAACGAATAAATACATTGTACCTCCTACTATTAAGGAGGTAATGGTATTTATATAGAATTTTAAGTGACATTTCTGTGATTCATAAAATGGCCCGACAAAATTGATAGAAAGTATTTATTTCGTACTTCAAATGCATGGTGTAAGAAAACTACACAACTCTAGCACAACTCTAAGATAAGCCTGTAGAGAGGCAAGCAATTGACATCTTACCTGTCTATTCCATATATATAGACGACTGAAAACATCTCACAGAAAGCTATGATCAGCAATGGAATGGATCCAGCAAAGTTGTCAAATAAAGCCAGCCAGTAGTTTCCAGAGTTCAGCACAAAAATTATGGCGATCCAGAAAGACACCACACAAATGAGACCTGCGAACAGACAAGAGATAGCAAAACTATGTCAGTCTAAATACAATGTAAAAAGGGGAAAAATGGGGAGGTTCTTTCTCTTCTGCTGGAAGATCAATGAGGATTTCCACCATTTCACTCTGCGTTCTTTGATCCTGTGGTGAAAATAATTATTAGGTAATTTTATGTTTTTAGAGTGATAAACAATATATTTCTTGATGTCTGGTGACTATTTTGTAATTCTACCCAAGCTGTATCAAGGTCAGACCCCTTTGTCACCCTGCTTGAATTATTCAATAGAGTTGTGCTTTAGAGGTAAATCTTGCCCGGTTTTGTGACCCGGCTTTCATTGGGGGCCCCGAACCATTTTTTGGGAGCCTCCTGAAATCGGAAGGGTAGGTATTTGTTTTCGGTTTGGGGCCTCAAAAATCGGACCATTATAGGAGGGCTTCCCACCAACATCCGTTCTTCTTACTTGGCACCTGCTGTTTCTATTCTAGAATAAGAGGCTGTTGCGTTTCAGAATCGGTGCTTTAGATGTGGGGAATTATGTTAATGAGGTTCAAGATGAGTTTAAAGATGTCAATGGTTTGGTCAGTGATAGTGATGCAGAGAATGACCAGGAGATCCCTGTAGGGGTGTGGGGATGATGGTGTGCTTTCTGAATTGTTACCAAAGACTTCTCATGAGAAATAACATGAAAATAGCTCGGCACCTGCAGAAATTAATGAGCAAATAGATAACGAGCCCAGAGATAGACGAGAAGAGTTCAGTCAAAACAGGAGAGCTGTGCAAAGGCTTAGACGCTCTGCCAGGCTTTGACAGAAAACAATAACAAAGCCTCAACTAAAGAGAAACCAATTTCTGACCGCTAGTGACCTAGATAACGAGAGGATAAAAGTCTTAAGTTTGGGATGTGTAGTCAGATGAAGCATCGTTTAGAATCATACCAAGTTCTCGTCCTTGTTTTATAGAAACCCTGATTTGAAGTTTCATGCTAAGATATTTCTTGTTCATGGTTCTGGATTCCTGGATTTCATGATTGCTTACCCAAGCCTTGGATCAATGTATTCCTGATTTTCTGGATTGTATTGGAGGTAAGTGGACTTTGCTTTTATGGACGTTGCTGAACTTTACCTTGGACTAATTTTGTTCCTGCTTATCTTCTTACCTTATTAGATTTACCCCTATTTCTTTAAAGTGCTTTTTACTTTGCTGCTTTTTACTTATCCTCAATGAAAGGATTGTTTTTTTCCTATTTGTTCTGTCGCGCGCTGGGCCTGTAAATAATTGTCTTTAGAACAGGACGTGCAACCTTTGCCCAGCGGGAAGCCAGGGGGCCCAAGGAGAAGTTCTCAGAGGTTTTCCACCACAAATAGTCTTTAGATGGCTTGTGAAGTATAACAAAGTCTTTTATTAATGAACAATCAAACAGAAACTTCTCTTGTCTTCAGAAAGTTAAACAAATGATTCCAGGCTTTTATGCGACTGGTAGCTTCCTAAACTTGCCCACGAAGAACAGACAACTGTCTTCAATAACTTTTTCTTTACTTTAAAGGAAAGTCCCCTTTTTAATTTCTCCCAGGCTGACTGTAATCTAACCCTTACTGACGTGGGCTCCGCTACCGGGTCGAACTGATTCTCGAATGCCGAGTAGACCTACCAGTAAAGGCTTAGATGTTCTCCAGCTGGAGTTCTTTGGTCTTTAGGGCTGTTTCCCTGGAAATCTTTGGAGACTCTTAGGACTGCTCTCCCCCAGAAAGTCTTGATGCTCTTAAGACTCTTTCCCCCCGGAAAGTCTTAAGGGTTGAAGCTTTTGTACAGGGGAAGCTTGCACACGTCCTGTACATTAGCTTTCCTTGCTGAGACTAACTAAAAATGGCTCCCTTCCCTTCCCAATTGCCCTGAGCAAGGGGTGGGATCAAAACTTAATGATGATGGACAGGTGACTTGCCCTATGACTGCAACCAAAGGAAGCCACCTTCCTGCAGAAACCCAGAAACCTTGGACTGCAAACAAACATTTAATACAAAGCAAATAAAGTTGGAGCTCCTGGTACAGCCGTAGCAGCACACTATTCAACATGTGGTATTTAAAGTCAGAGGATTATTCCTGTTCTAGAGTGCAACAGTGGTGCTTGATTGTAGGCACTGGCGGGTGCACATACTTTCTGGGTCTGCATGTACGCCACGCAACACATGCACTCTCCTTGGAAAGAGTGTGTGTGTGTGGTATGGCATGCAGGCAGGCCAGAAAGTGTGTGCACCTGCCAGTGCCTATAATAGAGTGCCTCTTACTGTAGAGTAAGAGGCGCTCAGCTGCAGATGCGTTCCAGGCCTGCCTGCACACCTCGCCACACACTCGCCGTCTTTCCAAGGCAAGGAGGCAAGTATGACTACAGACAAAAGCAGGTTTTTGTGTTGAACAGATTTTCGAGCAAGTAGGGGGCTTCCCATTTTGTGCTCCCGAAGAAACGGAAGACACGAAAGAAATGGTAGAAACGGTAGGAACGAATTCTGCGCACAACTCTATTATTCAACAATTTCCAACTAACCTGTGACAAGTTCCTTAGGCCATTTTTTGGGTATTATTTTGAGTTCTTCTAGAGGTACCATGACACCTTCCATATTCCCAAACATAGACGATAAACCCAAGCAGAACAGCATGATAAAGAAGAGGATGGACCACAGTGGTGAGACGGGCATTTTGGTTATAGCTTCAGTGAAGACAATAAATGCTAAGCCTGTTCCTTCAACACCCTGCACAAGGTAAAAGATAAAAAACTGTAAAATGATACATAATTTTAAAATGTATTTGTTAGGACATTGAGAATATTAGCTAATTATTATTGTTTTAAATTATGTGACTGCCTAACAAATATATGTCTACCTCTCGTTGTTGTTGTTCATTCGTTCAGTCGTTTCCGACACCCTGACCTCATGGACCAGCCCACGCCAGAGCTCCCTGTTGGCCGTCACCACCCCCAGCTCCTTCAAGGTCAAGCCAGTCACTTCAAGGATCCTATCCATCCATCTTGCCCTTGGTCGGCCCCTCTTCCTTTTACCTCTCATTAGTGATACTCAATTTTGAGACCTCAACATGCTGTTTCCTAACTGGATTTGGAACACACACAGTTAGGTCCTACTTCATGCAACTTTTAATTTAGGTATAAAATTTGCTGTGACAAAATGTGCCAAGAAGAAGCTTGACTTTCATGTTAAATTATTTTCAAAAATCGATTTAAACTATCAGGAAAGCTATTGCCTTCAGACTGAGCTTCTAAGGGACCTTCCACACTGCACCTATTTCCCAGGGTCTGATCTCAAATTATCTGTTTATCCCATGTTACCTGGCAGTGGGGACTCATATATTCCAGTTCAAAGCAGATAATCAGGAATCAGATCCTGGGATAAAGGGCAGTGTGGAAGGACCTTAAGTCTTCCCAAAGCATCCCATTTCAAACTCCACCTTTCCTCTCCTCATGATCTTTGGTTTAGTCTTTTTGTTCCCATGCCCAGCTGTAAATAAAGTAAACTATAAACCAGTGGTTCTCAACCTTCCTAATGCCGCGACCCCTTAATACAGTTCCTCATGTTGTGGTGACCCCCAACCATAACCCTAACATTATGAATCGCCATGTAAATAATGATTTTCATTCACGGGAGCAAATTTGGCACAAATATCCGGTATGCCCAAATTTGAATACTGGTGTGGTTGGCAGGGGGATTGATTTTGTCATTTGGGAGTTGTAGTTGCTGGGATTTATAGTTAACATGTAAACAAAGAGCATTCTGAACCCCACCAACAATGGAATTGAACCAAAGTTGGCACAGAAAACTCCCATGATCAACAGAAAATACTGGAAGGGTTTGGTGGGCATTGACCTTGAGTTTGGGAGTTGTAGTTCGCCTACATCCAGAGAGCACTGTGGGCTCAAACAATGATGGATCTGGACCAAACTTTGCATGGATACTCAATATGCCCAAATGTGAACACTGATGTGGTTTGGGGAAAATAGACTTTGACATTTGGGAGTTGTAGATACTGGGATTTATAGTTCACCTACAATCAAGGAGCGTTCTGAATCCCAGCAATGATAGAATTGGGCCAAACTTCCCACACAGAACCCCCAAAGCCAACAGAAAATACTGTGTTTTCTTATGGTCTTTGGCGACCCCTCCAACACCCCTTCGTGACCCCCTCAGGGGTCCCGACCTCCAGGTTGAGAAACACTGCTATAAACTGTGGAAGGATATATCACAACCATTTAAATTGTGCAAATAAATCCCAAACTTCCTCAACATTACCTCTCCCTTGTAACACCAACAACAACAACAACAACAACAACAACAACAACATCATCATCATCATCATCATTATCTTCAATCTGCCACAATATGTATATGTTGTCACCTTACATCATTTAAAAATGAGTCCAAGTTGCAAGTCTGGAATGTAAGGCTTTGAAAAAGAGCCGGATTGGTCACGTTGCAGAATGCTTGCATTTGTTCAAAATTATCTTGGGTTACATTACCTTCTGGCAAATCAAAAACATTTGTAAGCAAGAGAATGTTCCTGCAAATGGAAAAGAAAATAATCAAAGCCTTTCTAGTTTTGTTGCACAAAACACCGATGTTTTACATTTTAACTAGAATAGGCAAAGCTCTCTTATATACTTTCTGAAAGTGAATAGGAACAAAGAGTTAATATCCATTGTCCCAGATGAGATCCAGCAAGGGTGATATGGGCATGGAAAAAGTTGTGGGCATCACAACATGCCTGCTGCTCGACTTAAGATTGTCTCTTAGAAATGGAGCCTAGCAGCTGTCTGATGAGGTCTCCGCACTTTTAATACGGCATGATTGTGTTGATCACATTAAGGGAGAAAAGACTAGAAAAGTGTTAACACAAAGAGAAGAAAGCAACTTACTGTTCAAAACAATCATCGTATCGCTCTGTTGCTCTGAATCCAATAATGGTGTATATGACGGTGGCTGAATAAATGGATGTTAAACCATTGATAACCGAGATAATCAAAGCATCCTTCTCACAATTATTGCTGCAAACCAAAACAGAGAAATCTCCGTGAATTCAGAAAATTGTCATTGTAACTTTTCACATGTATTTGTGGACCTATACCACTTAGTTGGGATGCAAGAGTGAGTTCAGTCTCATGTACGTCACTGTGCTATCAATGGGTTAAATGGATATTGGAGCCCCCGGTGGCACAATGGGTTAAACCCTTGTGCCTGCAAGACTGCTGACTGACAGGTCAGTGGTTTTAATCTAGAGAGAGCAGGTTGAGCTCTCTCTGTCAGCTCCAGTTTCCCATGCGGGGACATGAGAGAAGCCTCCCACAAGGATGGTAAAACATCAAACATCCAGGCATCCCCTAAGCAATGTCCTTGCAGAGGCCAATTCTCTAACACCAGAAGCAAATTGCAGTTTCTCAAGTTGCTTCTGACACACATACACACATGCTATCCCTCTATTCTGCCTTGGTTAGACCACACCTGGAGTACTGTGTCCAATTCTGGGCACCACAATTGAAGGGAGATGTTGACAAGCTGGAATGTGTCCAGAGCAGGGTGACTAAAATGTTCAAGGGTCTGGAGAACAAGCTCTACGAGGAGCAGCTTAAAGAGCTGGGCATTTTTAGCCTGCAGAAGTCAAGGCTGAGAGGATACATAATGGCCATGTATAGATATGTGAGGGGAAGTCATAGGGAGGAGCGGGCAAGCTTGTTTTCTGCTGCCCTGGAGACTAGAATGCGGAACAATGGCTTCAAACTACAGGAAAGGAGATTCCACCTTAACATTAGGAAGAACTTTCTAACGGTGAGAGCTGTTCAGCGGTGGAACTCTCTGCCCTGGACTGTGGTGGAGGCTTTTTCTTTCGAAGCTTTTAAACATAAAATTAAATTAAAACAATTTAAAATAGTGCAAATTCAATTAGTTGGCTAAATCTATATCTGAGTTTTACAATCAACAACTTGGTCCGAAGCCTGTCCATAGCCCATTTACCATAGTATTGTCATCATTTATCAACCTACTATCCAAATGCCTGGTCTCATAACCACATTTTCAACTTTTTCCTGAAGGATAAGAGAGAAACAGTTGACCTAATTTCATGGGGAGTGAGTTCCACAGGTGGGGGGCTACTGCCAAGAAGGCCCTGTCTCTCATTGCATTTGCAACAGAGGCGGGCTCAAGAGCAGGGCATCCCTGGAAGATCATAAGCTTTGAGGCGGGGCGTAGGTAATGGCAACTTACTGAATTGAATTGTAACTAGAGAATGAGATGAGGCCTCCAAAGGCAAGGGAGAAAGAAAAGAATACTTGTGCTCCAGCATCTAGCCATGTGGTCGGGTTAGCTAATTCATTGACCTGAGGAAGAGAAAAAAATAAAGCTTTAAGTGAAGGTGGTAATTTCACAGTTAGAGCTCATGGAAAACAAATTAAACTGTGACTCTAGGCATGAAATCTGGTTAATTTAAGATAATCTGAACAGGGCATATTCCAAACAGGAAGCATTCTATTCTGGTGGTTCAAAGGTTCAATTAAGAAAAATAGGAAATAGGGGATAGTCAAGTTGCATTGCAGAGATAGGCAAGCAAGGCAGGTGGCATGTGTGTAATTAATCCAACAACCTCTGAGGATTTTTTTTTGTTGTGTCAGGAGTTGCTCCTGTTGTGAGAGAATTGGCCGTCTGCAAGGACATGGCCCAGGGGACGCCCGGATGATTTTATCATCCTTGTGGGAGGCTTCTCTCATGTCCCCGCATGAGGAGCTGGAGCTGATAAAGGGAGCTCATCCGCCTCTCCCCGGATTCGAACCTGCGTTCTGTCAGTCTTCAATCCTGCCGGCACAGGGCTTTAACCCACTGCGCCACTGGGGGCTCCTCTGAGGATGCTTGCCATAGATGGAGGCAAAACATCAGGAGAGAATGCTTCTAGAACATGGCCATGTAGCCGAAAAACCTACAACAACCCAACCCAAAAAATGTTTGTGGAAATAATACCATCTTTTATCAGGTCAACGCATTGGCTCATCTAGTACATGGCTGACTACAGGATTGGTTCACAACTTTTGGTCTTCCAGATGTTTTGGACTTCGAGTCCCAGAACTCCCAGCCATATTACCAACCATTAAGGAATTGTGAGAGCTGAAGCCCAAAACACCCAGAGGACCAAACGTTGGAAACCACTGGTCTACAGCCTTCCAAATCTGGGCTTCAGAACTCCCATGCTCCCTATTTTGGGCACAAACTGCTCATATTGAAAAGCTTCTTCAGACATGATGAAAAGGAGTTGATAGAGCAAGATTCAATACCGCTGACCTTTTCATGTCCCAGGACATAATTAAATTTGGGATGGTAAATGTGTGGCCCACAAAAGTCATTTAATGAGTCCCATCAGTCTTAGAACTACACCTAAGGATGAGGGATGACCAAAGTTGCAATTCGGCAACATCTGGAAGCTCACACATCTCCTTTTGCAAGCCATCTGCAGGGTAGAGGAGTCAACATTCAGAAGACCACCTACAAGCCACTCTAAACACCTTCGTAGAAGCATACGAGAAGCTCAGCCTGTCATTGAACATCAAGAAAACCAAAGTGCTATTCCAACAGGCATCAGCCAATTCCTCTCCAATGCCAGAAATACAGCTTAATGGGGTAACATTAGAAAATGTTGACCATTTCCACAAAAGTCAGCATTGACACTGAAATACAACACCGCCTGAGCTCTGCGAGTGCAGCATTTTTCTAAATGAAGCAGAGAGTGTTTGAGGACTGGGACATCCGTAGGGATACCAAGCTGCTTGTTTATAAAGCTATTGTCCTCCCAACCCTGCTATACACCTGCAAGACGTGGACTATCTACAGACGTCACATGCAACTCCTAGAATGATTCCATCAGTGTTGCCTCTGAAAAATCTTGCAAATCTCTTGGGAAGACAAGCGAACTTGCGTGGTGGAAGAAGCAAAGACCACCAGCACTGAAGCAATGGTCCTCCGCCATCAACTCCGCTGGACCGGCCATGTTGTCCAGATGCCCGACCACCGTCTCCCAAAGCAGTTGCTCTATTCCGAACTCAAGAACGGAAAATGGAATGTTGGTGGACAGGAAAAAAGATTTGAGCCAATCTTAAAAACTGTGGCATTGACACTGAGAACTGGGAAGCCCTGGCCCTTGAGTGCTCCAGCTGGTGGTCAGTTGTGACCAGCAGTGCTGTAGAATTTGAAGAGGCACAAATGGAGAGAAACGTGCCAAGAGGAAGGCGCATCAAGCCAACCCCAACCAGGACCGCCTTCCACCTGGAAACCAATGCCCTCACTGCGGGAGAAGATGCAGGTCAAGAATAGGGCTCCACAGTCACCTATGTACCCACCGCCAGTACACCGAACTTGGAAGACAATCCTACTCGGACAATGAGGGATTGCCTAACTGTCAAAACAGAGGAGTCAACAATCTTCCGCAAGTAAAGTAAATAAAGTAGGAACCAAGCCACACTTCCTCAATTATGTTCCTATGCGGGGTATACATAAATATACATAATAATAATAATTCCAATGAAATATATTTTTAAAAATCCATGTAATACTTACATCAGGTGTGAAAAGAAATACAATTCCACTGACAGAGCCTTTGAGTGTTAAGCCACGGATCAAGAAGATGGTAAGCACAACATAAGGAAGCGTTGAGGTTATATACACTGCCTGGAGAGAAGAAATGTGTACAAGTGAATTCGTAACACCCGATTATTTCTTTTTACTATACTTATCTCTGTCCTTCCTTCTGTTTCTCCATCTATAGCTATCTCCAGCCTTAAAGACTACTACTGCTTGCAAGGGTACCTAATAGCTTAAGGTCAGTCAAGATTGGAGAATAAACAGACAGAGCCATTTGAAGAGCATACCACCCCCTTGTTGTGCCAGCTCCACTGGCTGCCGGTCCACTTTCGAGCTCAATTCAAAGAGCTGGTTTTGACCTATAAAGTCCTATAGGGTTCTGGCCCAGCTTACTTGTCCGAACGCATCTCTCTCTACATCCCACCTCGCAGTTTAAGACCATCTGGGGAGGCCCTGCTCTCGCTCCCGCCAGCGTCACAAATACGTTTGGAGGGGACGAGAGACAGGGCCTTCTCGGTTGTGGCCCCCTGCCTGTGGAACTCGCTTCCCATTGAGGTAAGATCGGCTCTGTCCCTACTGTCATTTAGGAAGAAATTGAAGTTATGGTTCTGGGACCAGGCTTTTCGACAACAGACAGATAGCACTTTGGACATGGAATTGGATATGGAATTGACTGGAATTATGATACGGCTATTAATACTGTTTTTTTACTGTTTTAATGAATGTTTTACTTATTGTTTTAATTGTTATTATATTGCTCTATTATATATAGTGGTATCAAATTGCTGCCAAATGTAAACTGTCCTGAGTCCCCCTTCGGGGATGGAGAAGGAACGGCATAGAAATACCAGAAATAATAATAATAAATAAATACATACATTTGAGTTGTGAAATTCTTTTTTGATGCAAATAAATTTGGGAATTGGTGCTTTTACAGTGTATAAAGTAACTGATTTTTTTTAAAAAAGATGGGATGAAAATCTTGAAATAAATAAAATGTTGCCTCTCACATTGCTGAAATTTAACTTATCAGTTTATTAGTAAAGGTTTCCCCTTGACATTAAGTGTAGTCGTTTCCGACTCTGGGGTGTGGTGCTCACCTCCATTTCTACGTGAAAGAGCCAGCATTATCTGTAGACGCCTCCAAGGTCATGTGGCCAGCATGAGTGCATGGAGCATCGTTACCTTCCCGCCGGAGCGGTACCTATTGATCTACTCGCATTTGCATGTTTACGAAGTGCTGTTTGGCAGAAGCTGGGGCTAACAGCGAAAGCTCACCCCACTCCCCGGATTCGAACCAGCAAGATTCAGTCAGCAAGTTCAGCAGCTCAGCAGTTGAACCCGCTGCACCACTGGAGGCTTTATTTATTAGAGGATAACATTATTTGGTGTCAAATCGTCCAGTGGTTTTTGAGTTATGTTAATCCCAGAAACGAACATTACATTTTTATTTATATAGATTTACAACATTTCTACCCTGCCCTTCTCAACTCCCGAGGGGGGACTTAGAGTGGCTAACACTGGCAACAATTCGATGCCGCAAATCACAGTATAACAACAATATAAAACCATTAATACACAGTAATTTAAAAACAATAAACATTCGTTAAACAATCATAGAGCCGTTTCCATTATTATCACAATCATATGGTCCAGTTCAATGTCCAAAGTGCCGTTATGCCTGCTCACCAAAGACTTGGTTCCAAAGCCACGATTTCAGTTTTTTTCCTAAAAGAAAGGAGGGAGGACGCCAATCTAATCTCATTAGGGAGCGAGGTTTTTAAAAACCCGTTACTTTCCGGAGAGTGTCCACTTGACTCTGTGGCCCAGAGCAACCCTCCCAGAGTGACCACATTAATCTGGAACGATCCAAATCGGAGGAATATCTGCCTGAAGTTTTCCACCATTTCCCCCCAGGTAGCTGCGGAGATGCACTGCAGTGCATGCGTAAAGTTGAAGAATACCCGAGCGTTTTTTTTAATGCAGTTATGCATTGGTGCACACTAGTGCACCACATGTAAATTTCACCAACTCTCGCATTTTCCCCATGCGTGGGGTCAGCTCATTGCACCTCATTTTTCATCTGAACCCGGACTTTTAAAACCTGTTTAATGCTGTTCTGCCTGAATAATGGCCAAGTGTCATTTGGTCACTTCAATGTGCAGATGGGGTCTTGGAATTCCCTTTGTTTATATACTCTCCGTTCATGTATTTTCATAACTTTGGGCAATTTTAGCTTGAGGTGGATTCAGTTTGGAGAAGGACAGGGCCTGCATGCCCATTCTTCCCTATTGTGGGATCCTCTCAAAGGAACTTGGGGGTCAAGGCAGCAAGGGGGATGCATAACTTGGAGAATGTAGGACTGGATTCACCTCTAAATGAGGGGAACCATGTTGCCATTTGGCCACCCGTTTAGATCTTATTCACTCAGCACAACAATAGGATTCATTTCTAATTTGCGTTTAGATCTTATTCACTCAGTAGATAATAAAGGAAGTGCCAAACATTTTTAAAAATCAAAACCTACAAAAACTTGAAAAACTGTAAATATAATCCACTTCAATGTGGAGAGGAGGCCTTGGAATTCCCTCTTGTTTATATACTCTCCGATCATATATTTTCATAACTTTGGGCAGTTTTAGCTTGAGGTGGATTCAATTTGGAGAAGGACAGGGCCTGGTTACATCCCGAATAGATTACTGCAACGCCCTCTATGTGGGGCTGTCTTTGAAGACAGTTCGGAAACTTCGGTTAGTCCAACGGGCGGCAGCCAGATTACTAACTGGGGCAACATACAGGGAGCATACCACCCCCCTGTTGTGCCAGCTCCACTGGCTGCCAGTCCATCTCTGAGCCCAATTCAAAGTGCTGGTTTTGACCTATAAAGCTCTATATGGTTCTGGCCCAGCTTACTTGTCCGAACGCATCCACCCCTATGTCCCATCTCGTAATCTAAGATCATCCGGGGAGGCCCTGCTCTCGCTCCCGTCAACAGCACAAATGCGCCTGGCGGGGAGAGAGACGGGGCCTTCTCAGCTGTGGCCCCCCGCCTATGGAACACACTCCCAAATGGGGTAAGATAAGCTCCCTTCCTCCTTACTTTTAGAAAAAAAAATTAAATCATGGTTATGGGTCCAGGCCTTTGGACAGTAGATGTATGTAGCATTTTAGAGGGACATTGACTGGAACGGCGATTCGACTGACGAGACTGTTTTATTGTTTTAATGCTTGTTGATGTATTGTTTTAATAATAATTTATGTTTTACTATTGAAATTGTTTGGATTGGCATTGTATCGGTGCCCAATGTAAGGCATTGAATTTTGCCATTATTTATGTGTAAACTGCTTTGAGTCCCCCCAGGGGTGAGAAAGGCGGTATATAAATACTGTAAATAATAATAATAATAATAATAATAATAATAATAATAATAAATCATCCCCGTTGTGGGGTCCTCTCAAAGGAACTTGGGGGTCAAGCAGCAAGGGGGATGCACAACTTGGAGAATGTTGGACTGGATACACTCCAAGTTGTGGGGAACCATGTTGCCATTTGCACTCTTGGAATCACCCACCATGATCCCATATCAAACCAAGCCTCTGTGGTTGCAACCAAAGTTGTAAGTCTTTTAAGCAAGTTGTTTTCTGTTGTCCTTTGTCCATACTCTGCTCTCCATTTGCCACTAGGACTGCAAGTACCTTTCCTGTTGTTTCAATGCCTCTGATGGTGCACACGTACAGCACTCCCCAGGCGCAAGCCAAACTCAGCAGAAGCCACCACTGCACCGTCCCAGAATCATCAATAGAAGTGGAGATGTTTAAGGTCTTCCTGTACCAAAAGTAATCAACAGCAGAACTCCTTGCACATTCATCTAGAAAACCTTAAACCAAAGAAACAAAGGGTTACAATCCAGATGGGCGTTGCTCGTTGCATCAAAAGGAACGTGGCAGTGCTCATGTACATTTTCCATACATTTCAACAGAATTCCCCGAGAACAACATCCTAAACCCCCCAAAAATAAATTTTCTTCAGAAAATAAATAAATGGGAAAACTTAGGAAATTCCAAAACAGATTATGAAACATTAAGAAGTGTCCATGGGTACTCATATGGAACACAGGGAATGGGACAAATCCTTTTCAGTCAATCAAGGTGAGTTTTAATCAAGCAAGCAATACAGTTTGTGAGGAAAAACATCCTTTCTTTGTTTTCAATTGATGCCGTATCACATTAAGCATTTCTAAAGGTGAATCTGTACTGTAGAATTAATGCAGTTTGAGACCATTTTAACTGCCTTAGTGCAATGCTTTGGAATCATGTGAGCTGTAGCAAGGAACCAGCACTCTTTGGCAGAGAAGAATAATAATAATAATAATAATAATAATAATAATAATAATAATAGGATTTAAAGATCGAACTGCAAAGACTCTGGCACAAGCCAGTCAAGGGGGTCCCAGTGGTGATCGGCACACTGGGTGCAGTGCCTAAAGACCTTGGCCTGCACTTAAACAAAATCAGCGCTGACATAATTACCATCTGCCAGCTGCAGAAGGCCACCTTACTGGGATCTGCATGCGTTATTCGCCGATACATCACACAGATCTAGACACTTGGGAAGTGTTGGACGTGTGATCCAATATAACAGCCAGCAGAGTGTCTGATATGAGGATTTAAAGATCGAACTGCAAAGACTCTGGCACAAGCCAATCTAGGTGGTCCCAGTGGTGATTGGCACACTGGGTGCAGTGCCTAAAGACCTTGGCCTGCACTTAAACACAATCGCTGACAAAATTACCATCTGCCAGCTGCAGAAGGCCACCTTACTGGGATCTGCACGCATTATTCGCCGATACATCACACAGTCCTAGACACTTGGGAAGTGTGATCCAATTCAACAAAAGCTGACACGATATGAGATTTTAAAGATCGAACTGCAAAGACTCTGGCACAAGCCAGTCAAGGTGGTCCCAGTGGTGATCGGCACACTGGGTGCAGTGCCTAAAGACCTCGGCCTGCACTTAAACACAATCGGCACTGACAAAATTACCATCTGCCAGCTGCAGAAGGCCACCTTACTGGGATCTGCATGCATTATTCTCTGATACATCACACAGTCCTAGACACTTGGGAAGTGTCCGATGTGTGAGCCAATACATCAGCCATCATAGTGACCTTGTCTGCTGTGGCATTCATCTTGTTGTGTTTCAAATAATAATTATAATTATAATTATAATTATTATTTGAAACACAACAAGATGAGTCCACAGCAGACAAGATCACTCTGCTGGCTATTATTATTATTATTATTATTATTATTATTATTATTATTATTATTGACACAAAAGCCCAGTATGTCACAGCAAACGAGATCTATATGCTGGATTTCGTATCACAAAATCACAAGTCAAACACTTCCCAAGCGTCTAGGACTGTGTGACAGCAAACAGAGGGAAAACAGCCCTGAAGTTCTCAAATAATTATCTGAGGGAGGACAGCACTACAGATCCATGGAACTCCAACTGAAATATCTTCAAGCCTCGGCTGGTAGGTCTACTCGATACCCAGATGCATTTGGAATCGGTAGTAGGACCCACACTGATGAGGCATAGATAGTAAACAGCCTGGGAGAGGTTAAAAGGGGTTTTTCCTACAGAGAAGGTTCAGTTAATTAAAGTCAGGTACCAGCCCATTGAGGACTAGACTAAGAAAGCCTTGAAGTGTTGTTTGAACCATTGAAGATTTGTTGTTTGTTCCATAATAAAGATTTTGTTGTATCATTAAAGACTCTAAAGACCATCACTTCAGAGAAATCCCTGAGAATCTCTCTTTGAGGCGCCCATGGCTTCCCGCTGGGCTTAAAGTATACGTCCTATAGAAAAGTACAGCTGTTACAGGCCCAGTGCACGACAGAACACTTGTTTTTGCCTTCCTCTGAGTCTGAGAGAATGTGACTTGCCCAAGGTGGGTTTCCATGGCTAAACCAGGATTTGCTCCCTGTTCTCCAGGAATAGAATCCAATGCTCAAAAACAACACCACTCTGGGTTCACAGAAACGTATGCCATAATGAACTGGTCCGTATTAAATGAACCGCAGTTTTGCAGCACAGAGGCCTTTTAAAATACAAAAGAGCCTAATCGAATATAGAGACACAGATGCTCATTCAATCCAATAAATCCCCTTTTGGAAAGACTTCCACATGAGATACGTTATTATTAAGAAATGAGAGACTGCCAGTTATGATTAGCATTCCATGCGATGGTCCATACCTGTATTGTTTATATTGAGAGGACACTGACTCCAGGGGAGTGGTTCTTGGAACGAGTTGAAGAAATACCACATCACCCAGGCAATAATTGTATTATAGTATAAACCCACAAGGAAAGAGACCAGCATTGCTGCCAAACCTAATGGAGCAGAAGAAAAGACTTGAGACAAATTGTATTTTGTATCATTTAAAAAATTACAGCTATGATATATTTATAGAATATATTTATAGAACAACAGAGTGAGCCTTAGGGAGGGAAGAAAGAAAATAAAATATTCAATATATTCTGTGCAAAAAATGTCCTCACATAATAGTCACACCCCCTCTTTTAAAAAAAAAAGAATGGGGAAATATATATTCAGTATATTCTGTGTATTGAAACCATATAACAGCGGTTCTCAACCTGGGGGTCGCGACCCCCAGGGGGGTCATTTGGCTATTTTGGAGGGGTCGTGAGGCTGCCTCTTTTGGCCCTGCCCCCTTCGTCTGCTCAAAATGGCTGCCTCCCTCACCTGGCTCTTGCTGCTTGCTGGGCCGGCAGGGGTGTGAGCCAGGCAAGGGAGGCTCCGTTCAAGGCCTGGCCTCGTGCGAAGCATCCCTTGCCTGGCTCTTCCTGCTTGCCGGCTGGCGGGTTTGCGAGGCAGCGAGGGAGGCTTCACCTGTGGCCATGCCTCGAGCGGAGCCACCCTCGCTTGACTTGCAACCCCGCCAGCTGGTGAGGGTGAGAGCCAAGCTATAGGGGCTCCGCTTGAGGCTTGGCCTCGTAAGGGCAAGAGCCAGGCAACTGCAATTCCCAAATGTCAGGGTCTATTTTCCCAAAACTCCACCAGTGTTCAAATTTGGGCATATTGGGTATTTGTGCCACGTTTGGTCTAGATCCATCATTGTTTGGGTTCATGGTGCTCTCTGGGATGTAGGTGAACTACATCTCCCCTAAGCCATTGTCAATTCTTCCCAACTTCCTCCAGTATTTTCTGTGTGCCAAGTTTGGTCCAGGTGTGTAATTTGTGAAGGTTTCAGTGGTTGGTGGAAGTCAGTGCTGAATCAGCTGAAGGTACTGCAAATCCCACCATCTGTTTTCCATATTCCCCCAAACATATTTTTTCTGATTAATCACGATGCATCAATTATATTGAATTGTAACAATGAAAACACATCCTGCATATCAGGTATTTACATTATGATTTGTAAGAGTAGCAAAATTACAGTTATAAAGGAGCAACGAAAATAATTTTATGGTTGGGGGTCACCACAAGATGAGGAACCGTATTTAGGGGTCACGGCATTAGAAAGGTTGAGAACCACTGCCATATAAAGAGTGATGTCACTCTCTATATGGTTTCAATACACAGAATATATTGAATATATACTTCCCCACTCTTCTTTTAAAAAGAGGGGGTGCGACTATTATGTGAGGACGTTTTTTGCAGTGTCTGGCAGCTGAGGGAAACCCCATAACTCCAAAGGAACACTCACACCTGCCGACAAGACCTATACGGCCTTTCTTGTCTGCCAACAAAGGTCCTGGAGCTGTCACCGGCATGTGCGCATGCGGGTGAAGACCTGCCTGCCCATGCGCCCACCAGAGAGCGATGCAGGGTCTCCCTCAGCAGGCGAGATAGTCCTCGTAGCTCTTCCCAGCAGCCGAGTGACACCTTGTAGCACTCTTCGGCAGACATACAGGTGTGTGATCCTTCACCTGCCTGCACTCCTGCTGGCGAGAGCTCCAAGGCCTCCCTCAATGAGGAGCAGCTGAGGGAAGCCCCATAGCTCTCATGCCTTCACCCATCCCGTGTGCCTGCCCCACAGAGCTACGGGGGCTTCTCTTGAAGCCCCGTGGCTCCAAAAAACATGCACATGGGCAGGGGTTGCAACTATTTTGCGAAGAATCATGAAATACCAAAAATGGGACTCCAAAAAGGGAGGTGCAACTGTTATGCGATGGCGACTATTACGTGGTGAAATAATGGTATTTCTCATTTGAAAAAATTGAAAAATTGCTTAATAGGTAATAATAATAATAGTCCAGCAAGCATGAAGCTTCAAAATGAGTACATATAGAGAAGGATTTGCTGAAGAGGGAAGAGGGAAATGTATGAAATTGGTTAATTTATTTATTTCCTATAAATATTAAAGAATTGAGTGTTGATGAAAGGATTCATCAAATAATAATTCAATTGCGACTAGAATCAGCTAGCAATTTGAAGTTCACTTACTATAACTTGGGGGCAGGGGGGCTCTGTCTGTTTTTTGACACAGGATTATTCTAAGATAGGCCAAACTTTTGTCAGTTTGCTACTCAGTTAAATAAATAAATTATGATTATTATGATTGCTATTATTGTTACTGTAAACTTACCTACTCCCTTCAGGGTTGGGTGGACCTCACTCCAGACTCCCACACTACATTTTCTGAGTCTTTGCCCAATGGCAAATTCAAGGTGGAGCAATGGGATTCCTTCCAGAACAAGCAAAATGAGGAAAGGGATCATAAACGCTCCTGTGAGGACAAAATCCAAAATGGGTAAGTTGTTGGTTCAAAAGGACATCTGGAGCTAATGATCCTAAGAATGACTTAGTATCAAATAGAAAAATAAATACAACAACAACTGAAATGAATCCTAATCTGAATTACCTATATCTTCAACATTATTTTACAAGTAAGCAAGTTAGAAATATGCAAATATGAGTAGATCAATAGGTACCGCTCTGGCAGGAAGGTAACGATGCTCCATGTAGTCATGCCGGCCACATGACCTTGGAGGTGTCTATGGACAACACCGGCTCTTCGGCTTAGAAATGGAGATGAGCACCACACCCCAGAGTTGGACACGACTGGGCTTACTGATTTATTTACTTAGGCGATCCCTCGTAGTCCGAAGATGATGGTCCTCCAAGTTCGGTGTCCTGGGGGTGGGTTCGTAGGTGGCTGTGGAGCCCTATTCTTGACCTGCATCTTCTCCCACAGTGAGGACATTGGTTTCCAGGTGGAAGGCAGTCTCGGTTGGGGTTGGCTTGACGCACCTTCCTCTTGGCACGTTTCTCTCTTTCACCCTCCATTTGTGCCTCTTCAAATTCTGCAGCACTGCTGGTCACAGCTGACCTCCAGCCGGAGCACTCACAGGCCAGGGCTTCCCAGTTCTCTGTGTCTATGCCAGAGTGTTTAAGATTGGCTTTGAGCCCATCTTTAAATCTCTTTTCCTGTCCACCAACATTCCGTTTTCCGTTCTTGAGTTCGGAGTAGAGCAACTGCTTTGGGAGACAACTGGGCTTAATGTCAGGGGAAAACCTTTACCTTTTTATATATGTACTTAATGAGATATCTTGGAGACAGGACCCAAGTCAAATCACAAAATTCATTTATATTTCATATAAATTTTACACACATAGCTAGAAGGCAATTTTATACACAATCTTTCAAAGAAATTTGTGCATGAAACAAAGTTTGTGCACAGTGAACCATTAGAAAGCAATGGACATCCATGTTGAGAATTTTGGGGTATTTTAATTTTTGGAATTCTAGATAAGGAGGATCAACTTTGAAGGATGAAGTTGGGGCAGGGGAGAACCACTGTGTATTGCCGCAGCCCCATAACCATACTAACGGAGTATGGTAACTAAAGAACCTACACAGCTATGGTTGGATAGATTGATTGATACAACCCAAACTACAATGACAAGAAATGCATGTGTGGACTAGCATTTCCGTCTCCAGTTGGAGGTCAGCTGTGACCAGCAGTACTGTAGAATTTGAAGAGGCACGAATGGAGGGCGAAAGAGATGGAGGCGCGTCAACCCACCCCGACCGGGACTGTCTTCCACCTGGTAACCGATGCCCTCACTGTGGGAGAAGATTCAGATCAAGAATAGGGCTCCAGAGTCACCTACGAACCCACCACCAGGACACTGCACTTGGAGGAGCATCATTCTCAGACTATGAGGGATCGCCTAAGTAAGTAAGTAAGTAAGTAAGTAAGTAAGTGGATGTAATGGAACATATTCCTTCCAGAGAAGACCTATACTGTCATTATAAACAAATAAATTCATGTAGGGTTCTCCAGATAGAGCAAATGTGTCAGATGATTGTGGCATTTGTTATTGCAGTTCTTTGGGGGAGAGGGTACTGTTTCATTATCTGGGTGGAGGCCACAAGGGGGCGCTAGAGAGAGAGAAGGATAGTCCATTTTACAGGGGTGGAGAGTGGGTTGAAGGAGTAAAACAATTTTCCCCTGGTTTCCTGCTATCCCCCCGCCCCCCTGTCCCCAACATGGAAACAACCCTCATTTATGAAATGTGAAGTGGGGAGGGGGAATGACCAGCGCAAACGGAGAAAATTGTTTTCCTCCTTCAACCCCCCTCCCCCCCATAAAATAGACTATCCTTCTCTGTCTAGTCTCTCTTTTGGAGTCTGCCCAGATAATGGAATAATACTGTTGGTTTTTGAGGAAGAAAAACTCTAATTGTGTTTTCTTTGGTCTGGTGTATTTTCTGGCAATTTTTAATTCCAACAGCAACTTGGAGTCCTAGTGGACAACAATTTAAACATGAACCAACAATGTCATGTGGAGGCTAAAAATGTCAATGGGATTTTGGCCTGTATCAATAGGAGTATAGTGTCTAGATCTAGGGAAATCATGCTACCCCTGTCTTCTGCCTTGGTCAGGCCACACTTGGAATACTGTGTCCAAATCGGAGCACCATAATTGAAGGGAGATGTTGACAAGGTGAAATGTGTCCACAGAAGGAGGACTAAAATGATAAAGGGTCTGGAGAACAAGCCCTATGAGGAGCAACCTAAAGAGCTGGACATGTTTAGCCTGCCTAATTCAAGGCTGAAAGGATACATGATGGCCATATGAGGGGAAGTCATAGGGAAGAGGGAGCAAGCTTGTTTTCTGCTGCCCTGGAGACTAGGATGTGGGACAATGGCTTCAAACTACAGGAAAGGAGATTCCACCTGAACATTAGGAACAACTTCCTAATGGTGAGAGCTGTACAGCAGTGGAACTCTCTGTCCTGGGGTGTGGTGGAGGCTTTTTCTTTGAAGGCTTTTAAACAGAGGCTAGATAGCCACCTGTCGGGAGTGAATTGAATGCAATTTTCCTGCTTCTTGGTAGCGGGTTGGACTAGATGGCCCACGAGGTCTCTTCCAGCCCTATGATTCTATATATTCCCACCCTCAAGTGGGTTTCTTTCTATGTCCAACAATGGATCCTTTGCTCCTTCCTTTAACTAAAAAAAAATTAAACGTTATAGTGTATTAATGGATCAGTGAAATGGCCCTTTTGTACTATATCACTACGATTCCAAATAAAACAGATGGTGAGATGAAGAGTTCCCCATCAAAGTACAGGATCAGCTCATCAAAATATGCCATTTTTTCTTGTATCCCTGGAAGAGTCCTGTTGCAGAGTCAAGAAATTGCCAAAGACATCCCCTTTAAAAAAGAACCAGTGGGTAACCAGCTAAATTTAGTAAAACTCAAAGAGCTCTATTGCAAGAAATCTGACTGCTTTATAGTGGAGCATGCAAGTAATATTAAGCAGAGGCAACATGCCCATCTGTTGGGAGTTAGTAGATGGTGCCTTCCTGCCTGGCAGAAAGAAGGGCTGGACTGGATGGTCTTTAGAGGGCCCTTACAACTCTAGGCTCCTATTAGTATTATTAGTATTATTATTCTCTATTATAATGAAGCAGAGGCTAGGTGGCCATTTGTGTAGATGACCTTTGGGGATCCCTTACAACTCTAGGCCTCTCCTCCTCCTCCTCCTCCTCCTCCTCCTCTTCTTCTTCTTCTTCTTCTTCTTCTTCTTCTTAACTGTGCAGGTACAGTTGTACCAGGATCTCCAATTTTGTTTGCTTTGCATTGAATGTTTGTTGTAGTCCTAAGTTTCAGGGACTCTGCAGATAGGTGGCTTCTTTTGGCTGCAATCATAGGGCAAGCCACCTGTCAATTATAGTTACCAGGAGCTCCAATTTTGTTTGCTTTGCATTGAATGTTTGTTGTAGTCCTAAGTTTCAGGGACTCTGCAGATAGGTGGCTTCTTTTGGCTGCAATCATAGGGCAAGCCACCTGTCAATTATAGTTAGGTTCCCTGGTCCCGCCCCCTTTTTGGTTTTGGATGGAATAGGAGCCAGTTTGGGTTCAGTCCACACAGAGAAGCTTTTCACAGGACATAATACCAAGAGCTCATGTAGAAAGCTTCATCTTCTACAGCTTGGCTGGGGTTATACAGCCCACAGCTTGGCCGGGGAGAAAGGTCCTGTAGCTAGGCCGAGGATTATACAGCCTTACAGCTCCTTTGCTGAGGGACTTCAGCCAACCATCACCGAAACCTGAACTCCTTTTCCCTTGGAAGTCTACAAAGCTCTGCTTGGTAAGGGTCACTCGCGGAAGCCAGAAGCAGTTGGTACCGGGTGCAGGGGCTCCACGCCAACAGAGGCAAAGACAGACTGCCCAGATTAGAAGTTAAGGATTTCCCCATTAGTTAAATTACAGTTTATGAAGATAGTGCCTGTTCCCAGTGAACAAGACTGAGAGAGCCAATAGACTATTAAGAAAGCCTTGAAGTTCCTGTTTGTTTTCAATAATAAAGAACTTTGTTGAACCTTTAAGCAATCTAAAGACTCTGTTTTAAGGAAATCCAAAGGCCTTTAATCTGAGACAGCCTCAACGTCCCGTTGGGCACACAGAATTTATGTCCTGTCTACAGTCTTATGCACAGGCCCAGCATGCGACAGCACATTAACACAACAAGATGAGTCCACAGCAGACACTCTGCTGGCTGTTGAATTGGATCACATCGGACACTTCCCAAGTGTCTAGGACTGTGTGATGTATCGGCGAATAATGTGTGCAGATGCCAGTAAGGTGGCCTTCTGCAGCTGGCAGATGGTAATTTTGTCAGCGCCGATTGTGTTTAAGTGCAGGCCAAGGTCTTTAGGCACTGCACCCAGTGTGCCGATCACCACTGGGACCACCTTTACTGGTTTGTGCCAGAGTCTTTGCAGTTCAATTTTTAAATCCTCATATTGTGTCAGCTTACCAGTTGTTTCTCTGCAATCCTGCTGTCACCTGGGATTGCGACATCAACGATCCATACTTTGTTTTTTAACATGATTGTGAGGTCAGGAGTATTGGTGTGTTCATTCTCCGTAACTTCTTGTTGTTGTTGTTGTTGTTGTTGTTATTATTCTCTATTATAATTAAGCAGAAGGTAGGTGGCCATCTGTCTAGATGCCCTTTGGGGGTCCCTACCAGCTCTAGGATTATATTTTATTATTATCTATTATGTGCGTCAACTGCAAAATAAGATGCATGAAGCTGGTTGGTCGAGCAATGCCCGGAGAGATTGGACTTTTGGATACTGTTACATTTTTGTTCAGGCTTGAGCTATGCACGTGCAGAGACGGACAGTTTGAAAAGAGAAGCAGAGAGACAGAGTATGGAGTGTGCCCTCACTTCATGAGCTGCTAAAGGAGTTAATCCACATGGACAGA